TTATGCTCTAGTCGGTCCATACGTGTGGGCTGCCCGTCCTTTGGAAGCGTTTTCATACGAATTTTCTTCATCCGAATAGGGACGTTTACGTACGAATGATCCCATTGCATTGAACAACATGGAGGTCTTCCACTGCAGCCGCAATAATTCTTGCGTATACAGACGAAAACGAATGGGATCTGTCCAGACGAATCTGACAAATTGCAATGCAAGCAGTTGTTTACACTGCGATTTTTTCCTTATTTTTCAACCGATTTTTATTTTAAGAAATATCTTAGTGATGTATGGACATCTTTAGCGGAGACGTTAATCAGAAATGTTGTAACTTATTTCGTTATCTGACAATAACAGTTTAAAGTTGATATCGCACAACATAATGCATACTATGCGTATGCATTATTACTGTGCAAGAGTGGAAGATATTCGTGTTTAGTGCTCCAGCTATGACTGGACATCTAAAATGATTGGGGATATATTAGACACCCATTGTTTTTTGCATCGAGAAACACTTGTTACAAAATATTTGACATCAGAATTGAAAATAGTTCTGGAAAAATGTGTTAAACTGGTTAATTACATAAAATCATTTTTTTAACGAGGGTTCGCAACAGCAGAGGTTATATCAACCGTCGGGGTGCCATGTTTAAAAAAAAAAAAAAAAACATTTGTAAGTAGGTCTGGTACAGGAATACGGGGCCGCTGGATTCGAACCCGGGACCTTTACCTTACAGTGATGAGCGCCGTGTCAACGCCTAAACCGTTGCGGCCACCGACGCCCCCAAAAGTCGCTTATTGTGTGTAATTAAAATTACTATTAATTAAAATTGCATAGTAATTTATGCCAAGCTATGGAAGCTAAGTACGCATCTTAGTTACTGCATGCGGAAGTAAGGTGGTTGTCCAGAGGAAAAGTTTTATCTCATGTGCTGGAATTAAAAGACGAAATGAAAATGTTTTTTGACCAAAATAAAAATTATGGTTTTGTTCATATTGTTGGACGATAAGATATGGTGTGCTAAACTAGCTTACTTATCAGACATTTTTGTTATTTTTAATAGCATAAATTCATGTATGCAAGGGCAAAAAGAAAATATGTTCAACACAACAGATAAATTGGTGGGATTCCAAAAACATAACATTATGGAAGAATAAAGCTCAGGAAGGCAATTTGGAAAAGTTTTAGTCAGTCCCAAAAGATTTTAATAAAACTATTCATAAAATTGTTATTGACCGTTTGACAACATTAGAGGAGAGAATTATTATTTCCCAAATTTAGATATAAAAAAATTTTGATTGGATTCGTAATCCATTTGTGATAACGAAGACGTCTGTGTTTGAATTAACTTTGAATGAAGAAGAAGAACTAATTTCGCTGTCTGATAATCGTGATTTAATATTAAAATATTCGGAAGAATCAATTAATTCAATTTGGATTAATATTAGATGCGATTATCCCATGATAGCAAAAAAAACGTTAAAAATAGTATTACAATTTTCTACATCTTATTTGTGTGAATTCGGATTTTCAGTATTAACATAAAAACGAAAAAAGATCGAGACTGTTAAATGTAGAAGACGATATCAGAGTAGAATTGTCGTTTTTACGACCAAATATAAACGAAATTATCAAAAAACATCAAGCTCAAATTTCTCATTAAAAGTATTCTTATAACTTGTAATTAATCCCATAATAAACGTACTGTTGTTTTTTTAGTACATTATTATTTTATTTTACATTCGACATTATTATCATAAACTATTTTACACAATGTATTATAGGTAAGTAAACAACTTTTAAACTTATCTTTTTTTTTGTGCCGCTAAATTTTGAAATCGTTAAAAGTGTGCCGCGACAAAAAAAGATAGAGAATCACTGTATTAAATAGAAAAATATTTACTAATAAATTTTTATTTTTTCGTTATGAATCATAAATATTAAATAAAGCTTTGGCCAGACGACGTCACGGTTAGAGCTGCCAAACTGTGCACCTACTTCAAGTGGGTAATCAATACCTTATTGGCATTAATTTTACTGGTCTTTTACAGGAGGAAATTAGGAAATTTAGAAGAGCGCAGAAGGTGACAGAATAATGGACCCGGCACCAAAACCCATTTCACAAAAGACCGTCGTCCGCCCAGGGAATCCATTTAATGGTTCATCGCATAAAAATACTTTGCAATGTAATCCATCAATAGCTCTTATCAGAAGAGAAAGGACGGATGAATATTGTAACAAAATTGTACAAAATGGCACATTTTTCTCTCCTCATTTCAAGAAGGATATGCCTTCAAATATAATTAAGTTGTCCATCTAAGCCTTTTGTGACTTTTACACAATACGGTTTTATTTCCATCTTTTATTATAAACCATTATTAAAAGCGAAGATTACATAATTTATTTTTTCGGTTTACACATTTTGTAATTTGGATTTGTTTTTAATTTGTAAAATGCCACCACGAGTTCAACTCCATCACTTCAAATGAGGTGGATTCGATCGAGTCCCATGACACCGTGGGTACGTCACTTGTGATTTAATTCAAGGAAATTGTTCCGTTCATATAGGAAATATCCCCGTTACTCTTGTATCCTGGTAGTAATTTATGACCGATGGACAGCTAACACAGTAGACAGAAGTCATAAATAGAAACCTGCTATAGCTTCATACGGGAGAAACGGCAGGTTCATAACATGATTTCAAACATACTTAGAGCAAAAAAAGTAGCCATCCTCTTTTTTTTTAGTAAATACTTGCAATCGTTATAATTTTTATTTTTTGTTGTTTACTTTACTGGATATTTTAAATAAAAATATAAGATATAGCTCAATTAAAAAATTTAACTGAGTAATACAATTTTAACAAAAACCCATTAGATTTCGTGGTCCGATTGACCAAATAACTTTTTTCAATTAATTAATCTTTATGTAAAAAAAATCTTTATGTAAGGTATTGGTTGAGATAAAAAAGTCAATGTCACGAGCGGGATTCGAACCCACGACCTTCAGCTCAATACGCCACTACTCTACCCTTGAGCTATCGTGACTTCGAATCTTTCGAATTTTCCCTCCTTTTTGTCACTTTTCAAATGTCGTGTAATCAGGATTCGATTCTCGGCGACATATGAAGTGGCCACGGGGAGATGTTAGTGAAGTTATACTTCGTTTTACTCATACTTGAAAAATGGAAAAAAAGAGGGAAAATTCGAAAGGTTGTAGTTGAGATGGGGAGTTGCTGTCCGAGTGGATCGATAGCTCAAGTGGTAGAGTAGCGGCGTATTGAGCCGAAGGTCGTGGGTTCGAATCCCGCTCGTGACACTGACTTTTTTACCAATACCTTACATAAAGTTTAACAAAAACGTTGCTATAGAAGAAATTGAGAATTAAGAAAACATCCAATTCAATTCGGAGTCTCTCGTCCTCCTGCGTCGATCATCGCTTGCATTCGACGTGGCATCGATTTTATGAGGTTTTGAATGAACTGCTGTGGAATATTTTCATTCTCCTCCAAGAGAGCGTCATTCTTCATTCCTGTAAATTGACTCACCGGACTTGACAAATCGTCGGGACTACATGCTGACTACATTTCCAAGAAGTCACCGACGGTCCTAGCTGTGGTGGCCTTACATTGCCAAAAAAATAGAACCATCACCAATTAGTGGCATATAAGGAACAATTTGTTCTGATCACAACCCTCAATGTATCGCCGTTTGGGGACCCTCGATGAAGATCAAGTTTGTGCGACCTTCCATACAAATTCCTGTCCGAACCATAACACAACCACATCCTTCTCCGGAGGGAAAATGTTGCGGGGCCAAGCCCTCTCTGGGACGTCAGAAGACCTCAAACAAAACCTTGACTCATCGGCAAACACGATTTTAGTTCAATCTTACTCAGAGCAATTGATGTGATTTCTTGCGAAATTTAAACGAGCTGTTCTGTGCCTTGTCAGAAGTTCAGGACCAGTGGCAGGTATTCTCGCACGTAATCCGCTTCTGAAAGTCTTCGCCTTACAGTTCGTAAACTGACATTAACATTTCGAACTTGGTAAGAATGTCGATTGCGATCTCCGAAATGTGATACGATGGCGACCTGGTCCTTCTTCAGTAACCTCCAGTGTCTTGGTAGGGATGGAAGACCCTTCGGACAGTTGTTCTGGGAATGTTAAGCACCAATACGCTTCTTCTAACAATGCTATGATTCTAGATGAATCTGTATCGCTTAAAACCATCACTCAAACAAATTTGAAATTCACAAATAGGGGCGTCGGTGGCCGCAACGGTTTAGGCGTTGACACGGCGCTCACCACTGTAAGGTGAAGGTCCCGAGTTCGAATCCAGTGGCCCTGCATTCGAACCCGACATACTTACAAATGGGCTTTTTTTTTAAAAACACCGGCATTCCGAGGGTTGACATATTCTGCTGTTTACAGAAAAACCAACAAAGAAGAGATTCACTATTCAAAAATTTATTTAAAAAAGTCCAATTGTAAACCCAAGTGAGATATTTTATTTGTGTTTTATTTACCTCTAATTCTTTAAAACGGGCCAAATATTGTTCTAATATAATCAATGGAGATTTGTCTAAGAGATAATTAAAAATACTAAGGATGACCACTTTTTTTGCCTCTCTGTGTATTTTGTCTTGTTTTAATGCTTTACTCGAAGGTAACCAGCAAATCATTCTGACCTCAGATCGCTATCCTAAAGATATTAATGGGGTTGAAGATCGACTAAAATCTCGTTTTGGCTGGGGATTAACTGTTGCAATTGAACCACCAGAATTGGAAACGCGTGTTGCTATTCTAATGAAAAAAGCAAACGAAAATCAGATCCAACTGCCTGATGAAGTCGCTTTCTTCCTTGCCAACGCTTACGTTACGGGCTTATTATCATATATCGAAATGTTTTAATTTTTACACAGTAACGAATGATAATTTTAAACTGTACCACACCAACTCATTCAACCGAATCAATTATAAATCTTTAAATTATTCTTGTTCTAGATCTACGAGTCAAACAGCACTGTTGTCACGCTGAACAACGTTCAAAAAGAGCTGTCCGGTCTTTACAAATGCGAAGTTTCTGCGGACGCACCACTTTTTCACACTGTCATTCAGAGCACCCACCTTGTTGTCGTAGGTAAGCAGAATCTTTTTCTTTTCAACGGACTGATGAGACAAAATTTGCTAAAAATTGATTAATTGCCATTAGTCTTCAATCACATTGGATTGTATGTCGCATCGACTGTTTTACTGTCAAGTGATGAACTTATGATTAATCTAATTTGTTTATTACACTGACAGGCAAAAAATTTCACCCACTTGTGATATAACATAATTTGTATATATTTTTATCTGGCGATGTGTCGAAAATTTCAGTTGTTGTTTCTACTCATATGTAACAAAAAACATACTATCAGCCCCTGTCCAAATCTCAACGGTAAAGAAGTAATTTCAGGTTTTGGGTGTTTTTTAATTTTTCAACTTGGGTCCACTAAATTGATTATAAATTTCAGAATTACTGACTGTAGAAAAATCTGATTTGTGCCACCTGAAAGAACGTTAAATTTGCTTTAAAAGAACCTATTTACATTGCAGAATTTATAAAAAAAATTCTGCACCAAAAATTCAGAAAAAAAGTTGAAATTTGGAATTTTTTTTAAATATTGGATTGGTAACTCTTAATAACTACAAACTCCTGGAGCTTTTCAAATTCCCTCAAACGTTCTCCATTCAATTAGCTTCCAGCGGTATACCCACCTTTTTGGTTTGTGCTTCTGGAAGGCCCAAAAATTTTGCATTTTGTTAAAAAAAACTGATGTCGATGTAGGGGGCACGTTCAATTTTTCAAAAAAAATCCGTCTGGCTTTTGAGTTTCGTGTCAGTTCTTTACTGTTAGTTTGCTTTATGTTATCACCTGACAACTTCCTCAGGTTGGTGTTTTAAATTATGCCCTTGTTTCCTAATGCACATCTTGCTGATATGCATTTCATTTAACGTTACTGCAACGGTAACGCTACTGCTGCAAGGGAGAATACCAAGCCCGTTTTCAACATTGAGACGTCGAGCACTTTACAACGACTTCATCAGAGGCTAAGTGAAACTAGTACTTTCACTCGAAGAAACAGAATGCAAAATTTCCTAATCTACATCAATTCACTGATTGTCTTCCCTCTTTCTTCTTATTTCCTCCTCTTGCCTTAATTACATCTCGAAGACGCCTCGGCATACTTCTTTGCTGGAGGTTAGCCCATTCTTCACAAAGAGACCTTTCAAGATCGAGGAGTGTATCAGGAACTGATGGACGTGACTCTTATTTGTCTTTTGATGTTATCCCATAAATCTTCAATGAAGTTCAAGTCTGGAGAACGGGCTGGCTAGGCTAAGACCCTGGTGTTATGCTGTAAGTTTGTACTATGCGAGCGACATGTGGACGGGGCATTATCGTGCATTAGAATAGGATTATCGCTGATTTCATCGAGTATAGGCAACGCATGATCCGAAATTTTAACCACATAGCGAGTGGCCGTCAAAGACCCTCCACGAACAACAAACTCTGTACGACTCTCCATTGAAATTCCCGCCCACGCCATCACTAAGCTACGTTGAAAAGGTCGGGGAAAATTACAGGCTTCGTACCTTTCATTTCGCCTTCTCCACACCCTTTCACGCCCATCTGGAGATCGTAGAGCAAATCTACACTCATCTGTAAAAAGTACAGCAGACCAATCCTGAAAAGACAAATGGCTGTGCTCTCGAGCAAATGGGAGCCGTGCAACTCTGTGTGTTCTGTTCTATTCTGGTCCTCTTACAGGGCGAAAAGCCATCAATCCATACAGATTTGTGTCCATGATTCCTCGAGCAGTGCGTTCAGAAATTTGGACACCTCGAACTTCCTGGAGCTGATGAATCGTATGAACAACAGTAAGATGCAGGTTTCGCAAAATTCTCAAAGTCAAAAAACGGTCATCCTGTGGTTCTGTTACCCTAGGTCTCCAGAACCGGGCCTTCTATGGTAGTACCCAGTTTCTCGAAAACGTCTAACGGCGTCTCGCAGAGTTTCGTAAGGACTCCGATGGCAAAAGCCGCATACCTGATGGAAAGTCCATCATCAATAAGTGCCATACCACGCGCAACACTAAGTTACATTTTTTAACTCTAAAAATTGAAATTAAGAAAACAAACATGAAAACTAAACAGTTTATTGCTTCAGAATTCACATGAGGCAGACTAAACATTTTAAATTCCGTAAAAAGTAAACGTTGAAAAATGGATTAAGGATTGAGTGCGTTTACCTCAAATTGATATACCCCATTTAAAGCATAGCATGAACAAATATTTATTGATAAAAACAAAAAGCTAAATTAAGGGCAGAATTTGCCTTTATCGAGAAAATGAAAAAATCAATTGGGTGGAATTTTTTGCCTGCAGTGTATTATAATTGTAAGGTTGTTTGAATTTAAGTTTGAGTACATATTTTTTAATAAGTACATTCTAGAGTCTATCGTATTTTCGTTTTTACATGATATTTTATGTTCTAATTGTTCCGTTGAAGCCATATTAAAATGAAAAAATAAATCCATATATGTATTTAGTAGTCACATTTAACCGTATTGTACAAAGTGTTTGTTTGTGTTGGGCACTCTCAACACGACACCCAAGAATGACACATTTTCACGGAAAACAAACAATTTGAGCCCTGAAGATGATCTCAATAAAGATCGAAACGTTGGCAGGATAAAGAAAATATTTTTCTAAAACCTACGTCACACCAGACCGCATCTCACGATCTCAAATAATCATTAACTAACGGTCACTAAAAACCACACGTATTAATTATTTTAAATTATAATTTTCAACCAATACCTTAGATAAAAAGTATAATTAATTTAAAAATAATAACGTTCATTTCTTTCAGAGGAGCCTCGAGGTGCACCAGACATCCGAGTTGAAAAACAGAAATACACCCTTGGTGAGAGAATAAGGGCGAATTGTACATCCAAGGCTTCTTTTCCAGCAGCCAATCTCAGTTTCTTCATAAACGACATTAAGGTAAAATATGTGTAAAATACACGTATAAAGTGTGAACAAAAGGAAAAAATTCAAATTTTGTTTTATTTATAACGCCAGATTATGACTGGAATTATTATTCAACACGATCAAGAAAAGAGGCTAAAATAAGAAAATATTACCGTTCGAAATTTGAAAGTTCAATTTTAATCCTACTTTTCAAGCCTATTTTAAAACCATTTACGTTTTCGTGGTCAATTGACCAGTTACTTCTTTCAATCAATTAATTATTCTTTTTATGTAGTCTTGGATAAAAATAAAAACCCATTTTAAAAGTTTAACTTTAAAATAAGAAATAACAGAAATTGTTTGGAGCGTTGGAAAATTTAGGCAAAAATTTAAATAAAAATCATTTGAAGAATGGGTGTTTTATAACTCGATTCTTTCAGGCAAAACCCTTGAAAAAATCTTTTTGTATTTTTGATACCTTTGATGCTTATCTTGACGCAGAAATTACTTTTGATGATGATGATCATGAAGGATACTAGGAAACGGAGATTTATGTTCCCCAAACAGTGCAGCCTTAGTTCCTTAGTATATCGACACGATCCTTCTTTTAAGGATTGCCAGGTCATTGGATGTCTTTATTACCATTTCCTTTCCCTGCGTTTTCTTTTGGTGGTTGCTTCACATTCGAAGCTGATTTGGGTGGCTGTTTCTTTCTTCTCATAGCATAACCTTAGTAATGGAGCCATCATCGAATAATACCCACATTGTACAAAGGCCATTAGATTTCGTGGTCCGATTGACCAAATAACTCTTTCAATTAATTAATCTTTATGTAAGGATTGGTTGAGATAAAAAAAAGTCTGTGTCATGAGCGGGATTCGAACCCACGACCTTCGGCTAAATACGCTGCTGTTCTACCACTTGAGCTATCGTGACTTCGATCCACTCGGACACCATCTTCCCATCTCAACCCAACCTTTTGAATTTCCCCTCCTTTTTGCCATATTTCAAAATTCAACGAATCCCGCTCGTGACACTGACTTTTTTATCTGCATGTGTTTATTTTTGTTATCCCATGAATAGGTTCAGGGCAGTATGGTCTTGCAGATCCTCATCCGTCCACAGTGAGTCTGCTTTTTCTTTACCCAAAATTCTATTGTGTCTTAGTGCCCACGATATTATCAGGTTGTTGTGTTTCCCCAAGTTTTGGAGATTTTAAGTGTATTCACTGATTTTTTTTTTTTTTTTGCTAACAGATCCTATGAGGTTTTTTTCAGTGTAATCTGTGTGTTTTAAGATTTTACAAGACATGTATTTAGCTTGAAAGACCGAGGTGTACATCCCTAACGAGTTTGATTGTTTATGTTTTGCGTTTGTACATTATGATTTAAGAAAACGTACTTTGCAAAAAATAAGCCCTGGTCTCAAAGAATTTAGATGTTTATTCAAATAACGTAGACTCGTGTTATAGATTATAATTTCCTGTGTCGAGAAAGATATCAACTAGAGCGTTTTCGCTGATAGCCTTCACAGAACAGGTGTCGGAAAATCTAACAAGTAGGCAAACAACTTGGCCTCTTTGTACATGGCAAATTGCCACGACCAACTTTCCTTTGTTGCCCTTCCGGCCCGACTGTTTGTTGTTCCCAGATATTTTTCAAGTCGACCGGATTCCGGAGATTTTATGGGCTTATATTTATTAGCAAACGACGTGAAAAGGATCGGATGTTGGAATGACTTGAAAGAAATTGAATATTTGATCGTTTCTCGTCTGTAAAACGTTTGAGAATGAAAGGGGAACAAAATAAAAATGAACACTGTACAAGTTTTTCAACTTCAAAGTAAGAAGGTAAAAAAAATGCTTTCAGGATTTTCCTCAAAGGATTTTTATAATTGTAAAAATAAACAAGTCCGGCCAGAGAGTTTTTTTTTTCTTTCTCTGCGACGGTATAAATTTTAAAACGGGTAAAAAATAGAGCAGCCTGGAGCTAACTTTCAACACGTGAAATTTCATTATAGGAGAAAAATCCTTAATCGTTCGGTCCATATTTAGGGAATTGAAACTGTGCCAGAAACACTTACCCAAAAGGGTTGGTCTTTCGCCACTAACTGAATAAACCTCTTTCGAAACATTTAGCACACTCCTGGTAATTTTTACGTCGGTCGGCCTCCCCTTTACACGGCAAGCCTTTACGGTTATTTTCCACCCCAACACCAACCCCATTTATAACTTGAAATTTATCACTTCTACTTGTAGCTAATTATCCAACAACAGAGCCTTCTTAATTACCCCTCATAAAATTTTAACAATATAAATTTCTTTAATTGATATTATAATTGTTTATATTATTTTTTTTTTTAGCGGTGCAGTTGTTCGTAATGTTTTATGAAACGCATAAATCGAGTACGCCGATAAAATCAATCGGTCTTTCAAGTTAGTATAAATTGTTCTCCCCCTGATAGATTGCGTTTGAAACGTATTACTGAAAGAAACTTTATCACCCGACCTTTTTTTCCTACCCCACCCAAATTCATGATTAACAATGATTTTATGTCATCATTCTAAACTGCTAAAAAAATCCCTTACTTGTGAAAACAGTTCTACAGAAAGAAAGACAAGAAAAACCAGACATTTTTAACTTTTTTTTATCATAATAACTAACCATAAAGATTAATAGTTGATTTAAATATATTTATAATTTTCATGTTAAGTGTGGTTGAGATGGAAATTTTGTGTCACGCGAGTGACTCGAACCGACGAATACTTAGCGGTAGTATACCCGGAAGTATAGCCCAGAGGTCGTTGGTTCGAGTCCCGCTCGTGACACTACATTTTCATCTCAACCACACTTAACATAAAAATTATAAATATATTTAAATTAATTACTTTGGTTAACTAGGACCAACAAAAACATATGAATTAATTAATAGATGATTTAAAACGTAAACAAAACATTAAAAACTTATTGTTTACTTTTTAATTAACAGAATGTTAATGCATAATTAATTGTTTAAGCTTGTATTTAATTTTTTTAATTGTATTTCATGACGTATTTATTTATGTAAACAAGCTAACAAACGCACTGAAAGACAAAAAACAATTTGTAATTATTTGTTTATTTTTCATAATAACCAGGTATAAAGATTAATTGATTTAAATTGGTTTATAATTTTTATGTAAGTTGTGGTTGAGATGAAAAGTTAGAGTTACGCGAGTGACTAGAACCGACGAATACTCAGCGATAGTACACCCCGATGTATAGACCGGAGGTCGTTGGTTCGAGTCCCACTCGTGACACTAAATTTTCATCTCAAATTAATCCATGTTAATGCATAATTAATTATTTAAGCATGTATTTAATGACAGATTTATTTATGTACCTCAAAAAAGACAAAAACAATTCGTATTTATTTGTTTATTTTCCATAATAACCAGGTATAAAGATTAATAGTTTACTTAAAATCCAACATTAATAACTTGGTTTTTACCTTTAAAGAATGTTATTAATCCTTTTACACTCTTTAGTTTAAAAATAAAGAAAATCAGTTTAATTTCATATTTTCAAGAATCAATTTGTTGAGTGAGTTAATTGGTTTTTTAAATTTTCTTTGATGAAACAATATATTTGTTTAAAAAAAACAATATATGAGTAAAAAATTAATTATTGATTTTTTGAATCATGGTTTTGAATCGAAAAGATCTCGCGGTCTGTCCAAAGTCCTGGGTGTGCCGCGCACTACCTTCCACGATGGTCTACAGCGGTTGTGGGCCACCGGAAGTCTCGATCGAAGAAAAAGTGATAGACCGCGATAGACGACATATAGAGATGATCGTTTTATCACTCTTACAGCACAACGGAACGGACATTTAACATCCTTGTTAGGTAGTCAACTCCAAATTATTAGCCAGCAGGGCTATGGAAGTTGATTAACAACCTGAAGCTAGCTAGTGATTTATAAAATTAGAGGGCACAATATATCTACTCAGGTCGAGGTGCGGAAAGGCCTTGTGGCTCTTTTATCCCTATCCTTGGGTCGGTCTTCACTCCTACGTCAAGTGACAGTTCCTCGCTGAAGATGGCGCATTGCTGAAACGAGCAATTCAACACCCAATGCTGGTTCACAATTAAGTAGTTTTGCTAACGTGGAATTTAAAGTCCCGATTGTGGCCGATCTGATCGAATTTTGATCAGGTTTCTGCCACTTTCCTCAGTAGAATTTTTTTCAATCACGCTTTGGCCCTTGAAATTTTTCAATGCGAAACACGATTCTTTTTTCCGTTGTATATAGAATGATTTAAAATGCTCCTCCGACATACGTATTTATATTATTAACCTAATGAATGTTTTTTCTTAATTAATAAGGGCAATTTCAACATATAATATACTATAATACTATTAAATATTAATCCATTTACATTTTCGTAGTCAATATTTACTAAGTTACTTCTTTCATTCAATTAATTACTCTTTCTAAGGTTTTGGTTGAGATAAAAAAGTCAGTATTACGAGCGGGATTCGAACCCACGACCTTCCACTAAATACGCCGCTACTCTACCACTTGAGCTATCGTGACTTCGATCCTCTCGGACACCAACTCTCCATCTCAAAAAAAGAAAATGGCAAAAAGAGGGAAAATTCCCCGGGGAAGGTTGTAGGAAGAGATGGAGAGTTGGTGTCCGAGAGGATCGAAATCACGAAAGCTCAAGTCGTAGAGTAGCGGCGTATTTAGGCGAAGGTTCGAATCTCGCTCGTTACACTGACTTTTTTATCTCAACCAAGATTGTACCAACCATATTCTATTATAAAATTTAAAAAATGAAAGTTGATAACATTTTCCGTTTTATAAAAATGTTTATAAGAATTTTTCCTCGGGATATTTCTAAAGCCCCCCCCATACACCTACGATCAAATTGTGCAAACGTACGTTGTACAACAGGCTTGCAAACTCCAGTTGCTTTTGTCTTGTTTTAATAGTAACATAGTCTCGCAACGCAGCCTGTTCAGCTATAATAATTTCTATCGCGTCGGATTTGGTGTTAAAAAAAGGAAAAGGAAGCAAAGAGTCTGGATGAGAGAGAGGTTAAAGAAAAGATCTGTTTTTAGCCAAGCAAATCTCCTCAAAGAACTTCAATTGAGTTCACCAATTGACTATAAAAATTATTTGCGAATGGACCCCATAACTTTTGGAGAATTACTAGGAATGGTAACACCTACCACATACAAAGATACAAAAAGAGCCCATACACGGCAGTTGCGCAACGCCACTCGTTGTGCAATTAATTTCAAACAGTTTTGAATTTCTGCAACTAGTTGCACAGCACCTCAAACAACACCATTGTTTGCACAACAGCCTCAGTTGTCAATTTGTTCGTTGGTGTATGGGGGACTTAATGATAAAATGCAACTTAGAACGTTTTCATTTCATCGTAAACTAATTAAATTCCAATGTTGATAAGTTAATGTATACTGCACTAGTAGCCAAGTCCCGAAACGTACATAACCTTTGTTCATTGAACTAATACTTTGTTCCTCTATATCACTCTATCTCTCTCTTTTTCTGTCTCTCTCTCTCTCTTTTCTGCCGGGAATTGTACAATTGGCTACTTTCTCCCCCTTGCTCCCATTTGATATATTTGTAACACTCTTGAATGTATACTCGGAGAATTGAGTTAAAATTTGCATATGAACGCGCATTTGCATTCATCCATAATATTTCAACTGCTGTAAGATTCGGACAGCTCACTCCTGTACCACGACAATTCCGACGGAATAAATGACTCGGACCCTGTTTAAAGTCAGAATAGAATAAGCAAGAAGAGACAAAAAGATTTTTTGTTTTTTAGTTTTGTATCCTCCCTTTATTTAGAAAAATTACGTCTCTTCTTGCAATTACTTTAGTTAAGCAGTTATTTATTCTTTTACAAACAGCTTTTGCCTTTTGTTAAAGTCTATGAAAACAACGATGAATACAAAATCAGCCTTTTTGACCTCACATAAGTTCGTTGACCGTTCGTGTTCAACTTCTTTTACAGAATAATTCAACTAGAGTGTGCTAGGGATGTCGGTCTTTTTGAAAATTTGGTAAGCCCATTTGTAAGCACATTGGATTCGAATGAAGGGCTGCTGGAATCGAACCGGCGACTTTTACCTTACAGTATTAATCGCCGTTTCAACGCCTAAATCGTTGCGGCCTCCGACGCCCCCAATTTTGTAGTGAATAAGTAATTAGTGGAAATTTATTTTCAGCTGTATTTTGATAGAACGAGACTGTAACTAAACGTAAATTCCACTTTTATTAAAAAATTTACCCAATCCGATCGGGATATCGTCAAAAAGACTTTTTCCTGCACATGACAATTAATAGAATCTGCTGCAATCGTCTTTTTATCGAAAAATGCCGTGAAGTTTTTATTTCTTGATTGATCCAGAAATGTCGTATTTCTTTAAATAAGTTCGAATTGAAGTTATGCCGTTACCAATCATTTTATTTAGGTTTGTCTAGGCTATTCGCAAACAGTTCGAGGTTTGTGTTGCCGCAACGCCCTGCTTATATCCCTGATCGGCACTTTTTGAAATCCTTTTTATCGTATTGGAAACGACCAAACCAGTCTCATCGTCCAAATCTCACAATTTTGAATTGACCGGATTGTCCAAGCAACAAACTTTGCCACCAAACGACCTGTAATGCGGTTCATTTCACTCCAAGTCTCCAACCCCACCGTAATCAATGCTTCAATACAGTTCGCTTTTGATATTCTTTAAGATTTTGTGGATTTTGTATCCCGAGTAGATGCTTTACATTTATAATTTATATTATTACAAATATTTATAAACTATTTTTTTCACTTATTTATATACATATTTGTAAACTAGAAGTAAAAAGAAAAATCGTTTGCCTCGATGACGATATTCGCAATTGGGACATCTTAAATGAGCCATCCTGTATATTGCTTGAGGCTCCTTGGATAAAATGAGCTTTTTTTGCACTTTTTTATGAGCAAATCATAAATGATGGCATAGCCCCAATTAGCTCGAGGAAAATCGAATACTCCGCGTAGTGTGAATGAATACGTGAATGTAATTTATTAGCGCGAATGAAACGGCATATCCCCAATTACTCCAAGTAATATCGAGTACTCTGGGGAAATGGTAGTGAATGTGTGAATGTAATTTATTAACGTGAATAAAGAAAAGAAAAGTTGGTTATAGTATCATAAAGCATCATACTTGGCTGGAGAACCAGTAAAAGAAATTAGTAGGTTAGAAAGAAAAGAAAAGAAATGCATAGCTAAGGAAGGACGACAAATGTAGTTTGCCGGCCCAAAAATAAAAAATAGTCCAAACATTAAAATGGTATTGCATATAATAAAAATAACCAGAATTAATGAGCTGTTACAAAACAGCAACAAATGATTCTAAAAGTAATTATTTATAGCTTGATTTTATAATCATCTTGCTCTGCCTAAATTGTTGATGGTTTTTTATGTAAGACATTTTTCAAGATTGTAAAGATGATAGCAAAATGATGAAGTGGGTTCAACAGACAAAACTCATGAGAATAGGACCAGACGATCAGTCAATCAAACCATAGATTCATCATTGCAGGCTAACAACCACTACCAAAACTAATTTTGATTACTTATCACACCAATTTAAATTAAATAATTTAATTCTTATGTTTGATTCAGGTTGCAAATAATGATTTGATTGGGCTTTCCTGGTATGTAAAAAGTGAACCTGCAGGACTTGAAAGTTCATTGCTTCAGCTACACACCCTTGCAGTACCAATGATGTTTCCAGAAGGGAGAATGCAGTTGGCATGCCTAGCCGCACAGTACACGTTGTACAAGCAGATGTCATATCTCACGCTTTACGAAGACACGCCACAACTTGCCCATGTACTTGGTGCGTCCCTCCCTCACGACCGGCCAGGCAAGTTGTCATCCTTTATGTCCTTTTCTTGTTGAATTTATCTTATTGTTATACAATTGCAGGCATAAAAAGCACAGCGAGCATAAAAAGAGAACCAGTCGTCCTTTTGAGCATAGTTGTAGCGACACTCCTAAGGCCAAGATAGTGGGCAAGTGTTATATCAGTGTTTAACTGCTGTGATAGAGTGTAAGATGTACCTTGCCAAACATTTTAACAACCTGCCCTCCCATGACTTTAAAGAAACTGTCGGTTTTTCTAGCAATAAAAGTGTAGAAATAGACGGCAATGTCAACGAGTATTTTAAAATTTACAAAATACTCCATTGTAGTACATTTATAAAATGTTAAACAATCTTTAAATGTTGTTATTAATTATACATTATGTGCCACAAACTATCAGTGTACCTAAATTAATGATAAATATAAGTTTTTTTTTATAAGACACTAATTTAATTAAATATAAAAGTTTATATCGTAATTTATGATTTAACAATTGTAAGAGAAATAAAAGTCTAATAATAAAATTAGTGTACAAATTTATTGTCATGAAAGTAATGATGTGATAATGTAAGAACTTATAATAATCAATAAGATTGATCTTTAATTGTTAAGATTTTAATAATAGCACTTTTGAAAAAAGGTAAAATGAGTAACCGGCCATCTAAATACGTCTGTTTGTAAATATGTATTTAAAAATATTTCTTCATCTTAAAAGGCAGGAAAATAGCAAAATACATGAATTAAAATTAAAAGGAGACTACAAAAAGATGTCTTTAAATCAACTCACCAGCCCTCATGATGTATTTAATAAAATCAATTATAGATATATGTATGTACATAGTACTTAATTTAACACTATTATAGTAACTGCATGAAAAAGAATCTCAAATACTATTAACGAATAAAGTGGCAAAAACCGTGAAAACTTTTATTATTAATTAATGACTGTGGAAGAAAAGGGAATACCTACATTAAAACAATAAAATACTCAAATCGTTTGTAAATAAAATTAGATATTGGTGTGACATTAACCCACAAATTTATAGTACATGTAAAATGTGCAACAACCTGATTTATTAGTTTGTAGTTAGTAGTTTATAGGTTTTGTTCGATTGCTCAACAGTTAAAGAGTTTGTGGTGAAATCAACATTTCTTTTGTTTGTTCAGGGGTACAGTGCTTGTTCCCCATTATAGACTAAATTTAAGTGTATTTTTAATAAAAATTCAAAACAAAAAAGTTGTGTTTTTATCACATTGCCAACATCTACATATATATCTATACAACAAAATTGTGTATTATAGTCAGCAAAGAACAGGAAAATATAAAAAATATTAACTGAATATTTTAAAATATATTTTTTTTAATACATTTTTTAATAATATCAATTTTAAACAAAAATTGTAAATTAATAATACATTATAACTGAGATAATTATTCTTATATAACAATAATGCAAAACATAAATTTTGATTATACAAAAAATATATTACATAAGGAAATTGAAATAATAATTTTTTTATAGTAATATCACACCTAGGCACTTTGTACATAACCTTAAATGCTGTTATTATTTATAGGCAGCTTCTATAATAAATCATTGTATAATTATTACTGATTACTTGAAAGGATTTTTTTTTTCAAGCTAGACAACTGTATATAATAATGGACACTTGACTAGGTTGGTCTGGTCAAAGTCATTTAACATATCTAATCACTAGATACAAGCTTATTCCAATAAAATGAATGCTGGTATCACAAGTATTTGTTTGGTCCTTAAGAATAAATGTATATACAATTTATCTCTAGTGCATTCTTGCATGTGTGGTACGGTGTTTGTTGTGTATTGGCTTGTGTCTGTGTTTATTCATTGTCTTTTTCTTGTGAGTGAATGTGTGTGTATTTTTAAACTAAACTAAAATATCCTAATTTGTTATTTAAATTTGAGCAATAGGCCACTATGATCATTTTGCTTATTGAAGGGTTATGTTTCTTACGTATATTATATGTAATAGAACCATCCAATAAAGCAATCAATTTTCCATCAAAGACCCGTGTATTGGGGGCTGTTCGAAGGTCGAGGTAAAGCAGGTCTTGCGCTACTTCTTGGTACAGGTGACTCAGTTGGTTCGCTTAAACAAATCAATTTTAATTAAGTTTAATGTGTCATTACAGTTTTTGATAAGCATAATTCAGATAAAATATGATATTGAGCCAGAATTGTAGTTACAAAAAGAAGACTAGATTTTTAATTCATACGACAGTTTTGAACTTCTTTCTTTTATTATCTTTTAAATTTAATTACGGTCAAGCATATTATTACAATTTGCACAATCTTGACAGTTTTGGACATGTTCTACATAAGATTTTTTACAAAATTAAAATAACAAAAAATATACATTAAAATTGAAAAAAAAAGAGCTGTTATATCTTAACTATTTGAGTGAGATAAAAATAAACAAATTATAGGCAAGCTACAAACACAGTCACACACACGCACGTGAGTATTTGCTTCATCTCATCATAATATGATGAGCTCTTCAAGATTAAAATTCAATTAAAACACAAAAAAACATTCATGCATATATACAAAAAATAGTATTGATGGAATTAAATACATGGTATGATTAAAGTACAAAAACACACCCATACTACAGAAATTAAAACATCACAGTGTAATATATAATGCATTTACATATAATATACAAAAATAAACATACATATAAATTTTAAAAAATCTAATTCAGAAAATCATGATTTATGAGTCTGGTAATTTTTTAAATTTAAAAGTTTCACTTAAACATTTAAATTTTCTGTTTGACTAAACAGAACGGACAGTGTAAAACTGTAATCTTTAAAACATATTGAGTTTTGAATATTTATATAAATCCAGAAAGAAAATCAAAATATGCTACATAAATTTAATCTGCATGTAATATCCAATTAAAAAATAAATAAATTCGACCCTTAAAAAATTCTATTTTTACTGCAGTTTTCTTATTATTCTTTAAATAAATGCTACGAATTTAACAAAGCACAAAAAGAAGAAATTATTTTTATTTCCTATTATGTTTAGGACAGTTTTGAAGGTAGATAAAAATTAATTTACTTGCATCATTTTGTGGCATCCTATGCCATCCTCAATGCAGTTTATTTTTTTATTATTATCCTATTTATTAATATTTTATTATTATTATTTAAAAAAACACTTTCACCCTCAGACGGTTTTAAACCACAAAGAATGTCTTTCTTGTTTTGTTATGCATATTTCCAAATTGTAAACATGGTATTATATTAAAGAATAAAGATATTGGTACTAGTATTAGTAGTAGTAACAAAAAAGAAATTTTGCATATAAAAAGAAAAAGATACGTCATCAATAACGAAGAAAAAAATAACAGATTTTTAAGGCTGCCTGTTTATAGAGGTTATATACCCACGTTCAAAAATGGCTTAAAAATAATGAATAAATAAAAGGAAAGAATCTATAAGGAAAGAAGAAGGATAATAAAAACAAGAATAAATAATTATTATTGTATTGTTATAAATAGGGAGTGGAGATTTTTATGTGTTTACATAAGTCAAATATTGACATATTACAACTTATCAATGATGTAAGACGTATGTAAGATCCAAGACGTTTTGAAGCAGTTCAAAATTTGTTAATGTTATATACACAGAGGCAAAAAAGTGGCCACCCTCATTTTGTAAGCAAATATAATTGCTATATATATAATTACTTGGAGATCGTGAGATGCGCTCTGGTGTGACGTAGGTTTTAGAAAAACATGTTCTTTATCATGCCAACATTTCGATCTTTAAATTCACTAATTTCGTGGTCCGCTTGACCAATTAATATATTACAATTAATTAAGGTTTTTAGTTGAGAGAAAAAGTCAATGGTACGAGCGGGATCGAACCCACGATCTTCGGCTAGATACACCGCTGCACTTGAGCTATCGTGACCTCGATCCACTCGGACACCAACTTCCTATCTCAACCTTTTTATCTCACCTAAAAACCTTAATTAATTGTAATTTTGATCTTTGTTGAGATCATCTTCATGGCCTGGGATTTATAAACATTGTTTGACTTTTACAAATACATGTAGGATGTGGAGAAAAAAATGAATTTATACAATGCTAGAAAATTTTAGATTAAAAAAATGAATTTATATAATGCTATAAAATTTTAGATTAAAAAAAGAATGAATTTATAGAATGCTATAAAATTTTGGATTAAAAAAATGAATTTATATAATGCTAGAAAATTTTAGATTAAAAAAAAAATTATACAATGTCAGAAAATTCGTACTCACTCAACATACTTTGATTGATTCTAAAATTTTCTAGCAATGTATAAATTTTTTTTTTATATAAATATATATATATATTTTTTAAAAATATTTTGAAAGAAAAATATAAGATTTTCCTGAATAAAAACTTAAACTGAGTAAACCAATTATTCTTAGTTCCTATAAATCTCTCTAAGGTTGAATAATTGAAGCCCGTTCCAAGAGTCACCAACGATCCTAGCTGTGTGAGGCCTGTACTGCCATGCGTAAAAATGAAAACACAGCCAATTAGTGGCATATAAGGAACAACTTCTGTTAACACATCTTCAATGTATCATGCAGCTGTTAGGGAACCCTCGATGAAGATCAAGTTTGTGCTACCTTCTGTACAAATGCCAGCCCAAACCACCACATCCATTGCTTCTCTGGAGTGAAAATGTTGAGGGGATATATCGTTCTTCGTCCTTCACCAAACCCTCTTTCGGCCATCAGAAGACCTCAAACAAAACTTTGAGTCATCCGAAAATAAGATTTTAATCCAATCTTGCTCAGACCAATTGATGTTATTTCTTGCAAATCTTAACCGAGCTGTTCTGTGCCTTGACAGAAGTTCTGGACCAGTGGGAGGCCTTCTCTGCACATAATCCATCTTCTTAAAGTCCTCACCTTACAGGGCGTAAACTGACATTAATATTTCTATTCTTCTCTCGACAGCGGTAGAATGTCTATTTCGGAGTACAGACGAAACAATAAAATGATCTCTCCGATCGACATGATGGATCTATGCTTTCTTCAGTAAACTCCTGTAACTTGGTAGCCATAGAAGACCCTTCGGACAATTGGTCTGGGAATGTTAAGCTCCCTGGCCACATATGTTTGACTTCTTCCCTCTTCCAACAATGCTATGCTATGCTAATCTAGCTGAATCTTTATCAGTTAAAACCATCACTAAAACAAATTTGAAACTTAAAAATGGTACGAACCGTAAAAAAATAATAATAATAAATTAATAAAATGAAGAGTTATTGTGAACTTAACCAAGAAATAAGGGCTAGGTTTGTGTCTCTCTAACTAAGCAAGCTAGATGTGTCAACCTCTCCCAGTTAATAATTTTTTCAGGACAATTAACTGAATAAATAAGAAATTGTAAGTACAATAGAAAACCGTTTATCCAGACTTGAAGAGACTGGGACTTGTCTGGATGATCGAAATTCTGGATAATCCGAAAATTTGTGATTTTTTAGTATCGTGTCATAAAGACGGAAAAAAAAACATACGAAAGTGAACACTTTTATTCATATATCAAGTTACATTTAAAGTAATAGATAGTTTTTATTAGTTTTATTTTTGTTTAAGTCCGGACAGCGTAAAAAATACCTAATAAAATATAGGTAATAAAAAAAAACCTTTTCGATGGAAGCCAACATGCAAATAACATGACAAAAACAATTTCTAGTATTTTAAAATCGGATACACCTTTTTTTATTTTTTAAATATATATATATATATTTTTTTTAAAACAAAAACAGGACTGTCGGCCCCTCCGGCCTCTTCGATTGTGTGACTAGTGGAAGGGCCTTGATTTGGTGGCCTTTACGAATTTCAAATGACAAATTAAAGGTCCCATAGTTGAATTATGAATTTTAAAAAATTAATAGACATACATTGAGAAATATGAAAAAATTATAAAAAATATTTTATCAAACGGGTCCGGATAAACGAGTTTCCACTGTAAATAGTACACAATATTTACATACTGAAAAAGACGCATTTATTACTAAGGAAACTAACAATTCAACAATAACTTAATTTTGTTGAGTAACACTATAACAAAATGAGAACAAACTTACAGACTAGATGAACCTTATCTTAAAATCTAAATAAACTTTAATTACAAACTAAACTTTCCTAGAACTAGTGTCCTTCTATGTTTCTTGATTCCAATGATGTTGAAAATCCCTACTTCTAAGAAAATGTGGAGCATCTCTAAAGTTGGGTGGGTTCACTGCCATCTTAGTCGATAAAGGAATTGATTATTTTCTAAAAGATCCGGACAGGACGCAGATATATCAGTCTTGTTTTTTGTTTTGTTTATTTTAAAATTGTCCTTTTTAATCATTCGAACTTTATTTTGTTTTTGTAACATTTTTCTCATTTTATATTTTACATTGCACATTTCACACAAAAATAAGTAAATATTTTGTCAAAAATAAAGAAATATTTTGACTTTGTTTAACACATAAAAATCCGCTCCCTACTTATAACTTTAAAAAATATCCCCCCTGACTTCATTAATCTTAAACCAATGTACAACTTCTTTTCAATTTCTGTACAGTTTGGTTTATTAGAGTATTACCATCACAAGGAGAAAAACGCAATTGTTGAAGCCGATAATACTACAATAAAGTAGAACGATAACATTTTTAAAAAATCAGACCAAAATTAAAGAAGTTAGGAGGAGAGGTGAACATCTTTATTAGGATACCCTGTTCAATATTATATTTAATAATAGTCATATTTTAGCAAGTATTTATGTAGTATAAATGTACATACGTTATACAATGCATACAAACTTCAAGTAAATTGGTTTCATTATTGTACGAATATATTACATGTTATACTAAGAGTTTAAAAAAATTAATTAAGTGTTTTTATGAAACACGCATTTTAAATAACGTCTCAAATATTTACATAAGTTTAGAATAAACTGGTCATGTAAATAAATGTATGTCAAAATGAAAACATACTTTTCTTACCCAAAAAACGGTGTCGTACTGATGAGAATGGTTTTGCTCGGGCAACTCGAAAGTTGTGGATTGTTGGCAATGATGTGATTGAGCAATCGCCTTAAATACTGTTGAAGCTTCAACCTTCTTTCCTCAACAAATTTAGCATCCTAAGTTGGTGGAAAAAAAAAATTACAAACAGTCAAAATCATGGCATAAGTTGTGACTTACTTTATTCCCTAGGGTCTTTTTCGGAGGAAACTGGAAAGCAGATATGATCGGGTATTGCTTCTTTGTCGTAGTGTGGAGGGTGTAAAATTGAGAATACCTCCTGTACACGTTCCATTCGTCCTGACCTATCCTCAAGTGAATCTGGGTCGTAAACATAAAATTAAATCTCATCTCGTAAAGTTTTACTGTTAACATTGTTTTCACCTGGTAAACATGATGTGGTTTTGGTGAGCCTTTGAGAAAAACAGAAGGGATCCAGAGGCTGATAATATGTGTGCTGACATCGATTTCCGTCGGACCTAGCGGGCCTCTCAAGGCCTCAAGTTCAAGGTACAACCGTCTTATCATCAATTCCTTAGTTACTATGTTCCTTTGAACTCTATCATTAAGCTCCATAAGTTCTCCATGCATTTCTGCAACCTGAAAAAGACATACCAACTATCATTTTCATTTGTCCAAAATCAAGCCGAATAAAAATCAATCTACAAATATGAAAATTTTTGTTTATTATTAATTTTATTTTTATGAAGTTTAATTGACTTTTTTCCACAGTTGCTGTTTCTAAGACTTCCTCATTCGAACAATGAAAATAAATGCACATTTGAGAATCTCGTTAAAGATCTCATTAATTGGGCCAGCAATATAGTGGACTGTATATTAAAAAACTATGACAAAAAAAATTAACTATAAAAAATTGCAGAAAATTATGCTCCCCCCAGGGAGGAACAGGGAAGGGTAGAAAAACTGAAATAAAAAATTGAATGGAATACCCAAACTAGAAGATTACCAACAATTCTATGATCCATTGTGACCAAACAAATGATGAGTGTTTTCACCCAATTAATCGCAATTTAAATTTAACAAGATTACAATAATTTAATACAAAACAGGATGAGAGCAATCATCAACTACAATTTAGTTGCATGCCACAAGTCAGATAGAATGCTCAATCCGACTAAATGCCAGATTGAAAGCTTGGAATCCAAATGTGTCATAAACAATTATTGTTCCACACATCTCCAAGCGAACGGGATAGATTCATTTTTTTAATTCACCAGGTAAGAAGTAACAAAACCATTACTGAAGATGGGAAAATACCAAAATGCGTTTGACAGGCCAAAACAGCAAGGAAAGGCAGACCAGGGTGACAGGGAATGACTAAATTATAGGTTCATCACCCCACATACCGCACAAAAGAAATCTCACAATTTAAAATCATTATAACTTCTTGAACCATTTTTTTTCCATTTTTATTATTAGAAGAAATTCAAGTTTAACCAATTACATAGGTTCTTCAAGTTATATATAAAATAATGAATAAATAAAGATATCAAAGGGAAAAGTTATCACATTTATAAATCAACATCACGATTTTAACTTTTTGTTTGGAATGAATTCACAGCACTTTCAGTTTGAGAAAAGCTTGAAGCAAACAGGGTTTGAACCTGTCCTTCACCTTTAGTCCCAGGCTGAAGTGAATGACCGTTTATGCGACCAAGGTTAGCGTGGAACTTTTGGAATTTGGTCATAATAAATTCTTTGATGGTAGGATAGTTTAATTATTGATGAAGTTGAGAATTTCTCATTTACCATGGGGCATCTACCACCACTCTGAGCATTTTGCTGCAGCTCTCTATACCTCACTCCCATATAAGATAGAGGAATATATATCGCCTGGAATAACAATGTGCAGAATTTTGTTTTTAGTTTGCTCTTTCTATTTAGCAATGGGTAGAGTTTCAGCTCACTAGCACATCCTTCAGCTACTTTTTTCTTTTTGTGTTTGCTCCAAGTAAGTCTCCTATCCTACTGGATGCCAAGATATTTTACAGCGTCTTTTTTATCGTTCTATGAGATGGTTTGATTGTTGATGATCAATTCAGAGGGGTCCTGGGGAAATTTTTAACTTCACATTTAGATGCATCTAAAGGTGGCCATTCACAATCGCTCCAAATGGAACCGCACCGAGCTGTACAGTTCCATTTGGAGTGCCTGAAATTTGAGCGGGCATTTACGACCGCTCCACAGCCAGTCGCTCCGATCATCAACAAGTGAATTAGTTTATCAAAATGGATGACGATCTCTTGTGCTACATTGTTGTTTGTTTATATATAAAAAGCAAAAAATTGAAGAAGAAATGGTGTAAGAAGTGGCTCCTGAACAAAAGCCGTAATACCCACATCATTTGATGAAAGATCTTTCCCTTGAACCCGCTGATGGAGGAACTTTTTAAGGATGGATGAAATGTCTTATTTATATTTACTCCAGCTTGTTACCCCCTTGATTAGAAAGCAAGAGACAGTCATGAGAGAAATCATCACTCCACATGAAAGGTTGGCAGCCACATTACGATTTCTCGCTACAGGGGTGAACTACCAAGTGAGAGCTGAAGTTCTCTACTACGATTTCTGCTCAGCACTTAGGGATTATCAAAACCACATCTCTCATTGCATTTGTATCCTTTGTTTGGAAAAGGTCGACCAACTGGTCGAGGGCCGAATTTCTTTTATTTCTACCGTGGTAATCATTGTCCACCACTTTCCATAAAAATAGTAGTTTTATATAATTCAATCACCTCAACAATAAAATCTCGATTGGATGCATTGCCAATAAAGAATAAACGTTGTTGACTTTTTGAAAATGTACGACGGAGATGTTTGCTCAGTGGCAGAACGATGGAGACTGCGCCAAAAAAACGCGGGTTTTCCCATTCACGAACGCGCCATGCTGTCATCACGCCGAAGATGTTTGGAGTGGCACGATGGAATTTGGACCAGTCGAATATTCAGCGCAGCCCGGCATGCCAGTTCAGGTTTGCCATTAACATGGTTTTTGGAACGGCGTCACTCCGTTTGAACTGCTGGGAGCTATCGTGAATGGCCACCTTGAGGTGATTTTCACCAACTGCACATTCTGCACACTGTCCTTAGCTGCCTATATATTATCATCTTTGTTCATGTCCCTAGCTGAGAACCTGTGTGATGAAGGTCACTTACATATATATTAAAAAGCATAGGTGAAAAGAGGAGTGACTGCTTTAATATACCTTATCTCTAAGGTATGATTGTTAATTTTAACATGGAACGACTTGTCAAGAAACGATGAAGAAGCAGTAATGGTCTAATAAAAGTTCCATATTTTTTAACTTGAATTTTTTGCCTCTGTCAAAAGCTTTCTCTGAGTCTAAAAATGCACAGATGGTGTGCTGATTAAGTTCAAATCTTTTTATGATATCTTCAGTAAGTTTGAAAAGCTGACATTGGGTTGAGTGGTTCAGTGTTAATCCAAACTGAGGAATGTTGTCTTGAACAGTTTCAGCCTGCTCTTTATGCACTTTTCAAAAATCTTTTCTGTGATGGGAAAGCAGACTGATTGGGCGATAGTTCTCAACTAAATTATTGCTTTTGTCTGGCTTTGGGAAAACTATCAATTCTACTATTTTTTCACGTTGAAGGGAAGTAACCATTTCTCAAGCAATCATTGAAAATTTGAACTAGGTTCATAATTCCTTTGATCAATATGTTTTTGAGGATTGCAGACACACCATTGTGCCCCTTGCATTTCCCTGGGTTCAGCTTTTTAATTAACTTCTAAGGGTGTTATGAAATCAGTGGCATCCAAATTAAGTCAGATAATTTTTAGAGAAATGATTTTAATACTGAGAAAAAATTAATATACCAAAGAGTCAGGTAAAGTGATGCAAAAAATATAATTATGTTCATTCTAATTAGACTACCTGAACAAGTTTCTGTTGATAAAGTTCTTCTCCTTGAAAATCCTGTCCATCTTGTTTTAACATCTGCACAGCACTTACATATTTCCTCAATTGATTTTTTAAAAGTTCATTTTCCCTGTTTACACAAAAGAGGTTAATTTACGTTATATAAAATTATACAGATTATTTTTTTTTACCTGTTGAGCTCTTGAATTCTCGTCTCAAGCTGATTTTCTTTATAAAGATGTTGAGCACTGAGTTGAGAGAGTTGGGCGTTTAATAAAATGTTTGCTTCCTGACATTGGTCCAGTTTAGCTTGTAGACTCTCAATGTCATCCTTCTCTTTCTCATTTGTATTCCCTGAATTCAAGATGTTATTAATTTCCTTTGTATAAACTAGTTTTTAACACTTCACACTCTACATTTAAAAAAATTATTCCAAGTTGAGATACTGAAGTTGGCCAACATTATTATTTTTTAACATACACTTTTTTTTTCCTTTTGTCTCTTTGAAAGTTTTAATATTATTCGGCTTATATAACAATGATGATGGAGATAAAAATAGATAGACATTTTGAAATAGAAACATTATCTCATTGATATCAACTTAAATATTTATATTATATATATTATCTTATATTTAATTACCTATCTCTATGTTACCTAGTGCAGAGCCAGTTGACTCCGCTTCCTGTAACAAAATAAATATTTCAGGTTGTTTTATGACAATTTTACTTCAGAAAGTCTTACTTCAGAAAAGCTAGGTACCGATATTGAGTCTTCCGATGACGGTGCTTCCTCTAATGGCCTCACTGGTATCAATTCTCCAATATTTGCATTATTAACAGGCCGTAGACCAGAACTACAGTGAACATAATTGATCTTAGCTACATAACTGAAAAGTGAAAGGCTCTTTCTAGGACTAACATGATTATTCTACTTTACAATATTTTTTTGGATAAAACATCTGGGAAAAAATACAAGTACATTTTTTTGTAGAGAGGAGGTATTGAAGTTTTATATACACAGTTTTACATGAAAATGAATATGAAATGTGTCGTTATTGGGCTGTCCATAAAATGCAGGTTTTCATGTTTTCTTTCAATTATTCCACTATATAATAAAGTGTTTACATTTAACAGATTACTCTTTTATGCAAATGTCAACAACTAAAATGCTTGTATACCTCAACAGCATTTCCTTACTTGGGAATAATTCTTCGTCTTTACTAAGATGTGTGCGTGTGATTCTCGTGTGGAATGGTGCCCAAACAGCCAGAAACATTAATAAAGTCTGGGCCGATGGCAGTGAGAGGGACAGCACTGTTCAGAGATGCTTTAAAAAATTTCGTGAGGGAGACCTTTAGCCTAAAAGACAAAGATAGTCGTGGAAAGATTTCTTCCCTAGATGATGATGTTTTGCGAGCTTTGGTCAAAGAAAATCACAGAACTGGTCAAGAACTTGCAGAGAATCTTTCAGTTAGCAAATCAACCATCAGCCATAAACCTTAAGGCAATTGGAAATGTGAAAAAGCTCAAAATTGAGTTACTCATGCAATAAACGACCACAAAAAAAATGAAGTTTGTGCAATGCTTCTTTGCAGAAACAGAAACCTTTTAGAATTGTTACTCGTGTTGAAAAGTGGATTCTCTTTGATAACACCAGGCGTTCTAGACAGTGGCTCAACAAAGGAGAACTAGCACCGCACTTTCCAAAGCCCCCAGCTCATCAAAAAAAGGTGACTATTGGTGGGCTTCTTTTGGGTCGATTTACAGCTTCTTGAATCCTGGTGAAACAATCAATGGTGAAATGTATTGCTCTCAAATTGAAGCAATTCACCAGAAATTGGCATTACTGAAACCATGTTTGGTCAATCAGAAAAGGCCGATTCTGTTACACGACAATGCTCGACACCAGACACATATGACAACACAAAAGAGATTCTGCCTTGCCCTCCCTATTCTCCAGACCTCTCGCTTCTGACTACCTTTTTTTAGACACCTGGACAATGTTTTACAACATAAAAAATTTATTGATCAAAAGTCTTTAGAAAATTAGACTTAAAATTCTATTCAAAGAGTATAGCGAAGTGGTATCATATTGAGAGTGATTGAAGGTATTTTATTTAACAAAAAATGTTTAAAATCATTTATTTAATTGTTTTTATTTTATAACCATAAACCTACATTATTTTCTGAACAACCCAATATTTTATTATTAATAAGCTAAACACACACACAAAATAAATAAATAAAATAATAATAATAAAAAGACCAAAAGAGCCATAAATATAGTTTCTATTATGCTACATTTTAGTGTGCAGTTTTTGGTAAACATGAAAATAATGTTAAAAGCAGATAACAAAAAGAATTTTAAAAATCTTTTTTTTAAATAATAAAAAAACAAATCCCGTAATATTTTAACTAAATAATTATAGTACTAAATAGAAAAAGTCTAAGAATATCTCTGAAATATCAAGTGATATCATCACTCTTGATTATATTTGCAGAGTAAAACTTGGGAATTTATTTGTTTTGTTTTTTACGACGAAGCGAGCTACTGACCTCGATTGTGATGTGGACGAATCGTCGTATTTAACTTCATTATCACTATTTGAATTTGAAAGATCTAAATCACAGAGAGCCCCTGTAGCTTCTTCGGCACATTCGATTTCCCCCAGACCTGGGATCTCACAATCCTAAAAATGACAATTATCAGTAAGTAAACAATCGTGCACTGATAAAATAATGCAACTCACGACAGAAGGTAAGTCACTGACGACGGATGAAGGAATGAAAGTAGTTATCTGAGTTTCGTTTGAAACAGGGTCAGTTAACACCTCTTCATCTCCAAACGAGATAATTTGTGAAGGTGCTTTTTTACCGTCTTTCCGTTTTTTAACAGCTTAAAAAAAACATGAGATTGGCATCATATTTTTTTAAATATTAATAATTGAATTAAGCAAACAATAAATCAAAATGTATAATTGATCGGTTGTCAAGGGGAACATTAATAAACGAAGCCCATTGAGTACCTATTATTTATTCCATTATGAATTTCCTTCTCCCAAATAAAAACAAAATCATGAAATTAATTAAATTAAGTAAATAGATTTTTTAAGTTTAATTTAATTACAAAATAACTTTAACATCACAATACAAAAATTTAATTTAATTTTAACTAGTTGATTTGTGACATATTTTAGTTGTTTTGACAACTTTTATCACCATTCATGACAACATTTAATCAAATGAATTGCTCATAGTTTAAGATTGTACATTTATATTAACTCCTTAAACTCTGCATATAATTTATTAACAGACCATAGGCCAGATCTACCATGAACATAAAAACAGAAATTATTTTGATTTAAATAAAATTAAAAGCACCAACTTGTTTTATTTGATAATTAAAAGTGACCCAATATGCTGGTTGTGTATAACACATATATAGCTGTACAGGTAAATAAATTAACTTAAAAAAAAAAATTAAATTAAAAATGCATCTGATAATTACCAGGGGGTGGTTCTTCAAGTACTTTCTCATTAATGGAGACAGCACTGTTTTCATAAGGATCAGAGCAGCTTATATGGTTCAATTCAGGCTTATCGATGCTGAGTGCAAATAAAATTGAGCTCAGACCTGAAAATTAATTAATTTTAAAATTAATTAATCAGCTTAATTTTAATGTTTTGGCTAGGTATAAAGATGACAAATTTGGATATGAACTGAATATTTTGCCTAAAATAATATTGTTACTACTTTATTAACAAACAAACAAAAATATATCCATTATATTTCGTGGTCCAACTGACCAAATAACTTCTTTCAATTAATTAATCTTTATGTAAGGTCTTGGTCGAAATGAAAAAGTGTCATGAGCGGGATTCGAACCCACGACCTTCGGCTCAATACGCCATTGCTCTAACCACTTGAGAGTTCTACAACTCCGCACTCTCCAGATCTGGCCCTATCTTGCTATCATCTTTTCTTAACAACGGACAATCGTATGCATAATCGGGAGTTCAATAATTGCCAGCAGCTGGAAAATGAGCTAAATTTATATTTTAAGTTTGGACCCAAACTTTTATTAGAAGGGTATAACTGGGAAACTCACTCGTTGGGAGAAGATTAACTAATCAATTAAATGAATTTTAATTAACTATTATTAACTATTAAACCCTTTAAGCCCACAAAAACATTTCTGGTTACTTGGTAATAAAGTTGAATGTGCTACGTTTAGGAAAACACTGAAATATGTTTTCGATAAGTGATTGATGCTAGAGATGTTGAACTTTAGATTCAGGTTTTGTAAGTATTAATGCTTAAAATGCCACTTTTCATAAACACACAGTGTAATATATTAATGTTCTAACAATTGCGTCAATTTTTCAGAAAAGTATAGTTCTAAATGACTGACATTAGTAATTTCAATTGTGTATGTTTTATCAATGAAATATTATTTTTTTAAAACTTCAAACAACATATTTGATGCCTGCTAAAATGCTTACAAATTGATTCTCCTTTCTACTGGTTTTTTTTTTTTTTTTTTTTTTTTTTTTTTTAAACAAATCTTTACACATAACGTTAAAGCTGAAATGACATTTATATTATTCTTCCGGAAAAATAACAGAAAAATTTGTGATTTAAAAAAAAAATCAATGCATCAGATTCCTGCTCAATTACGATAACATGAGCTCCATCATATTTTTACATGTAATAGTAAAGTAAAGTAATAGAAAATCATCTTTACAAAGTTTTAAAAAAACATTTCTGTTTTATATACTTTTTTATTTAATGATTATTTAGAGATCATGAGATGCAGACTGGTGTGATGTAAGTTTAGAAAAACATTTTCTTTATCGTGCCAACGTTTCAATCTTTATTGAGATCATCTTCAGGCCCTGGGATTTATAAACATTGTTTAAATTTTACAAATACATGTAAGATGTGAATATGAATTTATACTGGCTACCCACCATTTTGAACACTAACGTAATTTCTATTTCAACAGTCCAAAAATATTAAACACAGAACAAAGCAAACATCAACTTAACTTTTTAGATAAACTCAGCATCAATTACAGAACAGACACACATAAACTCAGCCGCAGCTACACTAATATCACAAATCAAATTTAATATCAATAACATAGATACAAGAGTACCCCATCGACCCCAATTAGATTAGTTTGTTATTGTGTGCAGGACAATAGAGGAATATTAAGTACTCCATCTACTAAGCAGAATGAATGCAACAGGTGTGAATGTATTTACTTGTGTGAGTGTGTTTTGAGTGCATTGTGTATTTCGCAAGCGCTCAGGGCTGAAATGACCAGCTGTCACATGCCCCATAAAAAAAAAAAATAAATAAATAAAAAAGCCCTGGATCCCCAAGGGATGTGGACTTTTCCATAGGCGACACTGTAAATGGTTTTTATCCACATCCCAGAAAAAGGGCTCCATAATGTCTCAAAATATATCAAAAGTAAACGAGACGACTAGGGAAGCCCCTGTTCGGTGGCAGCAGTCGTGCTTGCGTTTGGTGGCCTCCCATCTTTTACTCAAAACTGTAAATAACCATTAGGGTTGATCAAAATCAAACATAAACAAACAAAAAACATTAATATCTCTCACACTCTCAACCCGACACACAACAGTGACACATCTACACAGAAAATACACACTTTGAGAGATACTTCAATTAAACTTAAAATTTCTATACAGTGTACAACATTGTGTAAATTTATATCTTCGTATCTCTTATTTATTCAAATAATTTATACGATGTTTATAAATCCCAGGCCCTGAAGATGTTCTCAATAAAGAACAAAACGTTGGCATGATAAGGAAAATATTTTTTTAAACTTACATCACAACAGACTGCATCCCACAATCTCTAAATAATCATTAATTAACGGTCGCTAAATTCTACACATATTTATTTAATGTATTTTATTTTTGGGCTTCCTGATGATTTCAGGAGTTATAATTATATATGTTCATTGTCTTATGTAGAATCCGTATTATTCCATAGTCAAGACTTAAGAGCTAAGGCTAATTGGCAACGAAAGCACAACAAAATCAAAACCCAATGTTGACTACATTTAAGATAATTTTTAGGTAAGAATTCCAAAAATAAGCTAATTGCTTTTAAATATTTGTGCTTCATATTAATCGAAATATAATCAATGTATTACAGCAATTTACTCAATAAATCAGCGTCCTAATCAAACAAAGTAAACATATTTGGAAACTGGATGTAACAGGTTTTTATTTAAACCGTCATACCCGCAGCCTTATTTAGGAGGATGCTGTTCAATTCCTGATCACAGACGAATGCCCACTCCTCATAATATGTTTTGAGAGAGGGGCTGGCGATGAAAGCCTTCATGTACCTTTCCAGGGACCTCTCGTTTATCGCTGACCTAATCCACGCCCTGTACCTGCCCCTGTCCGTCCAGACCTGGTGCAGCAATTCGTACCTCTCCCTTTCATGGCTTGTAAGCAGTCCTTGAACGACGTCCCAAACTGTGATCTTCGTAGTGCTTCCTCTCATTAGGTCAGTCACTTGCCTGTTTAAAAACAATAATAATAATAATAATAATTGAATGCCTGCTAATGTTTGAATAAAAGTTGTGCGTGCAAGATTTCTTTTTTCAGAGGTTTTTGAGGTTGCCGGAGCGGAAAAATGAAATGGAAGAAAATACAAATTGCGGGGGAATAAACTGCAATGCCCAAAATCGCAATTTACATAAGAAAAATAGCTCCCTCCAAAACAAAAAAAAAGAAGATAAAGATAAAGAAATGTTATTGTGTTTTGTTTCTTATTATTGTTTGTAGAATTAGTTTATGTATCATATTTGAATGGAAGAATAAAAGGATAAGGATGAGCCAATACTCATGCTGAGACTGTTGCTAGTCTGACTCCATTATTATTATTAGCCATACAAGCCTACGGGGAATTTTTAAATTATGGAACAAAAATTCACAATTCTAATTAAAAAAAGAAACAGAAATAAATTTTATAATTTTATTAAATTTTATGCAATTTAAAATGGGAATTTTGTATACATTTGGCCTTCCGAATTAAGAATTTTAAAAAGAAAAATTAAAGCTTGGATGGCAATAGGATAAATTAGATTACGAGTGAATGTTTGGAGTCAGAGCTTTATATCACTCAGAAGAGATTTAGCTAACCTAAGATAGAAGGTTTGGATGTTAGGGCGTGAAATGACCTTAGCCGTTAAAACGCCCTTAAAAATTAATAATAATAATTATAATAAAAATTTAAAAGTTGTTTAAACTGTTCTTTTTTTAACAGCCTTGATCAAGTCTTTAGTTTGGTTTTCTATGATCAACTTGGTCTGTGTACCCTGACAATCGAGTACTCATACTTTAGTGAGTAGCATTTATGTAGGAAAAAATGTATGTAAGAATAAGAGAATTTGAATTTTTTTTCTTTGTAACTTGAAAATGACCGAACTATCAAAAAACCTGGAAATTGGTTCAGAGGATAGAATGGGTGACTAAAATCAACTTTACAATCAATGGTGTTGGTGGTTGCAACAGTAAGGCGGTAACATGGTGCTCATCACTGGAAAGTAATAAAAAATAAATAAATAAAAACACCCCGAGGTCTCATATAATACCATAGTTGAAATACCCATAAAAAAATTCAAAAAATCAAAATTACATCAGACTAGGTGATTCTCACTTTATATTACTATTATTTCCTAATAACAAAATACTATTAAATTTACATGTTAATTTGTCTGGACCACCCTGATCTGTGTGGCACTGAGATGTCATTTATATGTCAATATGTCATTCAATTACATTTGGCCTTCTTCAATGGTTGAGTCTGTGTGTTGTCCTTTGTGTTTGTACTTTTATGATAAAAGTAAAACTTTGTAGACTTGTTCAATGATTTTCAGTACACTAGAATAAAAACCTATTTTTTATGTGCATGTGTTTGTGAGTGTGTGTGTTTAATTTAAATTTCAGCTTAACTTAATACCACAACACTCACTATTAGTTTTCTTTAGAAGTATATAATCTTATAATTCCCATGCTTTTAACTTTCCTTTAATTACCTGGTTTAAATAATTAATGTTTTACTGTAATAATAGTTATTTGTATCCTGTACATGAATTATACCCCTTACAAATTATTCTAATGGTACAAAAATCCCAGGCAAAACATTAACACTACTGCCAATATTGCACCAGAGGACATGTTGTGAGAAGGTAGCCAATGCTGGCACTCAGTTTGTTATCGTGTTCAGGCGAGAAGGTCACAAGCCCATCGTAGTTTGGGGCGACATGCAAGGTTCTTGAGATGGGAAGAAGTGGAGAGGGCTTGAACAGTAGGGTTAGGATGGGTTGAAAGAGCCTACTGTAACAAATCGGTACCACACTTTTACACTATACTGTTTAGACATCTCTTGGAATTCTCCACTCAATCATGGAAGCGACATTCATCGCCTAAGCTGCCCTAAAGGGTTTCATGATAGTGTACTGGGTGAAAGTATCATTGATTGTAATACCTTTCAACCGCCTCAGTGTTTTGAATATTCCAAGTACCCTGGCTAATGGGCCATCATGGAATTCTCTTAGGATTTATTTTTGGGAGGATTTCAGCACTATATATCTCTTCTCTTGAAACTTGAGGAAGAGACAGCGGATCAGTTCCTTGATGGAGGAAATGTTCAGATCATTGTGGATAGTGAGATTGAAGACATAATAAGGAGTTTGGAGAATTCTGAGAACTTTTGATTGGAAAGCTTTGATACAGTGGATGTTGGATGGCTTGGCAGTACCCCATAGTTCAGCTCCATACATCACAATAGGTCAAAGTAATGTTTTGTATACAGTTTGTTCTTTACTCTCATGTTTAATTTCGGTCCTATAAGTCTTTCTAGTTGTCCAAATCACAAGCTTAATTCTTATAGCTTGTGTTTTGTGTAAGCATTTCACATCAGTCTACTAACTAAGTATTTTACTTGTGTATTCCACTGTCTGCAGTTGTTTATTGCTGTTGTATAGAAATGGGCATTCAAGGAAGGGAATTAAGAGGCTGATAGGTATTCTGACGGGCCACTGCCCACTGAGAAGACACCTCTTCGTAATGGGTATCCTACCAGATCCCTTTTGCAGCTTCTGCGAAATAAAAGAAGAAACAGCAAAGCACTACCTCGCAGAATGTGATAGGAATGCTAGGTCTAGATTTGAAATCTTTGAAGGAGAGGACATCACCAAATCACTCCCCGAGATAAAATGGTCCAAAATCATGGGATTTGTGAACAAGTCCAAGAGGTTTATGACACGTGAGCCGACCAAGTCCCGGACCTTTTAGGGATGGGGTACGAGTCTACCCAGGCATTTAACCCCTCGCGTCTTAGTCACCCACCCTGCATAATATATATATATAGATATGGGCATGGCTGTTTGTTTAGCGGGAAGGTAATTTAGGTGTATTTAGGTCTCTTTCAGATGGGGTGGCTAGTTGATTCAACTATTTGAACAGATGGGACCTTGACGGAGTGTAACCAAGTAGCAAAATATTTGGGAATCGCCCCAACCCCTTCACACGCAGTCAACTTGTCCGCCCAGGCGGATGGCCAGCAGGCACAAGTGCCGCTCACGTTCTCAACCCCACTAGGTTGACTCTACACAAAAGACACTGCTCGACATTTGTCCTTCACACCAGTCACTAGTTCAGTCAACTGAGTTCACCACAGAAAGTGTTGCAATTGCAAGTTTCAATGCAGAGCAGTTCATTGAAGAAATTCGTATTAGTCCTGTGATATGGGACATGAGGTGAAAGGAGTAAAGCGACAAAAATAAAAGAAGCGATGCTTGAAGGGAAGTAGCACAACACAATTGCATAGAAAGCATCCGTTTTCCAATTTTATAACAACAGATAAACTCACACTTTTCTTTACTAAGTTTCCTCCTTTTTGCTTCTCTTTTTGCAGAAGAGCAAGCACAAGAAGTGCTCTTGCTTCCTCGGGTTCTAACATTGTAGTGACCTCCTGTTAGGAAGAGAGGTTGATTCCACAAGTTACCTGGTGTGAAACTAGCAAAGAAAGAGTCTTCACACGACAGTAAACTAGTTGAGAGTCAACCAGGCAACTTAGTTGAATCAACCAAACTGCCTCATCTGAAAGAGGCTAGTTCAACTTCATTTTCCATGTTTTGCACCCTTCTTCAATGAGCTCAAGAGATGTTCCTTGTAGTTAGAATAGGAATGGAGATGGGAGAAAAAATGTAGTCATAGGATGAAGATGGTGTTGGGATCAGTATTATAAATTGTGTGATGGGACCAAGAATCCCTTGTTGGACGCCAGCCTGGATCGGTCTGACTTCGGAAAACTCATTGCCATCTCTCTGTAGTAATATTTGGTTTAGGATTTTAGGATTTGGTAATAAGTGGGTAGTAACACTAGTTTGGAAAGAACTCATGGGTTCCCCACCCTGTCAAAAGCTAAAATAATTAAAATGAAACCATTATATTTAGTGGTTTGATTGACCAAATTACTTCTTTCAATAAATTATTCTTTGTAAGGTTTTTGATTGAGGCGAAAAATTAGCGAGCAGGATTCGAACCCATGACCTTCAGCTCTATACACCATTGCTCTAACCACTTGTCACAATAGCTTAAGTGGTTATATCAGTTCTGTCTGATGTTTTTTTTTTTTTTTTGGGGTTGGTATTTGACATCTGACAGATGAATACAGTGAGGATGGATCGAGCTACAACTCTACAAGGCTCATCACTGATCGCGTATCATAATTTATCTGTTGTTTTTTAAAATGCTGTCGATGTTACCTGATGGCTGATGACTTCTTATCGATGTTCTTAAGACCATGAGAGAGGACCTGCTCCCATGTAGAGCACAAAGAGCTGACATAGGGGTCCAACTCAGTCGCCAGCTCGGTCCTGCCTCCGAACCTCTTCTGGCAATTTTTGACCGCTGCCAGGAGCTGTTGCTGAAGCCTGGCCCGTTCCGAAGCGCGGTCCTCAGGACTTTCCTCTGACGGCACCATCACGAGGGAGGCTGTCCTCATCAACGCCTTGCTGCGAATGTCACATTTTACAGGCCGCGAGGGCCTCGCTCTCAGGCAAGACGAGAACAACGGAAAAAGGACGGAACCATTGGACAAATGAGGAAACTGAGAGGATTTCGGGGAAAAAATGTCAAAACACAAACATGAATGAGGATGAGACTTTGAGTCTATTTTGCAACCTCCCAAGTCCCAAGGAAACTGATTACAGCTACCGTTTTTGGGGGGGGCTGGTTATCGTAAATGTCACCTTATCAGCAAATTCACATTTCCTTAAAATGCATATAACTTTAATCAAAAAACTCAAAACATGCAAAATAAAATAAAAATAAAAATGCCAGAGACATAATTTGACCCCCATTAACCCATAAGATACACTCTAAGTACAATTAAAAAATCTTAATACTCTTAAATAATTAAATGTCATTCAAATTGGAATTTATATGACAGATTGTTAACAAAAATTTCTTATAAATTACAAAGCAAAAATGTGTGATTTTAAAAACTGGTTACATACTGGTAACGGGTATGAAAAATGAGGAAAATTAGTTCATAATGTTATGAAAACAGTTCAGTTTTTCATTCGCTGATTACCCTTTTGTGGTAACATTTTGACAATTGGGTTAGCCACAAATCGGACTTTAAAAAAGCACACATTCCATAGAATCCATGCTTTCTCATTGCAGCAAGCAAACTAATATTGATTAGTTTAAATATTTTAACAAGAATTATACGTTTTTAGAAATAAATATTTACCAAAAAACATTTTCACAACAGGGCATGGTACCTTTACAGTGAATAGAAAAATATAATACAATTAAATAACAAACAGATTACATAATACAATCCAAGAAATAACAATTAATAAATAAAATTTACTTATTTATTTTACCGGCAAAGCTTATTAAAATTGTACAATAGTTATAAATATACTTAGGAAAGGTAATATATTCATTACAAAACATACCTCGTTAATTAAAGACACAACTGAATTAGAATTACAATACTTTCTCCTCTTTGTTAATGATATACACCTTGCTCTGGTACTGAGTTTCTTCTATTCACTGATGACCTAAAAATATATACAAAAATTTATTCTGCCTTAGATTGAATTAATTTACAAAACGCTCTCAATAATCTTTCCGACTGGTATAAAACTATTCTTACATAATTCTAAATGTTTTACTATCACTTTTTTTTACAAAAAATCTTTCCACTCTTATACCATTAATTAAAGTTTGTTAACCAGAGTAACTTGTATTAGAAATCTTGGCGTTTTTGTTAGTAATCTTACATTTAAGCTACATTTACAAGAAAACAAGAGTGCTTGGCTTCAAGTAAGTTCCTATCAGTTCAAAAAATCCTACTTGCTATGTCCACCTATATATTCAATCATCTCGAATCCGCAATACTACACTGATATAAAACTTCTTTGAACTGTTCAAAATAAACTCCTTCATACATTATATTTCCAATTAAACAGTCACAATGATAAATCCTCTTATGCTCCCATTAAATCTTACTTTAATATTTCTGATCTTAACTGCAGAAAAAAGTAATTTGAGATCATTTTTATTTTCAAATTAATTCATAATTGCATAGATTCTCCAGAAATCCTTGGTAAACTCCAATTTTATGCACCACCTTGCCACCCCAGAAATCAGAAAATATTTTTTATTGAATATAAAGGAACAAATTTTTCATCATGATAGACAGTAAAAACATACAATTCTATGGATTTATTTACTACTTCTGTTTCCTCATTAAAATGTCAGTTACTTAAAGCCCAACAGGGGTGGGTCAACCTAATATGCCGCAGAAGGGGATTCCGAAGACCCACCACAGCAACTCTAAATGAATCCTCGGATTTATGATGCAAGCTTTTCATAATATTTAAACTACAGGAATAATTAAAATCGAATATAATGAATAAGGATGATGGGCAGGGCTTATTTTTGATTTTGAATAAGTAAATAAGAGATTGGATTTTAAGGTAATAAAACAAATTAATACCCTGAATGAACTTATCGTGTGTTGAGATGTGTTCTCTTCTTTGTAAACTTAATACAAATATTGTGTAATATTAAATAGTATTGTATTTTTTTTTTAGAAGTGTGATTAAATGAAAAAGTATGTAGTGCAAAGTGAAAAACAGTAAAATAATAGTTTCAACTAGTCTAAGTTTAAGTGGCGGAGAGATAAATTTATGATATTTCTAAAGTGAATTTGAAGTCCCATTCACCCTTCTAGCAACAAAGCCTAAATAATCATCCCAAAATAATCTGGTATTAGAAGTCTCACCAAGGTTTTTTACCCAGTTAGAGAACGATATTAAAAAGCCACCAAGATTAATGCCTCAGACTTAGTTATGCCATGAAAGAAATCAGTTGGGTTCAATGATTATGAGAGGTTAAGCATTACACTATCCAATCATTTACCTTAAATTATTAGTTCTTTAGTTGTTAAAAGAAAAAAAACGAAATGTATAAATGGCTAGTGAAAAACCCGCTACATAATGTAAAAGTCTATTTTAATTTTGTTTTTGAAGTTATGTAGGCCTCAACATTCCTTTTATTTACAAGCCCAATTTATTCAAACATGTAAAATTTACAATAAATAAAGTTTGATTTGATTTCAGTAATAATCTAAAACATATAACCACAGTTTTTGTTTACATTGTTAACATTTTAGCTGAAATATTTGTTTTTAAAAAAAGTTAGTTTTTTTATATGTAAATATTTCTTTTAATATTTAATTGTTATAGTTTCTAATTTATTTTTGTCATTTTATATTAATTTTTTTTGTAATTATGGAACAGTAGTTTAGCCCAATCATGTAGATGGAACACATTTTATACCTTTTTTCAAAATATTAATGTTTAGTTTCATAGTCCTGATGAAGGGTATGATATATCTCTTGAAAGCTCGATGAAGGAACTGAGTGTTGTTTTCTGTCTAATTGGCTTCATATAGATAGATTAATACTGTATTTCAGCAGTAGCTATTACAGGGAGGAGCCAAATAGCAAAATAAAGACATATACATGATTAAAGATATCTTCCAACTTAAATTGACATGACACTATTTACAAAAGTAATTAATAATAATAATAGCATGTAAGAACTAATCAAAATACATCATCAAATACATGGCGCTTAAATTACATGATGCAACAATAAAACATCATTCATTGAAAATAAAAGCCCTCAATTTAAGTGCTTCATAAACAAAATTGAACACATCAATTGACTGGTTTTTTTGCTTCAAATTTTAGCAAGAACTCAAGTTTGTCTAAATTGTTACTATTTACACATGTATCTATGCACTTCTTTAAATAAAAAGATCTTTGATGTTGGTAAATTGGACAATTTAAAAATATATGTTCCAAGTTCTCCTCTTCAAACAATTAACACACAGAACACACTGTGTGTCAATTACATATTTGAGCCCATTTACAAAAAATTTGATTTCCTTAGCACTAGACAGCCTTAGTTGTATAAGTAATCTTTGCTTATTTATAGACAAATTTAGTTGTAAATAATTTTTACATTTACACAAGGAGCTGATTTTTCTATAAAAAGGGTTAAATTTTGAGTATAACACCTTTTCTATGTCTGTTGAGTATAGATTATTTTTCCACTTCGACAAAATAATTTCTTTTTCGCGTTTTAGATGACATTCAGGGTCGCAAAGATACATCTTGTTATAGCCTATAACAAACAATAACTTTTGCAATTCGTAAAACCAGTCCCTATAGTTTACTTCTAAATTACATGCTGATGAATCGGCCTTACGGAGGACATCATGAAAGGATCTTCTCAGAAGCGAACCATTTTCCGTGCTCAATACTTTTATCCATTATTTAAAATTCTTTTTAGCAACTGCACACCAATGGGCTCAAGTTCAAGCTCAATCCTTACAGACTAGGAATATTTCTGGGCAAATGGTAAAGTGGCTTAAAATACCGTACTTGTAATTTATCCATTTCGCCCATTCCAAGGGACCACAATTCCGCAGAATACTAAGATGAGGCAGCAACAATAGAATCAATTAGTCTCGTTTTTGTTTCTAACGAATGCGATCTACCCTTTATTAAGACGTCTCTAGACTTCCCAAGTGCTCTCAAGCCTTTATTAAATGAATTATTCACTGCTGAGTTAAACTTTCCAACACACCTAGATATGTAAATGTGTTAACATACTCTACACACTCAAGGCCGAAATACAGCTTTTTTAATCTTTTACATTTGGGAGAGTTTCTAAATACCATAACTTTTGTTTTCGATAAATTTACCACCAGACCATTAAGGGTGCAATACTCAGCTAGAATATCCAGCGTACGTTGCGTTTCAGTATCAGCCTCAAATTATGATTCAAAATGAACTCTTTTTTTTTCATAACTGAACAAAATGGTAAAAGACATCCATAAAATATGATATTTCCTCTGGGGAACCAACTTTAATTGTTCATTATTATTATTACAATTATTTTAGTTTAATTTTTATTTATATAATTGTAGTAGCATAAACTTTAACATCATTTAAGTTGGTGAGAATAGATGTAGATAGAATGTTTCAGGGTATGGTATACTGCGCCATTTAAAAGCTATTGTATTGTAGCTCTGCCTAAAGCTCATCGGTGAGTCCTATTTCATCAAGAAACGTGATTAATAGGCCCGGTTTCAGTGGTTGTAGTTCTTCTATGGTCACATTGTATATCCCAAAACACTTCCTCCTGCGGGCTAATGTAGCTCCGCAGTGTGTTAGTGTGTTGGTGTCTCTTCTGCTTCCTTGCAGAATCTACATGTGCCATCTTGGATTATTCCAATTTTCTTTAGATGTCCATTTAATCTTCAGTGTCCTGTCAGGAATCCTGTTTGGATTCGCAGTCTATTCCTGCTTCCTTTGACACATTCTGTGATTTCTTTCTTGCCAAAATTGGTCAGAAGATTCTTGGATTGTCTATGTCCAATAAGTGAATTCCAAAGTTCGCTCATTTTCTTTTTGTCCTTCTGTCTGAGATATTCGTTAATAGTGTGGATTCCTATGCCACAGAAGGGTTCGGGTCCTATCCTTGCAAGGGTGTCCGCTTTCTCGTTGCCTTCTACTCCCTGGGACCCAGCAGAGGCTGACTTTATTCTGCGAACCTAATATGTTTAGTTTGGTTTTGCAGTTCAGCACCATCCTTGAACTAATGATATTGGAGCTTAGTACTTTGATGGCTGCTTGGCTATCTGACATGATAGCTATATTCTTGTTTTTGTATCCTCTATTTAGATTGAATTGGATACATCTTTCAATTGCGTGAACCTCAGCTTGGAAGATACTGGTGTGCTTTCCCATGGGTTCTGAGTATTTGGTTCCGGGCCCGAACACTCCTGCCCCCGTACCTTCCTGTGTTCTAGATCCATCTGTGTACCAAAGGATGGTGCCATTGGGGTTCAAAGACCAACCCCGCTTCCAAGTAGTGAACCCCGGGAAACGTTCGTCGCCGTCCTGACGGGGGGATTCGCATTGATCCCCACGGCATGGTAGGTGCGAAAAGGCTAAAGGGGCTCTGGTGTCCTATCACCAAGTGAGGTACTCACTTTCCTAACCACTCCTCACTAAATAGATTCTTATCACCAACTCCTCTCCCTCTATCCTATCCCCCCCCCTAAAAAGAGTCTTGGGTTTGACAGAAAAGAGCATCCTCCCCAATCTAAGGTGTCATGCGTTCCGTGGTGAGAATAAGGCTTTTAATTAATTTTTGTGTAACAACTAGGATGTTGTGGCCACAACGGTTTAGGCGTTGACCTGGTGCTTATCACTGTAAAGTAAAGGTCCCAGTAAAACTCAACTACTAATAAGCTTTTTTCAAAAACACCAGCACCCCAATATTTAATATTTATGAACTGATACATTTTTATTTTATTTTTATACTTCAGATGTATACCAGAAAATCAGGCAAAATCTACAGGGGTTGCTTAATATATTATATTATTTAGTTTTAAAATAATATTTTAATCTATAATATTACATGTCATCACAAATATGAAGTACTAAATCTAAATAAAATTTCATTTAAAACTATTAATTTAAATCAGGAACTGAACCACTTTCGGTCAAATGATACGTTACATGCCGGGGAAAAGAATATCTGTATTCTTCAAATTTTCAAGAATCCAGTTATCTGCTTTTTTAGCAAGTTCATCTGTGAATTCCTTCTTGTCCCCAGTCTTGCCTGAAAATAAAATAAATAAATAAAAACCGCGTTTAAACAATTTTTATCCTGTAAATTAGTTTTTACAAATACCTGATCGAATGAATCCCTCTGCGTCTGGATTTGTCATTCCTTTCATCTCTATGTCTTCATGAATTTTGACATTTTTTCTAAAATTGTTTATTTCAAGATGCTGTGCGAGCCTCTCGACATCTTCTTCCGAGGCAGGCTTGTTGAGGAAATCGGCAATTTTTTTTATACTACCTTTAAGATCCTAAACATAAAATGTTTTATTAACAGGCAAACACAATTTAGATTTGTTTATGTTAAATTTCTTTAACCTTGACAATATTTTCATAGTAAATAAATAACACGTTAGGATGATTCCTTCTTTCCCAACCTTCTTTTACATGTTCAAAATAAGGAGAATAGACCACTAAAACAGATCAGCATTACCACATAGTTTTATGCATTAGTATAAAGTTAACAGTAAGATTAATATCTTGATTTAATAAATATTAAATTAAATTTTTAATATTTTAAAATTTTATTGTAAAAATAAATGTTTTCACTTACGAAGATCTTTCTCAAAATAGTCCCAATATTGTTGAAAATCTCCAACGTATCCATGAAGTTTGAGCAGCTTGTTGTGATGGTAATATGAAACCGCGACATCTTTAGCATTTCTCGCTACATAGATAGACTTGCACGTGTCGACCAGATCTTGTGGTAACAGACTGAATGGCAAATGCGTTTTGATGTGTCGAGGCGATGGAAGGTCGGGAAATGTTTTGTATCCGTGCTCTCTCCAATAAGCCAACACTTTCGCCACTTTTGGATCATTATTGTTCATTTCATTCACTTCTTCATGAAACTTAATATGATGTAAAATACTAAACCTGGAATAAAAATTAAATTACATAGGAAGAAAATTTTCTTTCTTACCAGGCTTCTTATATAAAGCGAGAATGTTATTGTTTTAATTTTGACTAAGAATTAATTATTAAAAATGTAGTACTATATCAAAAAGATGGTTTATTCTTATATGATTTTTGATTTAATACTGAAATTTTTAATCAAAAACTGAAAGATTAATTAAATTACTCATAAAATGGAAATTTTCTGTCCAATGTAGTTGAACCAGATTTTTCATAATCAAAATTATTGTTGACCATCCAAACAAGTTCTTGGCAAAGAGTTGTCCCTGTAACATAAATCTGTGCATAATAAATTGCAAATATTAAGTGAAATTTAACATGTCAGAAATACCTGATCTAGGAAATGTTATAATCCAGACATCGTCTTTTTTAATCGGCATTGTGTAGTATTGTTCTGCATGCTGTTTGTAAGCAGCTGGTAAAAGCCATTTCTTGGGGCCGACCTGACAAAAACCAGTCCGTTCACCGTCAAAGTGTGACATGAGTTGTTTGTTCATTGAGTCTTCTAAATCGATAATCTTGTAGGGAAACATCACTGCAGGATGACAGCTGTCCAGGGAATTGAATTGTCCTTTTCTTTCCACACCAGACCAATTGTATTAGCTGTCCTGACTGGACAAGGGTTTTTTTAACATTTACACACCTTACATAACAATCCTATATTAATTTAGATTTTACTGGTTTTAAATCCTTTTCTTGATTTTTCCTTTTATAAAATTGTAAAAACATGAAAGTGAGTTTTAGCCACAGTACTTACTTGTAGAGTTGTAGAACAAAGATGATTAAGACACATGGGGGGGACAAAAGTCATTAACAGACATCACGATGTGAGCCCAATGCCAAAGGTCATTATAATTACTGCGAATGATATTCCAAATGATGAATACAAGTCTACTTATATACCTGCAATTTTCTCTTAACAATTGAAACTGTTTAAATGTAGGACAACAATAAAAATAGAATACTGGTGTGGAGGGGACTTCCTATGTGCAATCTTGGCTGGGATTACTTTTATGTAATTAAATGTAAGAAGAAGAAAAAAAAAGGAAGTCATTACAAACAGGATTAACTGATCAAAGAGCAGCCCTCCAATAAAAATTATATACCTTATTTCCCTCGACTAAGATTTTAATGACTAATTCTTAATATTTCATGACATTATTCATTCTTACACACCAGTTATTTTAAATAATGTTAACAATAATTAAAATTGTGAGATGCAAGGTTTTAGTAATTTATTAACTTAAAAAAGACTTGCTTAGGAAATTTAAGAAAAGGGATTTGAATAATAATAATAAACCATAATTTGTATGTGAATATTTACCTTTGATTCTCTCCAAATTAATTAACTATTAATTATTTTCTGTTTGATTTTGTGATTTAAGTACCGTAATTAGAATATAGGTAAAATTAGTATGATTTTAGCACTGATATTTTCTGTTTTTTCATTTAGCCAGTCATCAAATTTATAAAGAAAACGTTATTTTTCTATCACTTTCTTTATTAAATGCAACGATCAAGGCTATTTCATGCTCTAGTTGCACTATATCTAATCAAACAGTCCCAATTTGGATGTTATTTCGTTTGAAATATTTCGTTATTATTTTTCAAAATTCAATAATTTAACAAAATTGTGGCAAATAGTCAGATATTTTCTCTAGAGCACCAATTGTAACTATTCATGTACAACTATTTTAGTTTTATTTTCAAATCAAGAGTCAATTAAACGTCTTTTTTTTTAATCCTAACAAATCCCAGTCTTTAATTATTTCAAAAAAAGACATCAATACCGATTGCCTATCCCCTGCTCAGCCCACCTATTAATTTGTGGTGTTTAGTGACCGTTAGTTAAGATTATTCAGAGATCGTGAGATGCGGTCTGGTGTGACGTGGGTTTAGAAAAACATTTTCTTTATCGCGCCAATGTTTCGATCTTTGTTGAGATCATCTTCAGGGTGTGGGATTTATAAACATTGTTTAAATTTTACAAATACGTAGGATATGAAAAAATAAATTTGTACACTTGAAAATTTGAGATTCAATCAAAGTATTTGTACTCACTCAGTTTTCTGTGATGACACACAATAATGACACATCTACAAAGAAAACAAACACTTTGAGCAAGTACAAATACTTTGTCTAAAATTTATTTTTATTTATTTTTAGCATTGTATAAATTCATTTTTCACATCCTACATGTATTTGTATAATTTCAACATTGTTTATAAATCCCAGGCCCTGAAGATAATCTCAATAAAGATTGAAACAGCATGATAAAGAAAATGTTTTTCTAAACTTACATCACACCAGATTGCATCTCATGATCTCCAAACAATCACCTACTAATGTTTGTTCTAAATAAAAATTCCAGCATTATTTTTAACACTAAGGTTACATGGCCTGACCATATTAGCTCTATTATTAAAAAGGTCAACTCAAGCCTCCATTCTTTTCTACAGCTCAGCTTTGTCACTACACAGAAAACTAGAGTTATCCTTATAAAATATATATAGAAATATATTTATCAAAAAACATTATCATAACAGGTTTTGCCCCCTTAGCAGTGAATAGGCAAATATAAACCAAAAGTTACAAAATATAATGCAAGAAAAAAAATGATTATTAAACAAAATTTGTGTGAATATAAAATATATATAATAGTTGTATATGAATGAAGGAGAGAAGTAGGTATAAAAGAAAATTATAAAAGAGAAGAAAAAGAGAATAGCAACAAGATCATGTTTAGTTAGTTTGATCAAATCATGGATTGCTCGCAATGTTGAAAGGCCTGAAAGCCCGAAGGTGGTGTGCGAACATAATGTACTGCGGAAGGGAATTCTGCAAATGCACCACAGCAACTCTAAATATTCATAGATTTGGATCTGTGATGCAAAGTTTTTATAGTATTTTAACTGCAGGAAGAATTAAAATCAAATATAATGAACATTCGACGATGAGCAGAGCTTATTTTTAATTTTAAATAAGTAAATAAGAGATCATAGTTTAAGGTAATCAAATAAATTAATAACCCAAATGAACTTGTCATGTGTTGAGATGTGCTCTCAACTTTGTAAACTTATTTCAAATCTTGTTCAATTATTAAAAAGTATTCTAAATTTTTTTTCTACTAGAAGTCTGATTAAGTGAAAAAGATTATATAGTACTGAAATAAGTAGAAAATGGTCGAGTAAGAATTTTGACTGGTCTAAATTTTAGTGTCGGAGAGATAAATTTATGATAGTTCTAAAATGAATTTAAAATCCCATTCACCTTTCTAGCAACAAAGCTTAAATAATCATCCCAAGATAATCTGGCATTAAAAGTCACACACAGATTTTTTTCTCGGTTAGAGAAGGAAATTAAAGAACTGCTAAGGCTAATGCAAGGAAAATCCTCAGTTGGCAGATGTGTGTTGTAAATAATTATCTATTGGGATTTGAGAGGCTTAAGTTTGAGAACATTGTTTGAAGCCCAATTAACCAAGTAGAAATTGTCTTTTTTTAATGAGTATGAGTTCAATGGAATCAGGGATTAAATGAGGAGGACGTTGTGCATAGATTTGGATATCGTCAATTTGGGGTAATTTAAAGAAGAAGGGAGGTTTTGAATAAAAATTGAAGACAATAAAGGTCCTAAAATTGCACCATGAGAAACACCAGACTTAACAATAAAGATGGGAGTTTGTTATTAGATAGTTTGATTTGTTTACGACCTGACAAATAAGAAGATAGTAATTTTTAACTACAATTTAATGAATATGAATAAAATTTAATAAATAGCCATAAAATATAAATAGTATGAGTTGAATTCATGAGCTTTTGTCAGTGTATAGATTAAATATATTAGCAGTAATCTACAGTAAATTGATAAGATATTTTGCCAATTTTCATTTATTTAGCAACTGGCCTATCAAATCTTGATTGATAAATTTGTAAGAGGAAAACTTTTGCAGCTTGGTCATTGAGTGCGCTCTAAGGTCATCATGAGTAATGTCAGGTAACCAGTAACCACTGCTGAGTCGTATGATTGTGATGATGTCAGGTTACGATATTTATGTTCTGTTCAAAATGAGATTTTCTGGTATACCAAAATGGTATTGCGAGGATAGCCAAGGGCGAATCATGTTCGAATAAACAATTGCACCATTCACATATCAACAAACTGCACCAATCTACAGCTTATATCTTCCCAACTAACAGGTTCTTCTAGTATTCAGTCTTTGTTTAATAATTTTAAAAATGAGTGTAAATACGACGGAAGTGAGTTTGAAGAACTTCTTTATATTTCATGCAAAATATGGTGAGAAAGAAGGAGAGGTAAGAGGCAAATTTTTATTTTCTATTGCAAGTGTTTCTTAAATGTCTGCTTTGCAGGAAGAAGAGAAAATTATCTATTTCTATCCTAAAAGAACACCTTTGGATATGCAGATGAAGGAAGTTGGACTGTGCGAAGCAATAATTAAATTCATCCAGTAAGATTTTGTATTAATTTCCCATTTAACATACACATAAATTCAAGATTCAAAGTAAAAGTAGTAAAACAGTGTCCAAAGATGTTTTTTAGACTGCTTTCTGCAATAATCACCAAGTTTGTAATTGTTCAGTACTTGGTGTTTTTCCACCTTTACCACAAAAGTTAAGTTTATTTCTGGATTGTTCCAAGAAATATGCACAAATTTGATGTGAATCGGTGCAACCGTGCAATTGAAACCATTTCTTGATAGGGAAGAACGATTGCACGCGACCAATTGATCTCATTTCAGTCGACCCGTGTGCGGATCCCCGTCCAGTATACTCGGGCGGCTAATGCTTGGACATCATTCTCATTTTTGTCACATCATTCTAGGATTGAATTTAGCATTGCTCTTGGAATTTTCTTAGATTTATAAATTAAAGCAAACTTCCAGCAGTTGGCCATAAATTCTTTCCGTTTTCTTTCCATTAGCCATTTTATTAAATGGTTAAGAGTTTTTATTTTTCCATTTTTCTAAATATGTTTAAAGTGCAAATAAAATTGAAATTTTGTTGAGGTCTGTTAGGTGATCAGCCTGTAGTTTGATCATTTCTGATCACACTGGCCTTTCTATCTTCACTGATATGGTCTGTCAGACACATTTCAGTATTAGACCATCTTCAGGGGTGGGTTTGTGTAGGAAAATATCCAGATTAAACTAAATCTGCAGCTAAAAAACTTAAAACTAATCCACCATTTCAGAAAATCCAAACCAGAGAATCATCATCCCACTGATTAATAGAATGTCTCACAATTTATGTGTAATTAATTTTTTTTTTTAATTTAGAAATTTTTCAACTTCTCCCTGTGAAGCACTGAAGACAGAAAAGACTCAGAAACTATTTTATCAACCAGAAGAAAATTTTTGGATGGTCATGGTAAAAATTTAACAATTATATTTTGTTATCTTAAAACAAATAATAATGTTTTTGTTTTGATATTACAATTCTTATCAAAGACAATAAATATTCCTTTTGGGCCAAGAAGCAAAGACGTTTTGGAAGGTTCCGAACACTTAGATCATGAAGTCAAAATGCCAGTTTTTAAGGCTGTTCTTAAACAAGCTTACCAGACATCGAGATTGATCCTGGGGCCGTTTCAGAACATCCTTGACTCTGGTAATGGAGTACTGTCTGAGCTGAAAAGCAAATGCGACAATTTTTTCTCAAAAGTAAGTTGTTTTGTTCAAGTATTTCAAGACTTTTTCAAAGTTCAGATCAAAATTGTTTTCTTTTTTAGTATCTGGCAAATTTAAAATTGAAGCAATGTGACATCATAGACGTTTTTCAAGGTGTAGAATATTTGGGATTAGAGAAACCTTTATTTTTGTTATCACAAAGTTTAGCTAACCAAGTGGAGGGTAAATTTCCTATCTTTGATTATTCCCTTCTTCTATATGAAGAAAAAATAGTTTGGTAAGTAATAAATTAAAATTCTACTAAATGACAAAAGTTTAAATTGTACTAAAAGTTTCTTTTGAAGGAGTGGTCTGGAGCTAGAAGATGCTCAATTGTTGTATAAATACCTAGTCAGTTGTTTGATTCCATCGTTTCTTTTTAAAACTAATAAGACTACTAGCTCCAATTTAACTCTCCCGCCTTCAATGAGGTAAATTTAAGTTTAATTAATAAAATTATTCAAGGCTTAAATAAACTAGTGTTGGTTTTTGTTTGATTTTTTAAGGTTTATATTCGGTAGTCAAGGTAAAGAAAGAAAAGTGTACCTGTCTAAAGTAGCTAACCCAGGTTTTTACAATCTTATAGTCTACAGGGTAAATTTAGCAACACTTTGCCTACTTAGCAACTGTAAGTGATATTTTTTATATAAAAAATAATAATAACAATAATAATACCTTGAATTTGTAGGTTCATCTGTGATAAAGGACGAACTATTTGGCAAACTAGATGATTTCCTTCGTGACAAAATGAACAATATTTGTGCCGAGATAGTGATGTCGAAAAAGCCCAAACCTCAAATTACAGAATTACAAGATAGTTCTAGTTTGAGGTATTGAACAAAAATCTATACATATTTTGAGATTCACACGTTATTAAATATTCTCAATATTAAACAAAAATAATTATTATTTTATTTTACAGATTCGCTTATTTCAACTCCACAAATCTGGCTACAAAAAGTACCCTTCATGATTTAAGGATTGGACAACCTCCAGCCCAAAAAGAGTCTCTGAGATTACTTGTTGACATATGCCAACAGCTTTCCGAGTAAGGCAAAATTTTATTAAATCAATCATTATGAAATGTTTATTTGTTTAATTCAAAATTTAGCCTTCGAGAACAAGGTTGTAAATCGAGCGAGTTCCTTTACAAATGCCTCTCTGACCAGTGGGTAATCGGGATGATGTCAAATGGAAGGCAGTTCTATGTTACCATTGACAGGAAAAAAGCCAACCTTCTCGACATAAGCAGTAAGTATTGTGAAACAATTTTTTTAGCAATTACTAAAAGTATTAATTAGTAATAAAAGACTTTTTTAATATTTTTCCAGGGGAGGTGAACTATATTTGCGATAAGCAACTCAAAGGGATTTTTTTTCATGTCTGAATTTCTGTGATATAAGCAATAAATTGGAATTTCGATCATTCCACAATTTTGTTTTTCCAACATTGATATTAGTTAATGCCATCCTTATTGACGTACTGTAATTATAAAAGGGATAGCCATGAAATTTAAGTCAAAAATTGATTCATTTTTAGGATCTATTAAAATATATCATTTTAAATGTATTATTATAAATTTTTATTTTGTATTATAAAGTTGTATGTATTTACTATTCTATATCTAATACAAAAAATTTCCCCTGTTATTGTTTTGCATCTTGACATAAACTTAGAAAACCTTTTAATCAATTGTCATACAAAATATTTTTATAAATTGAGCTTATAATGCTAGTAATTTTAAAGAAAATCTAGCTAAGTCACACTGAATAAGGTTAGTTTAATTTTGATGCACAAGACAGATTTTGGATCTAGAAATCTTTATAGTTGTCCAAGCCTTCTGTTCAGTTGTTGCCTATTCATGTGTGGGGTCAGCTGACATCAGTCTGCTGTCTAGCTATAGTCCTGATTGTTTGACTTAAATGGAAGTCAGTACCACTTTGTTGTTAATGTACAATGACTGTTTTTCAACATGAACATACTCTGAGTACATTTTTTCATTCAGTCTTGTTCTCTATTTTTTTGCACAAATCTTAGATAAGCTCAAGGTGTTCTTGGTTGTTGGAGATAGCCTGGGTAAGATTCGAATTAGAGGACAGAATTGTGGTATCATCCGCATAGGTGCTGACGATGGTGTTGGGGTGTGCCTTTAGGTCAGCAGTTTAGATGATATAAAGGAGGAGATGAAGAATGCTACCTTGTGGGGCACCAGCTTATATGTCTGATTGCTAAGAACTTACTGCACCTCACTCAGAAGCAGAAGGTAGGGTTCTAGAATAAGATAATAACTGGTATGAAGCATTCAAGATTATAAAGCATGCCTGGGTGCCAGTCCCTGTCACAAGTGTGTGCTACATTTAGGAATGCATCCACCCCTTGAGAAGCAAAACTGAGTTAATGTCATAAAACAATTAGTAACATTTAAGAAAGAACCCAGTTTCAAGGTTGAATCTCTTCTACTATTATGTTGTATGTCCCAAAATACTTTCTCCTGTGAGCAAGTGCAGTGCCACAGTTTGTTCATATGTGTGTTGTTGTTTCTACTGCTTCTTTGTAGAATCTGCACTTCCCATGTTGGGTTATACAATCTTCTTCACATGTCCATTTAGTTTGCAGTGCCCTGTTAAGATTCACTGTTTTTTCCTGCTTCCTTTAATGCATTCTGTTACCTCTTTCCTTCCAACGTTTGTTAAGAGGTACTTGGATTGTGAGTTTCGTTGTTCCCTCACTTTATTTATATCCTTCTGCCTGAGGTGCTCATTGACATGTGGATTCCTATGCCACAGAAGGGCTCGAGTCCCATCAGTAGTATAGCATTCCTTTTCCTTGCAAGGGAGTCCGCTCTCTCATCGCCATCTACTCCCACATGTCCTGGTACCCAGCTGAGGGTCATTTGTTTAGTTCAGTTTTGCAATTCAGCACCATCTTTGAACTAATTGCTCAAACTTAGCACTTTGATAGCTGCTTGGCTCTTTGACCTGATAGCTATTCTTGTTTTTGTACCCTTTATTAAATTTGAATTAGGTACATCTCTCAATTGCGTGGACCTCAACTTGGAAGATCCTGGTGTATTTTCCAATGGGTTCTGAGTATTTGGTTCCATGACCGAATACTCCTGCTCCGTAATTTCTTGTGTTCAAGATCTGTCTGTACCAGGAGGTGTTTTTCTCTATTTCTCATTCTTTTTTGTCCTAACTTTATTTGGAAATTTTGATTAAACTGCAACGTCCTGTTCATGCCATCTCTTGGAGCCATGAGTATCGGATGTTTTTTCATCAGAATATTACTTTGTTCTGTCTGAGGTGCTCATTGATAGTGTGGATTCATAATTTCATATGCCACAGAACAGCTCCTTGCAAGGAAGTCCGCTCTCTCATCGCCCTCTAGTCCCATAAATCCTGGTCCAACCAAAGTACTTTGTTTTATATACCTAATTTGTTTAGTTTTGTAATTCAGCACCATCTTTGAGCTAATTACATTTGAACTTAGCGCATTGATGGCTGCTTGGCTATCTGACCTGATAGCTACATTCTTGTTTTGTACCCTTTATTCAGATTTCAGTTTAAATTGGGTACATCTCTCGATTATCGATTATTAAAACCTCTTGTGGCTGTGCAATCCTTGCCCAAAAACCGATATTTATGTGTCTGTACATTAGTTTAGTTGATATTTCGACATATTTAGTCATATTTTAGAAAGTAAAGAGAACTCTTTACGTAAAGACTTGATTGAGTTGAAAAAGTTAGTACCACGAGCTTCTTGAAGTCATGATAGACTTAGTTGTGGTTTGAGCAGTGGTCGAGCTGAAGGTCGTGGGTTCAAATCCCGCTCTTGACACTAACTTTTTCATCTCAAACAAGACTTTAGGTTAAGAGTGTAATTAATTAAAATAATTAATACGTTCAATTATGGCTACTAAACATTTATAGATTAATGTAACACAGAGAACGATTAACTCTGTCTATAATTAACAAAAATTGTGGGGGGGGCACAATTCAAGTTTTATGATATTATTTAACCATATGGCCTTGTTCTTCTGTTTTAATAATTAAGTACATAATTTATTTTTTTATAATTTTTAATACATTTGAAGTTAGGAAAATTGTTATTACATCTCGTCTCTTGTAGTAAATAAATGCGAAACATGGATGTCTGAATGAATTTTGAAACTATCCAAAAACACCACTCGGGCCACCTTATTCGCGATGATTACTTATAAATTACTTCCAGGTTTAAAATGGATTAATCTAAACTTTTAATCGTTAATTAAAGAAGGAATATGAGTGAGGTGGAAAGCTAAAAAACTTTTTTTTTATCAAGGAGGCTTGTCAGTTTGTCTGCCTTCTCTTCGCCTGGTTATAACCCATAATCCTGGAAGGAAAGGAGCTCGTATCGTGAAATTCTCTTAAATAAGGAATTAAATAATTAATTAAGAGATGGCCGCGATCGTGCAGGGTTTAAGCCGGTCTCTCGTTCGATGTTCGTCTTTATTGAAAGGCAATTTAATTAAAACGGCCGTAGTCGGTTTGCAGCATAACCAATTCCATAGGCAGATTCGTCAAAACCCTTTACCACAGAAGAAGGTGTGTATTAAAATAATGATTTACATTATTTTTACCATATTTACACTTAAAAGAATTAGATTTTGTCAAATTTAAAACAATTTATTACAATTACCCGAAATACTTTTGTAATATGAACTTTTTTTTTCAAACATTTTCTGTGCAGTTTTTGGATAGTAAAAGTTTTTCTTCAAATACTAAAGTAGACAAGGCGAAGCTCGCCGAAATCGAAGCGCGCGTTATGAACGTTGTCAAAGCCTATGACAAAATCACAGCTGAAAAGGTAAACCCTAGTTGTAATTATATCCATCTTTTATTTCAGAACATTTTAGTCGGTGCGATTCGCTCCTATAGCAGCCAGGAGCCGATGTCGTTAGAACTCATCAGGGATAGAGTGCTACTTGTTCTCAAACTGTACGATAAGATTGATCCTAACAAGGTATTCTTCTCTTTTTAAGATAATTTGTTGTGTATGGTGCCTTGAATCGGTCTGCTGATTGATAGTGTTTTGCCAAAACCATCTGGCAAGCTAGCTTCGTCTTAGGGCGATGACACACGGAGCAGTTTTGACTGAAGCGTTTATCGTGAGAAAAATCGAGGCGGTGCGTCGTTCATTGTTGTTGCATATAACCTGACAGACCTAGCGGTCGTACCACCTGTCGGTTTTCAAACCGAGTCTGTCGGTGGCGGAGACGACCCAACGCTTCGGTTTTGAAAACGCCAGGCGGTGAGTGGTACCCAAGTATTGCATCAGCCCTGACACACGTGGCGTTTATTTGAGCTGTTCATACCCCACTTCCTTGAAGGGTTGTTTGTTTGTCAGTCTTCTAATTTACTTTTAAGATGCAAAAAATAGACATGGAGAAAAAAATTTGTAATGCGGCATTTTATTTTATTATGTAACTCGTCAAAACCGCCCATTTACATCCTGGTAAAGTTAAAACATTCTTCAGGGTGTTTCCTCATCTCTGAAAAAAAATTCTTAAAATGCCCTCTTTCGCTTCTCTTCTCGACAATTGGATGAACCCACATTCTTCTGTGTTTTTTCTCCATTCTCTTCTTCTAACGATAGTACAACAGAGACACCAGAAGAATCTCTTCATCCATGGGAACTCCATGGGGAATGGGCCAGTGCCAGTTCAATAAGATTAATAAATAATATAATTTTAGCTAATTCTCAACTTCCTGACACCTAGAGCTTTACATATTGATACTTAACCACCAATAAAAATGGGGGGAAAAATCTTAAGTATTTACAGATTGTACGGTGCTGTACAGTAACACAACCTTTTTTAAAACGAACTCACCTTCCTCCAGGGCCTCTTTTAACTTTACAACTACTTGAAAGTACATCACCCTATAATTAAATGATTTCTACAGCTTTACGGGTACAAAGTATGCGTATGACTGTCGGTGATACATGGTAGTAACTAGTTTAATAAAGATTTTGTTTTGAATATTATCTGGAGGAAGAAGGGGACTCGTTCAAATCCCAGCTCTGTGCCTTTTAAATTATAGTATGAAAAATGAAAAGTAGTTTAAACCTTCCTTGACTCTGAACAGGAATTACTTTACTTTTATTGATCAGAGAGGATTGATTTTTTTTTTTGTTGTTGGGGGGGGGGAAGCGAAACGGGAATCGAACCTACAACTGCAGGATCTGAGCCGAGAGTCTGACACGCTTATTCGGCTACCCGGGATCCCATCTAAATATAAATCAACTTAAATATTTATTTTTAAAGACTATTTTTCAAAACTTCATAGAAAAAAGAAAACCGAACGAGATGTAGTGTGTAGATAACTGTGAGATTTCACTTTGTAGCCAGTTCCATGGGAGCCTCAAGATGCATTCGCCAGAGTGATTGTGTATACACACAGGCGTTTGTACAACCATTCAGTTTGTGCGGAAATCATGAATACGTGTTTGCGAAATACCAGTCTTCAACTTACTTCCTATTGTTATGGGCAACAGTTACTGTTTTATCTAATGGCTACAAACTCAGTCACAGAGTACTGTTGCCTTATCTTACTTTCGATCCATTTCCAACCATTAAAAACCTCGTTCCGATTTTGTGATTCAGAAGAGAAGCATACCAAATTATTGTTTCAGCTTGGTACAGATTGAGGAACTCCAAGACTGTTATGCTGGGCAATTCATTCCTAACCAATAGATACAAAAATATGTTATTCTTTCATTAATACATCTATATTGAAAAATAAATAGCAGTAAATAGAAATTTATAGTTACTATGAATTGATGATTTCAGATGATATTCATACAGTACAATTGATTCCCAAATGTGTGGTTGCTTTGAGTTCAGCTACTTAATGAATATTTGTGCACTTCGAAGCAGACAGAGAAGCCGACAATTAGATGAGCAAGGCGAGCACTGAATATTGTTGCTTGGCGAATAACCGAGCTCCCGTCCCCACACAGTTGAGTGAATGAAATTAGGAATGAGCATGACGATTGTATGAAAGGGGGTAAAATAGAACAAAAATGGACAATAAAAACTTTTCGATGAATCTTTCAATTACTCAAAAGTTTAAAGACAAAAGTGGAACTAAACATCAACATGACATCCCCTCCACCACATGATAATAAGGACATTACAGAGAATTTGTATTATCAAATAAAATTAAAATGGAGAGAAAGTAACTTTTTGATTAAAGAACATACGATACTCATGGCTCCAAGAGGTGGCATGAACAGGACATTTGAGTTTAATCAAAATTTCCAAATAACTTACGTCAAAAAAGACCTTTCAGATTGGCACCATCTACTGGTACAGATCTAGAACACAAGAAGTTACGGTGCAGGAGTATTTGGTCATCATGGAACCAAATATTCAGAGCCCATTGGAAAATACACAAGGATCTTCCAAGTTGAGGTCCACACAATTGAGAGATGTACCCAATTCAAGTTGAATAAAGGGTACAAAAACAAGAATAGCTATCAGGTCAGAGAGCCAAGCAGCCATCAAACAATTAGTTCAAAGATGGTGCTGAATTGCAAAATTAAACTAAACAAAGTGACCCTCTGCTGGGTACCAGGACATGTGGAGTAGAGGACGACGAGAGAGCTTACTCCCTTGCAAGGAAAAGGGATGCTATACTGCTGATAGGACTCGAGCCCTTCTGTGGCATAGGAATCCACATGTCAATGAGCACATCGACAGAAGGATAAAAATAAAGTGTTAAAGGAAGCAGGAAAAAACTACAAATCCTAACAGGATTCTTAACAGGGCTAAATGGACATGTGAAGAACATTGTATAACCCAACATGGGAAGTGCAGATTCTACAAAGAAGAAGTAGAAACACCAGCACACCCCCTACTAACAAACTGTGGCACTGCATTTGTTTGCAGGAGAGTGTTTTGGGAAACACAACGTAATCATAGAACCCTGAAACCGGGCCTGACAATTAAGTTCTTGTATGAACTAGATCTCACCGGTGTCCTGTAAGCATAGAAAAAAGGAATGTAACAGCTCTTAAATGGCACAGTATAATACACACCCTGACTAATACATCTACACCAGTACAACTACTAACTCAAGCAATTGAGAACTCCAACAAAATTTCCAGTAGTTGTAAAACCAGACAAAGCAGCCTCCTATAACAATGTTATTTGAGAATGCTGAAAGAGCGAACTTCGCTTATTCATCACTAAAGACTGGATTTTCATGCAAAAACCTCAAATCCATGGGGAAAAAAAGTGTAATAAAGATAAAACTTTCTTTTAACTTAGTAAAAATTTTATTTATATAGTAAAATTAATTATTGTCGTAAACTTATTTATGATTGATTGTTTATTTATAGTACACAACTAGTTTAAAAACATCAACATTGTGAAATGTAACACAAATTAACAATTAACAAGAAACATGATTGTACAAACTATCATTATTTTTATCGATGAAGATGAATTTGACCATGACAATTAATGTGTTTGGGATCTGGTTTCTGGTCATAACCAGATTTTTTTTAATCCCTACAAAGAATGTACTATATGCTGCAAGTGCCTTTAATTAGTTTTGTAGGGATAAAAATAAAGATTATTTATAAATCATGTTTTCTTTCATAATTGTAATATAAATTTTAAAAAATTCTCATTTTCCTTACTAAGATTAATTTTTATTTGTTTTCAAAATGTTCTGTAATACAAAATAAAATTGAAAACAATGATTCAGTCATCGATGACCCACCTACAGTTTTCGGTTCCGAGTAGTCCTGTAGCTATTACTTTAAACATTTGATAGTACGAACTTAACAGGATTTATTATTAAGTGGTTCTGCTTTGCTTCCAAGCTGAAGCAAGATTGAGAAATGAAAAGCGAGAACTATGCAAATGATGGAACAGAGCAGATTGGCGGATGTCGGACATAAAAAAATTTCTTGGAAAGTTTTAGGCATTAGAAGTTGAAAACTTGGATGAAGTGCATCATAAAAAAGATTTTACCCTCAATTTGTTTACTAAATACTATAAGCCCATAAAAACAGTGTATTTTCACGTTTTTTAAGCATAAAGCAATAATAAATAGGAAAAAGTTCAATTTTGTGCAGTGAACTGTAAAAACATTCAGTTTCATGAAATATCTCCAAAATGTGAAACTTGGTGCAAAATAAGTATAGTGTCGAATGGATAACCTTTCTATGATTTGAATTTGTCTTGGTTTCATAAAAAAAGTAATTGCATGGGAATCCGGTCTTCATTCATCACTATCTACTTCTAGCTGTGGAATTTAATTTTATCTGTTTTAGGCTCCTAATAATTTTGTCGTAAATAAGTATATATGTACATATACCTGTTAATGTATTTATGTACAGTATTGTTTTGCTGAGTGGAATAAACTTTTTAGTGAAAAAACGTAAAATATCTGTACATAAATTCATACATAGCATTGATGATAGGCACATGCAATAAATGAAGTGTCTGCTTGATGTGTAGATAGAAGATAATGATTAGAAGGCTGAAATTTGAGATTTTTCTTAATATCCACGGTGAAACGTTAGCCCGTGGATAATGAAAGTGGACTGTATTTTATATTTCCAAAATTTGTAGAAGTATAAGCACATAATTGATGATTATTGTAGAGATCAGCTACTACATTTCTTGGTTGTACCACATCTACAGATGACCACATCCCTAATTCGCAAAACACTAATTTGTGTGTAGGCTGGTCGATCGCATACGAGATATATTCTATAGATTAAAAAAAAAAAAAATAAATAAAACTTTTACTGGACTAGTGACAAGATATCTCATTTTGGCTGGAATGCTCCCTGGGTCCAGTGACGAGTTATCTTCATTGGGCTTGTATGCTCCCCAGGCCAAGTGATGATTATCTTGTAATGTTTTAAGGACCCTAGCTGGACACTCGCCTTATCAGATGAGGTTGTATCCAATTGTAGCAGTATTCAGTAGTAACAGCCTCCCACACCTTTTCTTTCCCGTCCTCATCATCAACGAACCAATCTTTTCTCCCCCTTCTGTTAAAAATTGGCTTATCTCTCAGACTTTTGCAAAATTGCAACGCGTTCCTTTTTCTGGAAAACCATTCGGTCAGAATATGTATGTCTCATTAGGATTGCCCTATTTTCATCTACATCTTGTGTTTTTTTTTTCCTTTAAAGGAGTGGAGGCACCTGGGTACATTTTTACTTTAAAGAAGTTGTCTAAAGAATAGGTTTGTGCTTTAAAATATGCACCCTAGAAGTTCGACTCCCATATCAGTTTTCAGCTTAAAATTCATCAGCTTTTTCCTGATGCCTCTAATTTATTGACTTGGATACATCAAATTATTTTTAACTGCCCAAGGATGTTCCACCTAATTTTGGTTGGTTGGTTGCCATCTAGGACACCAAGCTAGTCAATTCTCTGGTTGTAGTTTTTTAGTGTTTGAATGAAGTGGAAATTAGGATTTACTTACCTCTGGAATTAGGCGAATACTTTTGAATAACTTAAGAAAGGTTTGCTCCAAATTAAAAACTGTTGAATTCAGCCTCAAAAAAATAAAAAAATAAAATAAATGTATATTGATGAATACCTTGTAAAAAAAAAAAAAAGTTTACATAAGTCAGGATTTTTCCCATTTATTATTTAATGGGGGGGGGGGACAGAAGTTGAACTCACCCTGTATGTTGAGCTGCTGAACTGGTTATTTTATTTTATTTTTATTTTTTATCTAAAACATTGATTTTGTTTGGTTTCAGCTTACATTGGAGTCACATTTCATGAATGATCTAGGGTTAGATTCTTTAGATCATGTTGAAGTTATCATGGCCATGGAAGATGAATTTGGTAAATACATATATTTTCTTTTATTTTCTTTTTTCTTTTTTTAAAATTAATAATTCAAAATGTTTTAGGCTTTGAGATCCCTGACGCAGATGCTGAGAGACTATTGAGGCCTGCTGATATCGTCACATATGTAGGCGACAGAAATGACGTTTATGAATAAGACCTGAAAATAAAACTAATGTAGTTATAATTGCGGGTTAGATTTGTAAATAAATGATGAGCCATCTTGCAATTTTCAGGTTTATTTTCTCTATTTTAGAAGTTTTGTAAATATCCAGTAAGGCTTTGAAAGTCTTTTCAGTCACAGTATATTTGTTAACTACTTGTTTTGAATAAATTAAATTGTTCAACTGGTTTTTTTAATATTTTTAATTTTTTTTTATACTTGAATGTTTGTTCTTTTTCAACCTTTATAAGCAAAATCATAATTACTGAACAGTGCAAAATTTATAAAATCAAATAAATTAAATTTAAACAAAAGATTATGCCCTACAATACCATTCATATGGGGGGGGGATGTATAATTTTTATAAAGTAAAATTTCGTAAGAAAGTGCTGGTCTCTTGAAAAAATAACACCCGTTAACTCTTATAAAACGTTTCAGCCCCCTCGGTGTAACATATTTTTTTCTGCCTTCAAAGTCAACAAAATGTCTTATAATTTGTATTTTAGCAATGAAATCCTGATTAAATGTATGAATAGAGAAACATTTTTAATAATGGCTTCAGAACTTGTGGCTTCCTAAAGGAGTATACATTGGCCATGGAACTGGAAAATGAAATCCAAGCCCCCGTCGGTTGGCGTCTCTTGTCACAAATGAAAACCTCATCACTTTTCAGGACTTATTTAATTTTGACGATTTTATTGGATTGCTCAACGATTGAAATTTTAATGGAAAACAGACAACGAGGATGGTGAAGATGGCAAAGACTGGAAGAAGACAAAGAACCTGAAGAAGAAGTTCCGACTATCACTCTTAAATAGGCCAAGAAATTGATCAATCATGTATGTAATTTTTTAGTGAATGAAAACTACATAAAAATAAAAACTTTACATACATATGCACAATACTTTAAAAAAATTAAAACTTTCAATATAACGTATTTTTCAATTTTTACCTGTGATATAGTGAATATATCAGACAGCCTTTGTCCCTTGAAGATATGATATATTGGGATATACATTAACTGCATTTTTTAATCTGTAGGATGTAAAATACGTTGGGTTTGTAACTTAAATAAAAAATACCATGGTTGATATTAAAACTGTTTATTCATGGGTCACACTAAAAAAATGTTTTGTTAAGGAATACAACTATTGCGCCAGGAGTGAGGAAATAGGCTAATCGCAAATCAAATAGTTAATTATTAACGAGGAACACATTTTTACAAAGAATCGACGTTTTATTTCAGTTTTTTGACAAATGAAAGTCTTGTTTTAAAGTATCTACAGGAATCGCAATTCATCAGTCTTATTGCTTTATTTTTCACTTATTGAATAATAAAATTTTAAGTGGAAAGACTAATTATTTTCTATAGAATAGTTTGTGAGCTTAATATAAAGAATAAACATACGGTATGTGCCTTTTACAAAAGCCACACCTAGTCAATGCTTGAAGTACAAAAAAATGGAAGAATTTATTTGGTATTCATTTTCTCACTAAATGACAAAATGGAGAATTTGTCAAAATTGAATAAATTTCGACTCGATCACCATTTCAAAACTTTTGATTAAGTTGATAAATATAATGTAACTACATTAACAGTAAATTATAAATAAGAATGATAAAATTATACAGTTCATAAAAAAATTATAAAATGTAAAAATTGTTGAGGGGAAAAAAGTCGCAGTTGTGTGCTGGGTGAGAAAGAATGCGTTTGGCTATTTGGGAAATATACTGAAATAGGATGGAGGCGGAGTCGAATTGACCGCTATGTGGTACGGAGGCGGTGGGGCTTCAGGTGTCTGTACACTGGGAGTCGCCGGCTCCGGTTCGGCCGCCCTGCTTTCCAACCGGCCGATTGGAGTCAATGCAGGCTGGTCCCGACGCTTTGTCAACGCTGTCCAAGTCCATGTCGACAAGAGGTAGACAATCGGCGTGACTACATAGAGGAAAGCCATGCCAACGTTGCAGAGCACAAGAAAAAGCATAATTTTCTCAACGCCATCTTTCTGGATCTGTCAAAACTCTTTATAATCATTTTTTTGAATATTGAACTCATTTTAATATTGAAATAAATCAATTTGAAACAATATCAAAATATATTGCTTTCTTATTCTTTAAACATACATTTTTTTTTTTTACTTTACCTTTGTTTTTATTAAGAAAATCACTGTGTCTGTGAATAGAACTAACATAAGGTATTTAAGTAAAGGACTTCTGTACTTCCGAGGACTTGTGTACTCTGTATTGTTCTGTGGCTGTTGGGTTGGCGTTTCATCAGGTGTCTCAAGATAAACAGAACAGTCGACCTCAAGTCTGGTTGGAGATCTTATACGCTCATGATTGAAGCTATACATAAAAAAAATTTAATTAGCGTTAAAAAGTATTTTCATGTAGAATGACAGCTTACTTGTACGCCTGCGGTGTGGGGCTTTCGGGGATGACGAGCTCGACCGTCTGAAAGGTCTGGACCCCGGCAGTTCCAGACCCTCCAGTAGCCTTACCTGCTCCCCCCCACCGTCTACCGCTTCCACCTGAAACCGTGAATAAACTGTTTATTATATTACAGTCTATAGGGAAAATAAAAAAAGAAGTTACAGTAAAGTATTGTGGTCGGTTGTTTGTAATGGTGATATGTGGTCCCACGGAGACCACTCCAGGTTGCGATCCAAATTTTGCTTTTTATAAACTAACACTCTGAAAAGAAAATCAAATTAGACAATTTTTAATTGAAGTTTTCCCAAGGATGTGACCTCTTAATGAACTCGAAAGAAATGAATCAGTTTTCATTTAATAAAGTAATTATATAAATTACATCATTTTTAGAAGAAAGCTTAACAAAAAACGTGAAAATGGTACATTTTAATAGTGACTTTCTAACACATTTTCTAGGAACATAAGGGCAGAAGTTGGAAAATATAAATCTGCAAGACAAAATTAAAATTTTATCATTCATCAGTATACTTTGGGTTAATTATCTTGTTATAAATAAAATTTAATTGATTTTTTCAGAGAAATAAATAGTGAACTGCTTTTTTTTAAAACTGTTTGCTATTTATTTGTCTGAATCTGTGAATCAAATAAAAGACACTGAAAAAACAAACCATAAAAGCAAGAGGAATAGCATTTTATAACAATTTTTTTCCATGTATCAATGAAAAAAAATAAAAGTGATAAAAATATTTATGAAATATCAGTATTATAAAATCTTCTCTTTACATTTGTTTTGATTGTCTGGACTTAGCTTTTATTTTCCATAAAGAGATGATATTAATTACATTATATTCAAATGACTGATTTGTTCGTCTAATTTTTAGTTTTTATTTTGCAGTTATAACAACACTATATGCAGATTAAAAAAAATAAATAAACATTCATTTCTTTTATACTCATTAGGCATTTTATGTAGGTTTTTAAATTTATCCATTAACAAATAAAATGTTTATGTATTTTTTTTTAAATATAAGTTCAATTTATTATACAGGCAAGATTTGCAGCCATAACCTTTGAATAAATATCTGATATTCAAACACTTGAGCTACCAAGACTTTAATCAGCCTGTGATGGAATTTTTTTATTTTGAAAAAGTATGCATAATAGAAGACCAAACTGACGGTAAACCTAGGCAAGTATGCTACAGTTTTCCAGTCTGAAATCAAAGCGATAGAACAATGTGCCAGAGAAATAAAAAGGCTAGGAATACATTCCCGGAAGATTGTTGGACTCCTGGCGGGGCACTGCCACTTAAGAAAGCACATGCATTGGATATGAGTACAGACAGAAGAAACATTGTGCAGATACTGCCAGGAAGAGGAGGAGACCGCATAATGAATTTTATGTTTCTGCAAAGGTCTACGTAGGTGCAGGTTCTTGCAACTAGGACAAGAAAAACCACAAGCAAGATCCTACACCAAGGAACTGCTGGCAAAGCTGTGGAGGCTGGTTAATAACCTGAGGCTGGCCAGTGAGTTATAATTAACAGAGGAGCACAATAGATCTATTTAGGTTGAGATGCAGTAGGCCTTGTGACCACCTCTCTTACCCCTATCCCCTATGTATCATAAATTGAAGGTTGATGTATTGCATATATTAATTATTTATTTATTTCTTCTCTGAAAGTAGCGAGTGTAGGGTAGGCCAGAATTATCAGACAGAACTAAACAACAATATATTGTATAATTGTCACATTGGGTATTTATTGTTGTTGTTATCTAAGTACCTAGACAAATAGGTCTAGAGGGTGACAAAACCTCTGAACTTTACCGCCGCGATCTCACCCTCTGTCACTAAAAATGCAATAAAAGCCACGATTAAAATAAATTGGAAGCTTCAGTGGGCCGCATTGACCAAGAAGCTCTCATGTAACAAGGGCACTGATGATAACCCCCAAGTGCCCTCAGAAGATCAACTCGTAGAAGAGGGATCATCCTCAACTGATTAAGAGTAGGCCATGCGAGGTTGGCAGACATTCGCTTACTTTTGGGCCAAAGCCTGCATATGTATCCGCATGTAGAGAAAGGTTGCTTGATGTGTCCCACTTAATAAAAGAGTGCCATTCATTAGCTCCATATAGAGAGCACATAGGCATGCTACCCGATATGAGAATTATGCTTGAGCACAGCAATTTGTTCTAATTTTTGGAGGAAACAGTTGTTTCATTTCCTCGGGTTGTTTTATTGTGTGTAATACTGATAGCTTTGTGTCTCTAGTGTGTTGAGAGTGAATGTTGGTTGTTTGAATTGGTGTGAATGTGAAGGGTGAATATTGAGTACCCCATTGACCCTCAATTATGCTAGTTGTATAATATATGAAGAGGGTGTAGAAGGAATATCGAATACCACCACCCTAATTGAGTGAATGGTATGTAAATGGGAAAGAATGTATTTAAGAGTGAGTGAGAATGACTTTGGATTTAGGAAATGATCGCATTGGCGCTGAAATGACCTAGTAGTTAAAAGCACCCAGAGCCCAACGTCGAACCGAGGTCTGACTCCAGTCTGCCACATCCGGGGTTGGGCGTACCATCTGACTCTGGGATGTCAAAACACGAAGCAGATGATTGTCAATGCATGTGGTGATAAATTATAAGGTATGTGTACAGACATGTATGTTTATGTCATAAGTTATGGTGAACCCATGTAATTTTGACGAATTTTTACTTATATAATTGCAAAAAATCGTACTTTTAAAATGATTTAATAAAGAAAATTATGGCAAGGATGATTATATGACACAATGTCAACTGTACAAAATAAAGACTGACACCTAGCTTCGTTCGTAATATTTTTATTTCAAATATTTCTACAATAAAAAAAAAAATCTGTGGCAAGTGTGATATGAAAGCAGTATACAACTTTGTGGAGGAATATTGTCAGCAGAATATAACATATATATAACAGAGTATAAAAAAGAAGAATACAAGAGAAAATCAAATACAGTTATCTGGTAATTATTCGAATGTGAAGCTATTCCTAATGAAGATATTGCCTAGGATATCAAGAAAACAATTGCATCAATTCCAGTCAATGACCTATACAGCTTAAGAGAATTGAGTCAGTTGAACTGAAAGGAACTAAATACAATAAGCCAGAATGCTGCATTGCTTGGGGAATACAAATACTCCCACTTCCTAGTAAACATTTCTACATTCAACATTCATTGTATATCCTTGTCATCATCATCTTCATCGTCGTAGTTATCGTCAATATGACAACATTAGACGAAGTGAATTATTTTATTAGGCCATTCATTTTGAAGGGAAAACTCAATAATTTAGATTCAATGCCTTGGGATTTATTGGCATCCTGTGCCATATTCATGTAGTCTATACTAAAATTATGCTAAAACTAAAAATAAAACTTAAAAAACACAAATCAAAATTTAAAAAAAGGGACGTAACGGTTAAGGGATTGACACGGCGCCCATCACTGTAAGGAAAAGGTCCCGGGTTCGAATACACCAGCTTTGCGAACCCGACATACTTACAAATGGGTTTTTTATTTTCAAAAACACCGGCACTCCGAGGGTTGATATGATCTCTGCTACATAAACAATAATCCATTATATTTCGTGGTCCGATTGACCAAATAACTCCTTCAATTAATTAATCTTAAGGCATTAGTTGAAATGAAAGTCAGTGTCACAAGCGGGATTCGAACCCACGACCTTCGACGTAGACCTACGCCGCTACTCAACCACTTGAGCTCAAGTAGAGTAGCGGCGTATTTAGCCGAGGGTCGTTGGTTCGAATCCCGCTCGTGACACTAACTTTTTCATTTCAACCATTGCCTTACATAAAGATTAATTAATTGAAATAAACAATAATTTAACTCAATTAACCCAGAATTGAATAAAGAAGGACAACAAATATGAAAAGATGAGAAGACCTAACTTGAAACATCTTAGTCTGACCCGTACTGTGTTCAAAAGTTCAAAACCTTTTTATTTTAAGCATAAAATTGTAAAACTCATTGAATCTATAAATAATATTTATGGAAGTGTACAGTTGTTCAAGAACGTGGTGACGTGTGATTTAAGTTTTGAGGATTAAAGTTTTTGAAATTCGAAGGTAGGCGAAGCAAGTACATGGTCAAGGAGTAAGTCGAAGCAAGACTTTCATCATCATGGCTTCTTAAAATTTACCGAAGTGTTTATGGTTATTACGTTTCATTTTTGTATTTAATAATTTTATGATTTTCGATTTTCATCCGAGAAAACTCTCCCTAACATCGGACAGTCATTGGGAAACATCAACGGCCGGTACTTAACATATTTGGTCAACAGTTCTAACAAACGTGGGCTGTTGATGGACCTGCGTTGAGCGTGTATCTCTTATTGATCCAGACTGTTTAAAAAGAAAACTAAATAGTTTTTTATTTTATTTAAAAATTAAATTAATAAAGTTTTGAGATTAAAAAAACGGACTTTGCGTTAGAACTTTTATACGCTAAATTGGCTTGTTTAAAAAAAATGATTTGTCCAAACTGTACACGGGGGAAATGGCGATTCAGTTGATGAAAAAAAAACGCATAAAAACTTTAACATTCGTTAATAAAGTTCAAGTTTACTGTTATGGATAGTTTGATATACTTTTCACAATTTTTTGTTTGTGTATAATTGTCTTAACTTTGAAGAATTATTTTCGATGAAAACAAATTTGAAGATTAACATTTGTAACATTATATATAAATTTAGCTAGCAAAATATAAAATTTAAAAAAAAGCAAAATTTTTCAAAGTAATTATGATCAGCGAGTGTTGCTAGTGTTTCTATTTAAAGTTACTTTATTGCTTTATTTTAATATTAATGGAAAAAAAATTCTATTTTCAACTTGTTTGACTAGATATTTACATTTGATTAATTTATCATTTTTAAAGGAAAATAAAAGCGAAATATTGATGATGTAATGAATTTGTAGTATTTGAAAGAATTACTGTTTAGGTAAATACAAAAAGCTCTTTTAGTTTCAGCAGATTTTTTTTATTTATGGAAGAGGCCATTCGCTCACCTTATGAGCATCATCAGCTTTCTTTTCAAACTCGTTTTTGTCTTATTTTTCTGTTTTATTTTAAAGAAGGCTGATGATGTTCACAAATGAGTGAAAGTCCTCGATAAAGAAAATCTGTTGGAACTAAAAGAGCTTTTTGTATTTATCTAAATAATATGTAATGAGGTTCCATGGCAGAGAGGTGCAAATTTTAAAAGAAATTTTGAAAAAAAAATTCTTTAGTAGTTATCTTAGTTATTTTATTAGTTTTTAATTTTATTTATGCATAGAAGGTTCAGTGAAAAATTAGTGACACGACCGAGACAGTAATTTTTTCATCTCTAACTTTTTTGCATAAAATAATAAAACTTTAATTGTAACTCTTAAAAAAAATGAAGTTTTATGAATTTGTTTATTGAATTGGCCGGCGTGTGAGGATTAACGGATGAGGATACCCACTCGTGAATTAAACGCCCTCCGGCTCCCGAGGCTCAGAGCGACCCAGGGCTCGCGACGGTTTTCCAACTCGTCGCCGTCCGACGACAAAGACGACACTGCACTAAAAAAAAGGACGCGACGCCAACGTCTAGCATAAGCCGACTGGGTTTCTGTTTTGGTGCAAGCATAACAGCCGTGTACATGCGCCGTCGTCCGACGAATCCGACTTATTGATCAGACAGGAATTTCACTCAAAAAATATCTTTTCTAAATTTTTTATTACTACTTAACGCAGATCTCGCGCTTTTTACAAATTTAATTATGATAAATCTAATGGAGTTTTGTTTTTTGTAAGAGAATTGTGTTAAAATTGGTGAATATGCTTGCTTTAAAAACAGGATCGATAAAAACAAGCAGAGTAGAAAGAAGGAATATCATATATACTGATTTTCCTAGTATAAATCCTGATACTTTCCCACTCAATTTTTGTTTGTTTTTTTAATAATAAAAATTGAACTTTTCAGTTATTTTATTTTTATTATATATATATATATATATATATATATATATATATATATTTTTTTTTTTTTAAAGTAGCTTTCGTTAATGGAATTAAAGAATGGTACAATGATAAGTTTGATTTTTTGAATGTAGGCGGCTGTTCTCTGGTGGGAGGATGGGAAAGTTCTGGAACCTTTGCATATAAATAATAATCAACACAGCTGACTCATATTTGTTTTCCTTCATAAGGTTATAAGTTAAGTTTGTTGTTGAGGTTCGCAGGATAGTTTTCGTTCTTCTTTAAAAGGGAGATCGAGCTCGAGTCTGACGACGGAGAACTTTTCAAAAGTCGAAATTTCACCCGAAAAGACAATGGCAACTGTCGAAAGGCAGATAACGTTCGTAGAAGACAAAAAAGAGATCTGCACGGACGACTTCTGCGTTTGCCGATTTTCTTCTATAATCGACTATATGTGCGACAAGTACTGCGAGGAGTGCAACGGTGAGTCGAGGATTTCCAGCATTTCGGATTGTAGGAGATTTTTTGAGGTGGGAAAATATTCAGGCCGCCGAAAGGTATTTCATTCATAAATCGATATTTCACGGTCTCGGGTGATGAAATGAAAAACAAAAATTTTAATAAATAATATGTTTTATCCGATCGTTACTGGATCGTAGGTACGGCCAGTTTTTTGCAGATTTACAATAAAAATATGGCCATTTTTACAATCTGGATCCAGTTCATTCCAGAAAATGAATGCAAACCGCAGGGAAATCAATTAAATTCGCAAAGAGTGCCAAATGGCCACCTTTTTTTTACGATTAACTACGTCCCGGTAATGTTTAAACAGTTGAATTCGAAAAGCTTCTCTATTTCAATTGAAAGTACTGGAAGCACCAAGTTAATAAATTATGTAGTAATTATATAAACAGCTCAAAAATGAATAGGGGTAATTTGCAATTTATTCTTATTCTCTTAATTTTAATTAAATTAACTGATATATTGTTACTTGCATAAAACAAAATAGAAAATACAAACCAAAAACAAACAACCTCATTTTTAATTACGAATTTGCTTAGGAATAGTAAACATGAAGATTACTCATTTTATAAACAAACACCGTTTATAGTATTTTCCCCTTTTAATCCAGGCCGTGTTCTCTCTGACCATGGAAAGACATCATCTTACCAGAAATTAGCAATATTATTGTGAGAATGAGTGATCGAGGTCACAGGCGAGTAGATATCGCAGAGGCAGTTGGTGTTTCTCAGAGTGTGATCTCCCGGGCTTTAGCCTGATTCCAAGATACTGGAAGTGCCAGTAGGAGGCCTGGTAATGGTTCTCATGGATCTCAGCACTTTACGATGCTAAGGGAGGACAGAAATATTGTCATTGCCGCAAGACGGAACCCTTTCCACAGTGCCTGCCAGATCCTAAATGAAGTATAAAATGTTTTGGCAAGGCCTTTATCAACACAAACAATTCGTAATCGTTTGTGGGAAGTTGGTCACTCATTGTGTACCCCTTTGATATGGCCTGCAGCCACAGCTCACCTCCAGCAACTCAGGAGAATATGGTGCAGCGAACATCAACTGGAATGCTGTTATATTTACTGATGAGTCATGTTTCTGTCTGTATAGTGACAGTAGGTGTCAAAGGGTCAGAGAACAGGGGATGCTACAATGCCCCAGTTAATGCACCCTTCAGTTCAGTTTGTAGGAGGTAGTGTAATGATCTGGGCTTGGATTTACACTGGAGGACGAACTGAATTCCATATTGCTGACCACAGACCATTATGTCCAAGAAATTATCAACGAATACATCCTTCAAACCAGGGATCTCATTGGCAAGGATTTTTATTGGGGCAGCGGTAGCCGAGTGGCTAAGGCGTGATACTTGGCTTTTAGATCCCGTAGTCGCAACAATACCCACTATTGCCTCTGGACTTTTTTCTGACACCTAAGGGGACCGGTGGCCGCAATTGAAAGAAATTGACATGGCACTCATCAATGGAAGGGGCGGGATCAGATCTCAGCGACCCTGAATTTGGTCTCAACCCTCTTCAAAAATGAGTTTCTTCAATGGAAGAACATCGACGCACTGGGAGCTCAAATTCACACTTGTGTTGTGAGCCCCCAAAAATGAAGCCAGGGATAAATTACAATAAGCTGTACAGCTGCAGTGCTCAGGAGGGAATTCCTCCAGTTCCTGGTATCCATTGTAAAAAAAGAACAAGAAAAAACCCCCAGGGATTTTCGATTTCTGAGTGATAATGCCAGACCTCATAGAGGCAGAGTTGTTCATCAATGTTTAGAAAACCTGGAAACTTCCGCATCTGCCCCTTCTCCCATTGTCTCCATTATTCCATTGCGTTGCTGCAATGGCTTTTCGATCACTTTCCGCAGCCAGTTGACCTGCGTGAGTGCAGCGTTGCAATATTTATGGAGTGAAATACTTTAGGTGCACTACTTTTAGCTAACAGAAAACATTATACACGGTATTAATTGCTTAAAAAAATTATTGTGTCCAATAAACAAAATTGTGAAATTAAACCTTTTATTTTATTTTTAAAAATCTTTTAATTAAATTTTTCTTCAGTAAAAAAAAAATTGCTTATAAATTTTAATTTATAATAAAATAAAAATGCTAGGAAAAGTAAATACTACAAAATTGGTAATATCAATGTTCATTTTTGAACAGGTTTATATGTTCTCTCTCTAATAATTATGCTCTAAGCATTACAGATGGCCGGAGGATAAAATTTATTTAGTTTAATCTCTTCCAGTTTGGTGAAGAAAACAATTTTACATCCGAAAAACAATAGCATGGGGTCATCATCTTCTGTATTCCGAGTGTTAAAAAAGTGTTATAAAACAAACAAACATAAAAATAACACGAATCCTATGTTTTCATTGTTATAATTTTCTTTTGTGTTTTGCAGAGCATGAATGGGCATGGGATGATCAGGGGTTGTCACCGGCTACTCTGCTGAGCCACCACAATCGTGAGGTGAGGTTCCATCCTGGCTACAGTTCCGGTACTGCTGCAGTCCGCGGTGATTTGCCATTGCAGAAAGGCAATATCTATTATTGGGAGATTAAAATGTTGACTTCACTTTATGGAACAGATGTGGTAAGATATAGTTTCTTCTAGTTCTATTTTCTTGATTTGTATTTTAAGAGGTTAAATTTATTTGGCATAAAAGTCACCTTATATAAAAGGTTGACAAGATTGGGGAAAAAAATTCCTTAATTTTGTTTATTGTCATTTCTTGTAATGTTTCTTATACTGGTCTTCAAACGTAGATGGTAGGAGTCGGCACAAAAGCAGCTGAATTGCAGAAGTCCGCATACCAGTTCTGCAGTCTGTTAGGATCTGATAAAGAATCCTGGGGATTCTCTTATACTGGTATACACATTAATTCATTTTGTAAATTTCAAGAGAATTTTTTCATCGTGAATTCTTTTTCTCAGGTCGCCTCCAACACAATGGCAAGTTTGAGTGGTATGGACCACCCTTTGGAAAAGGGAGCATCATCGGAATTTATTTAGACATGTGGAAAGGCACTTTGGAATTTTTCCTTGACCGCAGACCTTTAGGTAAACACATTCGCATTAATAATTATTGAAAAAAATTGTGTTTTTAAAAATATATTATATTGAATTTATTATCCTTTAAGGTATTGCATTTCGATCGATGGGAAACAACATTCTTTACCCAATGGTCTGCTCCACGGCCGCACAAAGTGGTATGAGAGTCACTTTGTCAATCTCTCATCCGGTCTCGTTAAAATTGCTCGCTCTTCAAGCTCTCGACGGTGATCAAGAGACCTTGAAGCAGCTGCTTCAAGTACCGGGACTTCGAAGATATGTTTCAAACTATTGGTGGCTATTGGGTTAGACAATTTTATTTTAAAATAAACACTGCGGCCTTGTTGAATTTATCCTTTGAAACATTGATATAAACTTGTCTGTGTTTTGTAAACAGGTCGGAGGGACGAAGATTGTGGCTTGGCCGAGATAGCCGACCAAGGTAGTCGCGAGCACAGGACTTGCAAGCATCAGGAAGACGACGGTAAATGCGCCAGGCGACTCTGCGTTATGTGTGACATCATCCTGTGACTAAGAGGGAAAAATGGAGCCAGCATACCAGCACCACCAACAGCAAACCTAAGTAGTAGTCGTCCGTCATTTTTGTCGTATATATTATCATCATTGTCTTTGTCATTATATTATTCATCACGTATAATTACTGTCTCGTAGTATTTTATCTCGTCTTAGTACAGGTGCTCGTTTCTTTTGCCTCATCCTAAACACTCTCCCTAGGGAGGGTTATTGTTACTATCACTGACCTCTTCTATTTGGGAACTGATTATTTTTGTAGATTGATTTTTTTTTTTTTTTTTTTTTTTTTTTAAGTTGTAAAATCTATCTGTTCCATGGCACTTGAAATTTTTTAAAGTTTTATTTGTCAAGTTGTTTAAACTCAGCACATACAATTGTATGAAGCCATAACTTTAAAATGTTTTCGGTTAAACAGAATAAAAATGAACTCACATTGCACAAGTACCGTCCATACTCAACGTTGTCAATTTCAAATAATATGCACAAAGAAGAGGAAAGTGATGGAAACGATATTAAAACGCGAGATTACAAATTTAAATTAAATTAACGTTTAAAAAAAAGCTGAAGAAAGATGGGCTGATGGAACGAAGAGCACGTTTCTTGGGATATTTGAGGGTATTTGAAAACAATTAAAAGCCAAATCGTACTTACCACATAGTTGCCCAGTGGTACAATTATTGGAAGGCTGTGCTTCTTGGCAAATTGATATTACCATTTGTCAAATCTATTTTTGTATTGAATTTTATTTTAGTATAGTTTTTATGTGATTTATTATGTATAAATAACAAAAACTTTTTTTAAAATGTATTTTCTTTTTTTTAACATACAACAAGAAATTGATAAAAGAGTAATAAACAAGATATAATAAAATCTAATTTTGTTTAAACATTTCATGGGTGGGTTTATTCGAATGTTATTGGGGCGACTTGGTCTAATCGGTAGGAAATGCAGAAGAAACGACCACCTATTAGTTTAGCTTTGTGTGTTTATAGGTTAAAAAAATTAGAACAAACAAACCAATCTATAACTGTATTATCTCTTGTCCATCGACTTTGTTTAAAACATGTCTATAATAATCGTCGATGTTACAAAAATAATACCAATCCAAAGGTAAATCTATACTTAAAACTTACCATACTGTTAGACTGTGTTTGATATTATTTTTTTTCTTGTGATATTTCCATAATATATTATTATAGTGTCACCACTAGTGTCAACAAATAGATTTTTATTGTTGTTTTAAAATTGTGAATTTCATTAAATTCATTGTATTATAAATTTTACGTTTTACGTTTTTATTTAACGTTAATTTACGTTGCTTTATTTTCTAACTAAGACAGCTTTCGAGCATTGGACATTTAAAAAAAACTTATTTATTTTTATCAGTCACATTCAGCATGCTTACAAAATAAATAAAAGACGAGAAATTTGTAAAAAAATGTTTCTGGATATATAAAGTATGTTTGACGTGAATTGATAAATATCTGTAAATATGTTAGTCAGTTAATTTTAGTTGTTATCTATTCTGTTTATCATCCTGAGTATTAAGTCATCCTATCCTCGGCTCAATGATGATAACAATGAAAAGCTTTATTTTACATTTTTAATGGTGTAATGTTCAAAAGTAAAAGAAGAAAAAAAGAGTACACAATCAATAATTCTATAATAGTTTTATAGTTCTTTGAGTATTGTAAGATTCATTTTTAATTTTTGTTAATTGCTTTCCCCAATGAGGAAATAAAATAGTTTTATTATATTTATATTTCTTTACAGATGATAATTACAGTGCCATAACTTAAATCATTGTATATTTTTTACTCTTCTTTTCCGGTTGTTAACTTTTTATATTTCTTGGGTTTCTTTTCAGGAACTAGACATCCATCATAGATTTAAAAAAATGAGTTTGATGTCTAGTTCCTGAGAAGAAACCCAAGAAATATTAAATCATTGTTACTCTTTGTCTTCCTTTGATGGCAAATGTTTGAGTTTAAAAAAAAATTATATTTATCTTCTTTTTTTTTTCTTTTTCTTTTCAGATTTATAAAATTTATATTAAAATTTATCAAGTGATCTACTTCCTTTTTATTGGAGTGATGCACTCATTATATTAGTTTTAGATTTCTTCATTAAAAATAACTTTTGGGTTACAAAATGCAACTATACCTATAGATCAATATAAATAAAATTGGTTGATGGAATTAGTACCTCATACCAACATGCTTAAATTGCAACTATATTCAGTCATGCTCTATATAAGAATTTTTAAATAAAACATACTGTACTGAGTGAGTGCAGTACTTCAAAAATACCAAACTACTACTATATAACTAATATTAACCATATAATAATTATTAGAGAAGTGTTAACACTTATTAAACTATTGATGTTTAAATTATAAAATTATATTTATCGTAATTTAAAAAGAATGAATGTATTAATGTTGGTCTAAGCTGAATAATCATAAATGGTATGTTGGTAAAATATATATAATAATAAATAATACTCTTATAGGTATCAAATTTTTTTCTCTTAACTTTTAACAATAACAGAAAAAATAAAACCTCAAAAATGACATCTCAGAGGTTGTAAATATAAAATGGATTTTGTATATAATTTGGTTTTGAATAAATTCAATTATGTTTAAAACTGAATAACATTTATTAATTTAACCAGAAACCTTTTATTGTTACAATTAAGACAGGGGGATACATAAATCAATTCAAAAATTCTGAAGTGTTGTGTGTACAAAACAGTGGTATAGGTAAGACCTGCAAAAATGAGAAATTGTTAGTTACGATATTAGCTATTAAAGTTCAAAAAAATAATAATTGGTGCAATCAGCATGGATAAAAATGAGAAATTTGTGTTGAAAAAATTCAATTCAGTGAAAAGATCATCATCTGAAAAAAGGACATGAAATGGTAAAATTGTTTACTTATCATTTTTTTATACTTATCATATTAAATGTTCAAATTTAAAACACAAACTTGTTCATTTCAACCAAGACCTTAGATAAAGAGTATAATTAATTGAAATAATTATTGCAATCAATTATGTCTACTAAACACATCCATATATGGATTAATATATAATTACTTAAGTAATTATTTGCTAACAGCTCCCCAAAGCTACTTCATAAGTAGCTGAGAATGGAGTCATAATTAACACAATTAGTACGACCTGCACATTAATTCGATTAAAAAGATAAAATTACATTCAACATAGCAAACCAAAGACCTTCAACACAATCACAAAGAAGGTGAAAAAAGGACATTCTTTAATTAGATGGAATACACATGAATGTGCCAAACATAAAACATTTATAAGTATGTCAAACAGTTATACACAAACGAATCTAATTTTATAGAATTAAACCTGCAAAAGAACAAAAAAAATTGAAAAACTCCCATTATCTCTATCTCCAATCGTTCATACACTGAATACTTATAATAAAAAAATAAACTTCTAACCAATTTTTTAACTTTTTTTTTTTCAATTAAAAATTTTATTTACATTCTACACTTTGAACCAATTTTCTGTACCATAGTGAACATGTTAAGAAATTACATTTTTTTTAAATTTAAGTAAAAAAAACTTATTTATAACCAACAGTACAAATAAATGATCTTTAGCACAGTCTGTGAAGATGATAAGGTAAAAATCATGATTTAGGTGGAGTACATTAAAATAAATAAAACCTACAGAAATTAACGGAATTAAAAACAAAATACAACACATTACACTGAATTTATTTTGTCAATCAAAATACAAATTTACATGTAACACTGCAGGGCAATTTTCACAGGGCAAAGAGTATAAGAAAAAAACTCGAATTTGTTGGAGTACCTTGAATGTAAAAAACCTTCACAAATTAAGAGAATTAAAGAAAATCCGTACTTGCTCGATCATTCAAATTAAAAAAATATAATAATAGTAATTTGCATTGCAAGATTACAAACCAATGATTTTTATGATAGTTTGAGAAGGATAAGATAAAAGTCAATTTTGAATTAGCTGGAGTACACTAGAATATCAAAAACCTGCATAAATAAAGGGAATATAAAACAAAATTGATCACATGGTAATGTATTTTTAAAATAAAACAATATATATTTACATTCACCATTACAAACAACTTTCTTTATGATAGTAAACGAAGAATAAGAGAAAAAGCTAAATTAGCTGTAGTACACTAGAATTTCAAAAACCTGCATAAACTAAGGAAAACAAAATTGAACACACTGGCTTACATTTATTTTTAAATGAAATACCTATTCACATTAGCAAAGGAAACTGAAGACGTTCAAGCTACTCAGCAATATGATGAAAATGAATACAATCTGGAATTAGCCGGTATACCCTCGAATATCCTATACATACGAAAATTCTGAGAATGTTAAAAAAAATTAACACACATTGGATTTTTGTATAAATAATAGGCAAAATTAAAAAAAATTCTGTTACCTTTTCCAATGATCATCTTTGTGTGGAAAAAATAAATAATTAAAAAAAATAAAAATAAATAAAATCAAACCAGATTTGAGTGGAAACCGTGTAGCTTGATAATAGGGAATGTACCCTTCGCGATCTGGATTGTATTGGATTCTCCCACACCTGCCCAATTACAAGGAATGTACAAATTTTTATATATTTCATTGTATTTTTTCATTCCATGAAAAACCATATTTACATTGAAAAGTAAGAAAATGATCTTTAACATAATCTCCAAAGATAATAAAGTAAAACTCATTCTTGAATTAGCTGGATTACTGTAGAATGTAGAAAACCTGCAGTAATTATGAGTATTATAATATTATTCTCTCTCGGAACAGTAATTTTTTTTCATCTAAAAAAAAATGTTTACATAAAACACTAAGAACAAATTTTCTATATAACTGTAAATGAAGATGATGAGAAAAAAGCTCGAATTAGCTGTAGTACAGTAGAATGTCAAAAACCTGCATAAATTAAGGGAAACAAAATTGAACGCACTGTCGTACATTTATTTTTAAATAAAATACCTATTCAAATTTTCAATGCAAACTGAAGACTTTCAAGCTACCCAGCAAGTATGATGAAAATTAACCCAATCTGGAATTAGACGGTATAGCGTCGAATTTCCTATACCTACAAATATTTTGAGATTGTTAAAAAAACATAACACAAATCATTTGATTTTTGTATAAATAGAGGTAGGCAAAATGAAAAAAAAAAAATTCTGTTACCTTTTCCAATGATCATGTTTGTGTGGAAAATATAAATAACTCAAAATAAATAAATAAATAAATAAAATGAAACCACATTTGAGAGGAAACCGTGTACCTTGATAATAGGGAATGTATCCTTCACGAATGTCAAAAACCTGCATAAATTAAGGGAAACACAATTGATCGCACTGTCGTACATTTATTTTTAAATAAAATACATATTCAAATTTGCAATACAAACTGAAGACTTTCAAGCTACCCAGCAAGTATGATGAAAATTAACCCAATCTGGAATTAGACAGTATACCGTCGAATTTCCTATACCTACAAAAATTTTGAGAATGTTAAAAAAACATTAACACACATCATTTTATTTTTGTATAAATAGAGTTAGGCAAAATGAAAAAAACCGTGTAGCTTGATAATAGGGAATGTATCCTTCACGAAGTGGATTGTATTGGATTCTCCCACACCTGCCCAATTACAAGGAATGTACAAAATTTTTATATATTTCATTGTATTTTTTCATTCCATGAAAAACCATATTTACATTGAAAAGTAAGAAAATGATCTTTACCCTAATCTCACACACATCATTGGATTTTTGTATAAATGAATCTGCATTTAGCAGAATACTGAAAAATATTATTTCCTTTTTTAATGATCATCTTTGTGATTAAATTTAAATAAAATCTGAAAAATATTCTTCCTCTTTCATTGATCATCTTTGTGATGACAATTTAAATAAAAACTGAAAAATATTCTTTCCCCTTTCAATGATCATCTTTGTGCTGAAAATTTAAATAGTTACAAAAAATAAGGTGAAATAATGTAAAACCAAATTTCTGGGTATATCATGGCAAAACAAATGTATACGTCTTGAACTGGATTATATTTAATTCTACCCATTCCTGCACAATTTGAAGGAATGTTAAAAATGCATTGTAATTTTTTATTCTATTAAAAAACATATTTACATTGAATACTCATAAAGCAATGATCTTTGACGTAGTCTTCGAGGATGATAAGGTAAAATGCAATCTTGAATTAGCTGTAGTACATTAGAATATCATAAACTGGCACAAATTGATTATTAAACTATCGTGCCCACTGCATTGTAATTTTTTTCTAATAAAACACATATTACATAAAACACTGTGAACCAATTTTCTTTATTATAGTTAATCGTTAGAAAAATTCTTGAATTTGCTGGATCACAATAGATGTACAAGTCTGCATAAATTAAGGGAATTGTTGACAAAATTGAACACATGGTAGTGAATTATTATTCCTTTTTGTTATTATAAAAAACAATATATTTACATTCAACTCTGCGCATCAATTTTCTTCAGGATAGGTTAGTGTAGATTACAAAAAAATCTTGACTTAGTTATAGTGCACTAGAATGTCTAAAACCTGCACAAATTATGGGTTACTTACACAAATACTTACCTTCTATAGTGTTGTACATTTTTTTTACTATTCAATTATACATTCAACATGGCAAACCAACACTCTTTAACATAACAACTGCGAAGATGTTTAAGTAAAACTCAATCTTGAATTTTAACCTCTTATTTTCAATACCATTGTGAAAAAATAATAAAATAAAAGAGAAACAATATCTACATTATTAATACTTAACAAATTTTTATATACACTTGATTGGAGTTGCTAACATCTGAAAATGGGTTTAAAGTAAAGAAAATGTTGATTGGAAATGATAGTACAAAAACATGCACATTGAAAAGTTCAGATCAAAGTTGTAAAGTTTGTATTTATCTTGTGTTTATTGTAATTAAAAATTTGGTCATTATGTGAAAGTTTATTATAGACATATCATTTATAGTAATCATATCTGCATAAAAAGTTTTCACATAGGGAATGAATGTCACTTATATTACTAACTTATGTTGTTTAAGTTCATAGGTGCCCAAATGAAATATTTATAACAATATTAGTATAAAATGAATGTTATCTGTACCCAATTTTCATTTAATTTAAAAAAATAATTGAATGTGATTTTAAACTCCATCCATCATCGCACACATTTTTAACAATCATATTAACACTAATATACCTATATGCAAGTGAAACATCCCCTCTATAGATAAGACATGTATGTTCATTTAATTTTAATTATAACACCTGAAAAATAGTTAATAGCTCACTGGTAAATAAAATGTCTCTTGCAATATGTAAAGTCTATACATAGATATCAATAGTTATTATTTACCTGATGTCCATTTGATTTTAATTGTTAACACTGAAAATTATTTACAAATTCATTGCTAAATAAAACGATTGCAATATTAGTATAAAAAAAGTCAATACATGGATATTAGTTGTTATTTACTGGATATTTAATTATAAATGTTTATACCTGAAAGTCCGTTTTATTTTAATTGTTAACACTGAAAATTATTTAAAAACTCATTGGTAAATAAAATGTTGATTGCAATATTATTATTAGTATAAAAAAGTCAATACATAGACATTATTTAATGTCTGTTATTTAATTGTAATTATTAAATACCTGAAAATTTTATTTAAAATTTAATGGTGTATGAAGGAAACAAATAATAAAATTATACAAATGAAAAGTCAAGCACACCGCTAAATTTCACCTTAATTTCTAAGATCTGGGTTCTACCTGCCGCTACAATTAAACAAGCAAAAATCTGTCCACATATATATTTTATGTTAATTGATAATACTCACAAGTAATTCAAAAGCTCATTGACTCACAATAAAATTGTCTATAGCTAAGCTATTACCATTAGTTGAACACAACTAAGTGCAGGAGGCCTGAAAAGGTACTTTGAACTTATTCAATGTTAACACATTGTAATAAAATCCTTAAAACATCCTAGAAAATTGTTTAAAAATAAATCTGCATGACTTACGCTTCTTTTCAGTAATTACTTCCAAAATGGTTTCAAATTTCTTCCTTCCTTAAGCCTTAGAAAAAAATTCTCAAGTCAGTATTATTACGACAATCCGGATAGCAGTTGTGGAATATTTTTAAATTTTAAGGCTTTGACCTTGTGTCCAATCATATTGATGAGACTGTTTTTTGTTAGTTTTAAGGCAATACGTCAATTAACTATGGTAAAACTGATAAAACATGTAATAAGCAGACCTGAATGAACAGACAATCAAGATATTTACTAACTTCAATTTCAAATTAAATAACTTTTAGCCTATATTGTTAATATTGTCTTTATTTTTAATTGAGACTTTTTAAATAATACATTAATAAAGGAGTTTAAATGTAATTACACTGTAAAAACAAGCAGACAGGTTAATCACATAGCCCAGTAACTATAAAAAATCTTTTAAAAATACCTTGAACAACTGGCATTAATTTTAAATGCATAAAAATAGCGTTTTGACACTTAAAGATTCCTTGGTTGGACCTTTCATTTGGCTTTCATCCAGAACAATGTGCTTTCAACGATAAAATGCACTCGCTGCAAGAGAAAAGTCTTAAAATTAAATCAACTCCAACACAATAGTACAATAATGATAATATTAAATGTAGCTATGTTTGATATTGTATATATTTAATAAGTAGTGGGTAAATGGGAAAAAAGAATATAACAAAAGAAATGGTTTGTTGTTTTTAATAAGAAACTCAATATCACAACTAATATTATGTTTTATTATGTTCTAACACTGTACAATGGAATCTCCCGTAATTTCTCCAGATATTACAATTCAAATTGTAAATAACTACTACATATTTTAAACATAGAATTATGATTCACAAGACTTTTCATGTATATTTTTTTTACAAAAACAAAAATAATATTACCTAAATTCCCTTTGAATAAAAAGCAGAGAGTGGTGTTGTGAATATTTTATAGACCGAAACGTAATTTTTAAAATTTCTACGTGGCGGCATCTATACAAGGAACAGATTATACAAATGAAAACATGAATTATGAAAAAAAATATGCCCAGTTCTTTGTGAAATGCTTAAAGACTTAAATGTCTTTTTCATTTAAAGAACTAGGGAGAGGTTCAATTACGTTCCATGGATAGTTGTTGCCATTTTTCTGAGCGGCAGTGAACGGTGATCACTAAAAATGGCTTAGAATGCAAAAAGTAGCAAGAAAGCCATCATAAGACAAAATAGACCCATAGCCTCAGACAAGGCGAATCCAAGGATGGCGTAAGAGAAAAGTTGTTGTTTGAGGGATGGGTTCCTGGCATAACCAATAATCAAAGATCCGAACACTGACCCAATACCAGCTCCTATAAAAAATAAATAAATAAAAAATTAGTGAAAAAATATTCCTCAAATAAATTAATGTCCGATTGTTTAATGGACTGGTTTTCGAATGATTTCCGCTCTTTTGACTTTTTTTCAAGTTTAAAGACTTATTGACTTGAAACCATTCCAAGTATATTTTCAGCTAGTTTGTTGGGTTATTAAAAATGCTTAAAAAAAAAAAAAATTAAAAAATGTTATATTACTCCCCTTGAATTGTACATACAAATAAATCAAAAACTGAAAAAAGTGGAGAAAAAAATTATAAGGAAATTAGTTTTTTCCCTTTTAACTAATCCAGATTAAAGTTGAACATGTCACTTGATTTAAAACACCTCAAAATTATGTTATTCCAATACCCATGTGAAACAAGAAACAAGCATTAAGTTCTGAAAAATACATTATTCTTATTTGTATGTAACAAATTGAAACAAATTTATTTTATATAATTTTTTAAAATTTAATTTTAATAATTAAACTTTATTATTTTTCTAAATTATAATTATATGTAACCAGGAAATTGTGTTATTCCCCAATAATATGATTATAATATTATATGATTATAATATATGGTTATAACCCAAAATTATGATAAAGCCCAAATTGCCACATGAAACAAGAAATTAAGCCTTACATAAAAAAAATGAAATAAAAATAAAAATCTATTTTAATAAGCTGTCCATCAAGACATGTACAATTATTTAAAAAGACATACCTGAGCCAGCAACTCCAGCAGTGGCTGCACCAGCTCCAATAAATTTAGCAGCAGAGTCAATATCTCTCGTCACTGCCGAAGTCTGGAAGTTACGGACAGCAGGTAACTGCAACAAATTGGGAGTCTAAGTTACAAATTGAAAATCGATCACACTCTTTTTATATTAAAATTGTCTTGTACAAATGTTTAACAAATTAATCTTCAGATGATACAAAAAATATTTAAAAAACAGCACAATAAATGTTAGATCTAGTTGCTTTGCCCTCAGATCTCATAATCTTTACGCACATAAGGCCACATTTCAAAACCTGGTAACATCCCAAAAGGGATCTTTACAAGTCTCAAACCCCCCTAGCGTTGTTTCTTTTTCGTCACAGGGCAAGGTAAACCGCAAATAAAAATTAAGTCAATTTAATTTTATATCAAGACTAACAGAAAAAAGTAATATATTTTGATAAAGGTACTTACTATACTAATGGCTGGTAGTGGAGTCAAGGTTTGTTGGTAGTTCAACCGGTCGCTCTGTTGAATAACCGCAGTGCTGATTGGTCGAACATACGCAGCCCTGGATCCAGATATTAACTAAAACATTCATTTAAAAAATCGGTAAAACAAAAATTTAGAAATAATAATTGCTATTTTAAATCAAAAATATGCTCAATTAGCTAAATGTTATATATTATTGTACTAAAATCAGTACAAATTATTTTATTTAAGAACTGTAACAAATAAATAATTTTAATTAGCAGATCAAGTTCATACACTGATTTAAGGAAAATAATGAAATGTTTGAAAATTTCATAAAGAAGATACTGACCTTTTTTTTGTAACAACTACTACATAATACATTATAAATTTGAAACCATGGCAACTTGTAGCAACTGGAATTAATCAGCTGAGAATCAAGCCAAATACTTTTTATCCAATTATCTGTACAAAAGAAATATTCACTAAGTAAATCTTTAGGGGAGAGAAACCAGCCAGTGCTGGAACTCTTTTATTTAGTTGGGAAAGTTAAGATTAAGCCATCATCGTTTTAGACGGCATGGGGAAGAGGGGAACATTGAGAAACAGTTTGGGCTAGTGGGTGAAGGGATAATTTAGAGAGGAAATTGAGGAAGCTTGTACAGATCAGATCCTTCAAAATTTTTTTTATGAACTATGCACATTAGCCAAGGAGTGTTTTTGAGGGAAGGGTGTCGTGGGGGGAAAAAGCCAGAAGTAACAATGGGAATTGAACACATGGTCGCGAGGTCTTTAAGTATCATGGTAACCAACTTGGCTACTGCAGCCCCCAATCTTTCAAGAATATGGTTAACCCATTCAATGCAAGGTGACTCTTCAGTGGACTCAAGCCCTCCCTCTGATAAGTCAGTTTAGGTAGTAAAGTCTAATGCCCCCGTAGAGCTCAATCAGTTCAGAACAGCCTGGACTATCTTAGAGTGAGCACCGTTTCTGGGTCTCTAACCTTAAACTGCTAGGTAACACTAACAATGCACTACTTTCTACGCCCCTATTTTTTGGTAAATTTGACCTTTCTTCTAAATAGTATGTTCAAAAATTAATAAGGTTTGCCAGATTGTCTTTACCTAAAAGCAATAATTTTTATGCTTTAGAAACTAGAAAAATATTACAATTTTTAACTTCCATACAAGTTGTTTTTTTTTTTAACTTACCCATTTTGTCTACAGTTTTGTTGGAAACCAACTTAGACGAAGTATGTAATTATAGAAGCATAAATTATATATATATATATATATATGTGTGTGTGTATGTGTGTGGTGTGTGCGTGCACACGCATGCATGTGTGGGACTAAATGCAAATTATTAACAATGGGCTTTTTAAAAAACAGAATGTTAATAGAAGAAAATGAGATATTTCAATGTATTTAAAAAATAAAATGATTAAATTAAATATAAAGTGCACAACTCTATTTGTTTAATTGTGTTAATACATTACAAGTTTTAGACCTATATTTTATGTAGTTGCTGCTATATTTTATGTAGTACACATGTAAAACTATATTTTCAGTTAGGGGAAAAAATTTTATTTATAGATTATGTACAACAGAGTGTGCTGGATTCCTAATTACCTATACAATAAATGTTATCTAAACTTAAATACTGTTGTTACAATATTTTTCTATTTATAAAAAACAAAAACATCATTGGTAAAGAGCAATCTATGAACATCAAATTACAATCCCAACACTGCTCACTACAGGAGGGAATCATATGAACTATACCATAACCACGCTGAGCAATTTTATCAAGAAAAACTTTTAAAAATATAACAAATGTTTTTAATATTTCCATAATGTTTACTCACTAGTTATATTAATAGTTAACCATTGAGTTGCAGAGCTGATAAGGTGAAGTACCAAAGAACTTCAAGCATGCATTTTTCGTCTACATGTACACAAAATAAATGTAGTGAGCAGCAAATTTAATGAAATTGTTTGGTCAAAGATGTTTTCCCATTGGTAAAAGATAAAATTTAATATCAACTGCTAATAAACTGTAACCATAACAATATGTAAACTGTAACCATAACAATGATGAATTATAAATTAATTATAATCAAATAATAAATATAATCTGATCTGTCAGGAGTCTGGATATATCATGTCCACTGCCTCCGAATTAATATGGTGGGTATGAAGGAGGTGATGAGGAGGACAGACTTAAACTGTCAGCCAAATGTTGGAGAAGGGGAGTTGGCATGGAGACACTCTCTCATATCCTTTACAAGTGCCCAGAGAATCATTTGAAGATTGTAAGAAGGCACTCATTGTCCTAATTGCCAGTCTCAAAGACTCAATACGAGGTCAAAATTCCCCACCGGTTACCAGATGGGACATTTCTCCAGCAAGCTATCATTGCTACTATTATTAGATTATTATTACTATTATTAGTAATTCACTACTTTTGTGGTCCACATGACCAATTAATACATGACAATTAATTAAGGTTTTTAGTTGAGATGAAAAAAAGTTAATGGCACGAGAGGGATTCGAACACACGACTTTCGGCTAGATACGCCGCTGCTCTACCACCTGAGCTATCGTGACCTCGATCTACTCGGACATCAACTCCACATCTCAACCCCACCTTATGAGTTTTCATTTTGAAAAATGGCACTCAACTAGACCTAGGTGGTGTAAGAGACAGCAGGCATATTGGATCAAGTGAGGACTTCAAAGCAGAAAAATAAGGGGTTATTGAGGGAAACCCTTACGGAGCTACACCACAAAAACTTTTTTAAAGCAGTGGGTATAGTAGTGGGGGCAAACAGAAGATAGATTAGATTTAGTCAGTGAACTCAGGATCAATCAGCTCCTGAGAATGCTCCTCACCCTAATAGCAACCATGACATGACCCTAGCATGGGTTCCTGTGCATTCAGGGAATAGAGGAAATGAAAACACGAAAAGATCAAAGAGGGAGCCAACATGGTCTCTCAATGTCCCAAAAAACCCTACCTACTGTGGCCTAGCTTCTTGCCACATGAGAGGATACATCTTAAAATGGAAACTGTAAACCCGTTTTGTTTTACGAAAATCTTTGTAGGTGCAGATTCTTGAAACCAAGAGAGGAAAAATCGCAAGCAAGATCCTGAGTGCTGGCAAGGCTATGGAGATTGATTAACAACCTGAAGCTAGCCGGTGAGTTATACAAAAACTAAGAACCACAATATATCTATGCAGATCGATGTGCAGAAGGCCTTGTGGCCGCCTCTTTTATCCTAATCCTCCGTAACATCACTAACCACCTCACTCTCCTAGCCTGCAGCTATATGAAAGGGAATGCAGCTTTTTAGCCACTTTGATGAATCCAGTTATTGAGCAAAATACCTGACTGTGACAGAGCCTGACTAGGACGACGTATACGAGGTAAGTGACATGCATGAAAGGATGCGAAAACTGGTGAACACTAGAAAGATTATTTAAGATAAAAATCAGGGGAAAATGAACCAAACGGTTTATTTTAGCCCTTTTGAGAAATCTGGCACCATCGACGAATTTAACCTTACAGAACAAAAATTGACAAGGTTTAACACATTTCTGGTATGGTTATTTTTTCCACACTAAAATCAGATTGGATACAATTTTTAATATCTGCTCATTAGCTTTGCTAATAATTGTATCTATTATAATAACTATATTATCAAAGGTCTTGGTTGAGATGAAAAAGCAAGTGTCACGAGTGGGATTCAAACACACTGCTCTAACCACTTAAGCTCTCGTGACTTCCACTAGGTCACCAAATCCTCTTCTCAACCTTCAGCCCTTTTGAACTTTCCCGCTTTTTCTGCCATAATTTCCTACATTGTGTAACCAGGATTTGATTCTCTGTGATTTATAAAATGGCAACAGTGAGCTGTCAGCGAAATACGTACTTCTGTTATTATATATTAATCCCTATATGTTTAGTAGTCATACTGACAGCATTATTTACTTTAATTAAATATACCTTTTTATAATTAATTAAAATGATCAATACAGTCAATTATGATTACTAAACATATATGGATTAATATAATCAAGAGTATTTTATTCATGGAAGAACATAAAATGGTTATGGGGTTGAGAGAATCATACTAAGGATGGCTCAGGTAATGCATGTCGACTCTTGAATCTCAGGGGGCAATTAAAAAAATAGTTATCAAATTTTTCGTCTAATTGAGGTTCGAGCCAGCTAGTCCACTCACTGCGTCATAGCATGTTCCCTTTTTTTAAATTGTGGATAAGGTGTTTAAAGGTCTGCCGATTACTTTGGCGATGTCGCCTTTTTCCTTAACGCCTTAATAATCTTGAGTTTCTCCTCAACGCTTAGTCTCAGACACGTTTTGAACACGAATGAACTGCCCAATAAGCATTAACTGTACTGCGTGCTGTACGGTATTAAGAGAGCAGGAGAGGAGAGCCCATTAAGTAAAGAAAGGGCATCGGTGTAATGGAGGTTTTCATTGGACTAAAAAGGTAAAAACGTGGGCACGGGGATTCAAGAAAATTAGTATTATTAAGGAATTCAAGTTATTCCCTGAACAAAAATTTATAACACTTGAGCATAAATGTTAGGAATTTGAAAATAAACCATGATCATATCAATTATACATATCAATACAGACACAAATTGTAAAGTTTTTTCTCTCTCTCTTTTTTTTTTAATATGGAGTTAAGAAGAGCTGATAAGTGAGTGAATGAATTAGATTTTGAAAAGATAATAATTTAAAACTGAATTATGTACGAAATAGGATTGTCTTTTAGGGTTTTTGAATTAAAAACTAGGGTTAATAATAATAATAATAATAAAAACTTTGGGCCTTTTGAGAATTTAATTTCGGCTTATCAGCCTGGATGAAAAAGCACAAGGTTAACCTTTCCGATACGGTATTAGTTTTTTTTTTACTTTAAAAAATTTGATATATTTTTTTTATCTTCGATTTAATGGAATATTCATTCGGGAACGGCAAATGAAAAAAGTTAACCCGGTGGAATGGAATGGAATTCTACTTCGAATGACCTACATTGTAAATTTAACCAAAAACCCTAAGTTTTACGGTTTTAACATCGAGATTTTAAATCGGTAAAAAGGTTATAGGAAATATATATAAAATTATCTATAAATAGGTTTTTTCCTTATTCTTTAAAATCGATAATAGTGACATTTTTTTTTATATTTTTGATACTTACGGCGGTTCTGGCAGCTGGTGCGACTAATTTGGCGAGGGCGAACATTTTTCAGCAATCGGGAGATTTACCTGAAAAAGGCGAAAAGGATGAAAATCAAATAGGGCCGGGGGTCGAAAAGGTCCCGTGGAATGAGAAAAGTAGCGAGGGGCGGGAGTGGCTGATAAAAAATTAGAAAAGGGACGTGCCGACTTTGAAGAAAAAGGCTGACCTTTGAGGAAAATCGAGTCAAAAGGGCGAGAATAAAATGGAAAAGGGCTCGGCCGAGGAAAATCGGGTGCCGGCTAGGAGTGGAGAAAAAAGATGGCGACTGGAAAGACTCCGAGTGAAAATTGAGGACCTAAGGCGAAAAGCGGTCCGCCTCGAAACGAAAACTCCTCAAAAATAAAAGACGGCCGACGAGCCGGGAGAAAAAATGCTCGGATTTGAAAAAAAGGTGCGTCTGAAAAGAGCCGGATGAAAACGGATGAACTGAATCAGAAAAATACTCACTTCGTCCGAGGCGAACAGAGCGAGGAGAAGACGGGAGGAGACAGAATCGGGCCGGAGTCGAGTTCGGTCTGAGGAAACGGGGAGGGGACCGGATCAAATATGGCGGCCGTGAGTTGGACGGAAGCCCCGTCGCGCCGGCCAATCGGGAGCCGCCTTCTTACGACTTTAGGCCCCGTCCATACGGCCTATTGATCCCTAAATTTAACCCGACCGCTCACTTGATCCGGCCCGTTTTCATTTCAAAGGGGGAAAATTCCCTTTCTCCCGGGTGAAAGGGAGTTTTTTCCTTTTTCTTTTTCTCCAGCCGGCAGCTTCCCTTTTCGAGGAAAATTTTCATCGGCTGCCGGCCCGGGTCCCTGTGTTATTTTCGACCGCCCCTCCTCCGGCCGCCGATCAGCTGTTCCAGGCCAAGGTAATGGCCGTATTTATGTTGAACATTTGCAAATTTAACGATTGTGGAATTACATTTCAGAATTTAGGGGATTTAATACAACATATCGAAGATAATCACATTGGTAAATAACTGTTTCAAGTAACTAGTCGTGAAACCGCTTTGTTTTTGCTTTCTTTCTAGTTTGGTTTCGATTTGTATTCCACTCGGATTTTATAATAAAGACGTTTTCATCCTCGTTTTTAACATTGGCCGGTTGTCGTGATAATCGTTCTAAAATAGAAGAATGTCAGAAATTAATTTCAAAACGCCTAGGAGAAAAGAACGACGGGGACCAGGCACGGCCAGGACGAGCCACACCTCCTGATAAGCCGTCCTTGATAACCGGCTTTCAATTAGATAGTTTTGAATTATTTAACAATTAGATATTAAATTTTAATATAAATGGCTTTAAACCGTTCATCGAATATGAACAGTATATTAATATCATTTATTATCTATGAATATTGTCATACAATCATGATTCGCTCCTTATTGATTCCAATTTTATTCATCATTTACAGCAATGTATGCCAATCGTTTAATAGTAAGGGTAAGTTTTTGCCAATTATGAGTCCTAAAACAAGCCTGTCCAACACCAATGCAATTGACTCACCTTGATTATATCATAGAATCATGATTTTATCTATGATTATTGTCATAAAATCATGATTCACTCCTTATTGATTCCAATTGTATTCATCATAACAGCAATGAATGCCTATCGTTTAATAGTAAGGGCAAGTTTTTGCCAATTATGAGTGTCCTAAAATAAGCCTGTCCAACACTAGTGCAATTGACACACCTTGATTATGATCATAGAATCATGATTTGCTGTTTATTGATTCCAAATTTGTTCAACAGCAACAATGCCTATCGTTTAACATTAAGCGTATGATTTTGCCAATCATGATTGTTCTAAAACAAGCCTGTCTAACACAAATGCAATTGACACACCTTGATTAAGATCATAAATTCGTGACTTCTTGAAAAATTAATTGCTTTACAAATAAAATCTGCACTTTATCTAATTAATACTTGTTTGGTGCTTTATAAAATGGCAAACAATGGCTATCATTCAAAATGAAACGGATTTTTTAAAAGGTAAATTTAAATGAATAAGTTATTGTGTATTTAAAATTTCCCACGACTTGGCAGTTAGACAAGTTGTATTTAGGAAATAAAGTAATTTCTATCATTCAGGAGGGCATAATGTCTAACTACAGGACTGTGCCAGGATTTAAACCTATAACACTAGCACGGCAAATACAAGCCAGACATTCTGACCACTCGCATACCATGGTCCCCCCCCTATTCGAGTTGTAATTATATTAAGCCTAGTATATTGCCATTAAAATATAATCAAACCAAGAAAGTCAGTTGTGCAGTAAGAGAAAGCATCATAATCTAGAGCTTTGAGTACAAAGAAATTTAACATTGAAACCAGGTCTATTAATTAAATTAATTAAAAATCAAGTTTTTTGAAGAACTAAGACTCACTAATGCGCTAATGGTACAGAATGGGGGATACAATAACTCTCAAAGGGTGCAGTTTATTAGCACACCCCATGTTAAATCTACATGTACATCATAATCTCCCTAAAGTCATTTACAAACATTGATTATTACCAAAACCCCTGACTTTTTAATAAATACCTTCATCAATCTTCATTAAATTCTTGTTTTGCATGAAACATTGGATTTTACAAATCATGAGTTCTTGAAACAAATCAGTTGCTAAGCAATGCAATTTACACACCATGTTTATTACCAAAAAAATTAAATTCAATTAAAAAAAAAGGCAAGGATTTGGCCAATCATGGGTTTTCTACATCCCATCGAGCACAAACTATAAATATTTAGAAGCTGCAATTTTTTTAAGCCTAATTTTGCTAGATTAAGTTAAATTGGGCCAAGAGAAATTTTACAAGATGAGATTCAGCACTATAATTGTAGAAAACATCAACATCTTAATTAAGACAATTTACACATCAGGATTACAGTAGGCTTTCTACACTTGATTATACTATTAGAAATATAAAATTATATTTAATTTTATCTCTCATTAAATTCATAAGTATTATTAAAAAAATCTATAGAATAGACTGCCTATGTTTAACACTCACTAATTATATTTTTGTCAAATGTGTTGTTCTACGCTGTCTGTCAATCATAATCAAAAATTTAAGGTGGTATTGATTTTTCCTCATGATCAATTTTCTAAACAAGCTTATTATTGAACACAAATCATATAAACGACAATTTATATAACTGTATTGATAGTTATAATGCAAAAAACAACTCATTAATTTAACTTCTAAATATATGTGTATGTATATTTAAAAAAAATATGATTTGCTGCAGACCAATTTGAAATTATTGTTTATATTAAAAGTAAATTACATAATTGTATTTATTCAGTGAACAAGGGTTTTTTAATATTTTGTTGTCGTATTGCTAGTCTGTTGGTATTTCTTCTTCAGGCTGTTGAATTCAACAGAAATTGTATTCAAAAATGTTGGTAGAAACAAATATACATCTTCTGTTTCAGCTCGTGCATTTTGAGATGCTTACAACATTAAGAGATGTCAGAATACACGAGTTGAAACAAAAGACTTATTTGTACCATCCAACATCCTTATATTACTAGTTTTTATTGTGTTTCATAATTTGCTTGCTAGTAAATTATTACGAGATTTTATTAAGACCAAACAGAAGCATAATTCAATGGTACAAATACACAGCATAATATTAATACTGATATGGCATCTACATTTGAATACTAAATGTCGGAGAAAAAAAGATTTAGAGTTGGTCTACGAGTCTTTGAAATAGTGCTGAACTGATATAGGATCATTTATTGGGTCCGCTGGTTTGTTGAATTACTCAAACGCGTTTCGGCATTGTGCCATCTTCAATGAGGAACAACAATTTTTGTTGCCGGTTCAGCATGAGTTCACCAACTCGCACAGCCAACATCATGTTTAACCCAGCCAGTCAGCCTACGTAATTTTTAAAAAAAATGGTTGGCCAAACTTTAACCTAAATTTAAGGCAGCATTAATTTTGCATTTGTATTACCCTTGGTAACAATCCAATGACAAAATAATAAGAAAAAGAAGGAATCACATTTTCATTACTGTAAAACAAAAATCTCCATTAACGAAGTCCAAGATGCTTTTAGCAAATATTTCATAATTCGAAGAACGAAGAAGAGAAAAATTAAAATATTTCAGTAAAAATAAAGTACTTTTAATATATACCATTTTGTTTTATATTTAAATATACATATAAAATGTTTTTCTATTTTACTATTTATTTTTAAGCACTCACATTTATAGCTAGCATGCCTATGCTAGTTAAATTCTAAACTATTAATTAATCTAATTAAATAGAGAGTCAGCGAGAAAGATGCATGAAAGAATTAAAAAATGTGAAATTTTCTGTTTGTGAAATTGATTGAAAGGTTAGGAGACAGATGGAAAATTTACCTAAACAACCGGGTACTAAAGAGGTTTTGTGAGGAATTTTTTTCTCATTTTACTTTCAAACTATTTTATTATGATAGAAATTTCAATCTTATTTCCTCAATAACTTTTTTCCATTGTATCGAAGAGAGGACAATATTTTTCATGTTTATTTTAACTCTAGTTTCAATGCATAATTGTTAATAACCAAATAATTAATTAAAAATGACTTAGCATATTAAGTAGTAGATTTAAAAGTTATTGATTTGTTTTTAAAAGTAGTAAATAAAACTTTAGATGAAGATATTTTGCATGCCAGTAAATTTAAATGTTCGATGAACAAGTTAGTATAATTGAAAGAATTTTGTTCTGTGATTCTAATGTTTAGAAAATTGGAATTTTAGATTTGTTGTTGTTTTGTTAACCATTGAAATTCAACGTAGGAAAGTACTTTCTTCTCGGTAATAAGCACGAAAGAGTTAATTAGTATAAATGAAATTACCAAAGTTATTTCATTATAGACTACGATCCTCACATTATAGAAGAAAAAGAACAGCAGCAGCCATCATGTTTGCCGCTGAGCTACATTCTTCGGTTTTTTCCCGACTCTGCGAAGAAGGAAGTGTCGGATATGAAGCCGAAAATGAAGACCACAGTGGAAAAATCTGCACACCCTCAACCGGCCATACCTACAAACCCAACAGGTTCATGTTGTTTGTGTTCATCTTCAAAAATTTTACCACGATAAAAGTCTTAACCGTCTTGAATCTGTTCTAGAATCACCTCAGAAGAAAGGGCCTTCCCTCGTTCCAGGCAGCGAAGGTGATGATGATGACATTGGTAGTGAGTCCGAAGACAGTAACGACTCTTGGAGCACTCAGGAAGAATTCAGTTCGGAATTCATTTTAAAATATGGGAGCAAGTCAGTTTTTACTTACAATCAAGTAAACCGTCATAACTGCTGTTGCTTCTCTCTTTTTATAGAATGGTTAGCCCCAGCACTCTACCGGATGGCACAGTCATAGAAAAGCCCTTTGCTTGTCCTGTTCCAGGTTGTAAAAAAAGGTACAAAAATGTTAATGGCATTAAATATCATTCTAAAAATGGACATAAAAACGAAGGAAAGTAAGTAAATTGAGTTGTACTGTTTTTTTTTTCTTCTTTTTTTAATATATATATTTTTTTGTGTTAATAGTAATTGTTCTTGGCTTACAATTAATAATGCATGAAAAAGTAGTCACGGCTATTAATTATTTTAGCGTTTAGAATAATGTGAGAAAATATAAAATCTCAAGCCTCATATGAGAATTGAAATTAAACTGTCATGGTATTATTATCTTGTTCTTGAAAATTGGACATGAAGTGCCCTTCAGTATGTAATCCAAAATTTGAAAATACCCAAAATATTTTGCTAAAATAAATTGTAAATTTGTTTAAATAAGAAGGGAAAAAATCAAGGTTACCCCTGAATTAAAGCTAAATTTTCAAGTGTTTAATTTTCTACAGTGGGCAAAAATGTGTTTGAAGTTTGAAGTTTTGCTTTTTAAACAAAATTTAGTGTTCCAAAGTTGCAAAATGATTTGTTGTGTTTTTTTCTAGAGTGCGAAAAGGGTTTAAATGTTATTGTGGAAAAAGCTATAAGACGAATGGGGGTTTGAAAAACCATACAGCTCTCATGCATAGCGGTACCACAATGACGACGATAGCAACACAGAATGGGACTCCTCAAGTGCTTCAGATACCGACACTTCAGCCCATTCGTACTTTAACGCTTAAACATATAGCTAGTTTAGGTTTGCCGGTTAAAACATTAGTCGTGGCTACAAAATCGCAGGACAAAGCTGCTAAAACGACGAGCAACTTGGGCGTTCTTACCCCGGCCACTTCTCCTAATTCTCCAGATAAACCGAATGAGATTCCTATACCTGAAAATTAGGTCTCTATTTAATATAGGAAGTAAATTAGGGGTAGAAGTATAAATTATGAAACCAGTCTGTACTGTGCAATGGCTGTTTCTGGCTATTAACAATTACAAATTTTGTCCAATTGCCAATTTTTCAAAAGAAAAAGAACACTAATATTAATCAAGGCTTATCATGTCCATTTAATTGATGGTGTACAACCAGAAAAAAATGTATGTAGCACTTGAACTAGCTATTCCTTCAATAATAGTTTTATTTAATTTGTGATATACAAAGCTGTGTAACTTTGCCTTTTATGATATTAATTGTACAAGCAATAATATGTTCTCTGATAATAATTCATAAATGCGCACAATGTATATATTATATAAAATTTGCCTCAATTCTAAAATAGAAGAAAAAAAAGTACTCACAACTTTTAAAGTGCAATAAATGTTATTTTTTTTAATTAGTTGTAAGGGAATAGAGAAAAATACTTAAAAAGAAAGAAAGTATATTGCTGAGTTATTTTAAATCTTGTGATTATTTGTGCAAGATGTGGTATGGAGCAATATTTCTAGTCGTCTAGTCATCGGTAGATATTATCAATGAACAATATTGTTATTGGTATTTAGTTAGTTTTTATTTTATGAGGCCGTTAACTAGTCATATGTAGCAATTATGGTGCTCCACTGCTCATTTTTGTTTGCCTTTGGTTGCACCTAATGGGTAATTTAAAAGAATAAATAAAATAGGGTGGAAACCAACTTAAAAATTATATTGAATTTCATTTGTACGAACTAATTCTCAACTTTTTTTAGTATGGTAATAAATAAAATTAATAATCAAACGTTAAATGTGCTTAATTGAGAGTATTATTGTAAAATATAGAAACAAAGTACTGCCATTGTTCAGTTATTTCTCTAAACTATTATCATTTTGTATTGTAAACCATGTGACAATCACTGTTGATGGATTGATTCTTTGACTAGCACTCATAAATGGAAATAGACAACTTGTTATTTAATTTATCAAAAACTTTACCTTTTGTCCTACGCTCTATACCAATCAAATGATCACGTTCAATGTGTTCATGTGGGCATGTATCTAGTAAATTTATCGGACTGATTTGTACATAAATCTTTAAATAGTGTACAGCAAAAGAAGAAGGGGGATGCCTCTCGTTGTTGACAGTAAATAAATTTAAACACTGTTATTAAATTTTGTTTGTCAATTTGTTATTTTTTATTCAGTTACATTACATAAGGGTTTTTCAATACTAATTTATTTGGTTTTTGTTTTACATTAACAAGAAACATGTAAATTGTATTTGAGGATCCCATCCAATCCCACAATCCTTTCTCTTCATTTACATTTTTTAGTTGAGATAAAAAAGTCAATGGCACGAGCAGGATTCGAACCCACGATCTTCGGCTTGATACGCTGCTGCTCTACCACTTGAGCTATCGTGACCTGAGGTCTCATGCCATTGACTTTTTTATCTAAACTAAAAACCTTAATTAATTGTAATATATTAATTGGTCAAGCGGACCATGAAATTAGTGAATTATTATTTAAATTAATTTCTTAGAATTATAATATATGAACAGTTTAACATCATACATAATGACCAGTCATTAAACGAAATTAATTTTTTATTCAAATTGTTTATTTTTAGCATACATCAAAATATCAATTCAATGTTGGTGTGGTAATTATGTATGGCTGTAGTCATGTTATGAAAGTATGGTAATATTTATATATAATTTCACTTAATTATATTTTATAAATCGGTAACGCCAGGAGGCATTTGCAAAAAAGTATCGGTGTCCTGTTACGCTCGAGCCGAGAATAACCGATTTTTATCTGAGGTCTTGGTTGAAATGAAAAAGCTAGTGTCACGAGTAGGATTCAAATCCACGACCTTTGGCTCAATTCGCTGCAGCAATAACCACTTGAGCTATCATAATGTCTTGAAGAGTTCTATTGAGCCGAAGGTCATGGGTTCAAATCCTACATGTGACCCTAGCTTTTTCATTTCAAGCTTATAATTATAAGTATTATTTAGTGAAATAATTAATATTATATAAATTAATCAGGTCAATTATGACTGCTAAACATACGATATAACATATAATTGTGAATGCCGATCAAAATTATGTCCGAACTGCTCCAAGGATTTTCATTTTTGATTGCTTAAATGAAAGCCCTGATCTTAAATTTATTTGGAAAATTATCAAAAGGTTAAATCATCAATCGTGACTGCGATAAATAAGTAATTAAAATATGATGGATAGTGGCTGGTACCAGAATTAAAACATCATAAATCATCTGTCTCTTTGCCTTGCTATTATAGTACTTTTCAATACTTAAACAGTACTTTTCAGTACTAACATTGTTGTTATATTGTATATTATATTTTTTATTTTCTTCTTTTCGGAATAACAATATTAGTATCAAAAAGTACAGTAAATGTAATTGCCTCAATGGCCTTATTTCATTCCCAGAGCCACAAATCAGCTTGGAGTTAAAGGAACTATTCCTTAAGTGTCCTAATTTTATGAACAATGTATGCAATTACAACAGCACAATGACATTTGCCTCTTTTTCTGCCAGAGGGAAAGAAATTCTAGGAGTTGGACCTTATAGTTCTGACATACTAGAGCAGATGCATACTGGATTTGTTGCCACATAAGGGTGAAGTTCTTTCATATGGTCAATTATACTTTATAGACTCCTCCAAAGCTGTGATGTACATTCAGGACACTCAGTAAATAAAAATCTAGACGGCACAGTTTCAGCAGTCCTTGGTGGCATTTTAACTAAAAATCCTTATGTTGAAGCATACAGGACTACAGCTAAAACAATGCAAGATGAAAGTTTTAACTTGGGCTAATAAACGTACAGCAGAAGAAATAGTTCCAAGTTTTCCATTCCTCAGGAGAACCACCAGGTCATCAACAAATCATTGTGCACTATTGACAAAGCGGTCCATTTTTGTTTTAAGCCCTCGTGATCCCATGTTGTACCCATTGATCTATTCCTGTGGCGAGCCAGGATGAGACTCCAACATGACCCATAACAGCATATGAAAACAAAATCGTCACAAATGACTAACAACTAACAAGATCAAATTTTGCATGCTATCAATTTGCTATTCCCATGTTCATAATTCACATCGTTTCATGATTCCAACTATAGAATGGGGTTATTGCCCCAATAGGCTGTTGGATGATTTGTCTGATGAATTACTGTTAAGCATATACATACAACACAGAGGAATGTATGGTAAATGTATTAAAATTATGGAAGTTAGCAATTACTCAACATAATACCATATTGGTCATTATCAATCATATGAATATCTAAAAATGGATATTAAACATAATGTTCCATATGATCAATTACCAAATGAGCAATCCAGTTCACGATCTTCGTCTTCTGACAAATTGTTTTCTGTCTTTTACGTGCCTAAGAACAACCCAGGTTTGAAGGGCGATCCTGGTTTTGTCTGTCAGATGCGTATATGTGTTGATATTTCTCACTTTTCAGCTGAATGTTCAAAACGGTGATCTTTGTATAATTATTTGTATACAAATACGACTATCACAATAGTTGTATCAATAGTTATATGTGTATTATGTTTATGTGAAGTGAAAATTTACCAGTATTAACAAACAGAAGTCTGAGGAACTATTTATAACATTTATTTATTTCTAACATTTATTTACCTGCTGTTAACATAACCTCATGATCATGATGATGAATAAAAAAACCTTTTTAATATTAATATATTTACAATATAATTATACAATGATATACATAATTAGATATAGCAAGATTAAAAAATAATAAACAGCATAATTTATACAGGCATATTGACAATCACAGCTTAATAAAAAAAAAAAAAATAATTAAAAAAATGAAAAATAAATAATGGTTAAAGTAATTTTTTACATATACATGATTTTTCAAAATATATATACTTAAATTTTTACCCTTTAAAATTCATTTCATATTCTTAAGCCGAAAATTGATCCTTTCTTTCAAATCTGAATCACACCTTGTCTGTATCTGCTTCAGCAAAGCGATATCATGGTGATTGAACGCCATTTCAGCAGCTTCGCTGTACATTCTGCAGATGCAATGTTTTTATTTTGAGTATAACAATTATAATTTTAAAAAAAGAAGAAGTACACGTAGGCTTACTCGAGTTTGAAGTGACATTTTGCAAGGTGGTCCTCTTGAACACGAGGAAGATATTTTTTTGCTTCATTTAGTTGGCCATATTTCACGCAAACATCGAAGAAAGGCTGTACAATAAGATTTGTTAATATTTGCAATACATGACAATATATAAGCACCTACTTCATATCCTATGGGCGATTTTTTGTGCTTTGCAAAAACATCAAGTTCAGTCCAGTTGTTCAAAGTTCCAAGTACTTCGACACGTAGCAACCAATATCTAAATGAAAGTTAAAAGTGAATTGAATGTTATTATTTTATTTTTAACCATTTACCTTCGATCGGAAACTTTATATTCGACACGCAATTTGTTTGCTAAGTTGGTCTGATCGATCATGAGGAGCGCTTTGACTGTGTCGTGTAGCGACTTTCCTAGAAAACTTTTTCTAAATTTGTTCTCAAAATTGTGTTGGTGTTTTGCGAGTTTTAATTCGTCTTCAACAAGGGCGGCGTTTGCTTCCATTTTGGCTTTCTTGTAAAATTCTTTGGCTGCGACTAACGAAGCTCCCTTCATCTTGATTTCCTTTAGAAAAACTTATGTCACTATGATTGATTGTTGTAGAATGAATTTACCTTAGGATCATAGCTTTCTCTGATGTAAAATTCTGCCAGGCACTTGTGGTTGTCTTCTTGTGTATAAACGTCTCTTAAAACACCTTTGTTATGTTCACGACAAAATTTTAAGTAAAGGGCTTGTGCCAATTGGAAATCTCTAATCTTCATCTGAAAATTAAATAACGTTTATTTTATTTAATTGTAAGATAAAAAGACGAAAGAAACTACCTGAAATTTGTCTTTTCCCATATTTTTGTTCATGTGGTATAGAACCTGATTGACTAAATCTGTATTTCCACTCTCTATCGCTTTTTTCAGTGCGGTCGTATCTTCAGGATCATTGAGCTTCAAAAGCACCGGGATTTGCAATCTCGCCCTTGGTTCATAATCTATCAACTGAGAAATAATGTTGTAAAAATTAATTTTAAAAGAAAAGGATATAATATAAACACACCTTAATAGCTAAATCAGTTTTCCCACATTCTAACGCTTTATTTGCGATATCTTTGTACGAAATATCTTTTGCATTGCCCAACTTGGCTGCGATATCTCGAGCCACCAATTCGGCATTAGCGCCAATTTTACAATGTTCAACCTGAAACAAAAATAAATACAAATTGTGAAACAGCCTGTCTGCCAATTCCCACTGCTTTTGTCAACGCAATTTCATAAACCTCTTAACATGGGAAATTGCAAAAACATGCATCAGTAGACATGATGACCAGGGACAATCAAGCTGTAAATCAAAATATTCTTGATATTATCAGATAAATTTTCACCTTGTACGATGCCCAGTGGAGCTGGATTTTGCTTGAATCTGGCATCTGAAGGAATTTTGCCAAGTCCAATGCTAAGAAATGGTGCCTCCTTAGCATGAGAAGTTCCATAAGACCGACAAATCCAAGTGTGGTCAGTCTTAACAACCATTAAAGAAAATATTTACAATAATTACGTTCGTAACAACAACAACATTAGAAACAAATCAAATGAATTAAAGGATACTGTGTGAGAGTCAATGGAATTCCAACTTTTGAATTTCTCACTGCATTTAAACACCTCAGGACTCGAATCATGGTAACATATTCAGTAGGATTATATCCATCCATATAGATTTTTCCAAACTGTGCTGCCTAGGGGAGGTAAAAACAAAATATTTTAAATAATACAGAGCAACCCTTATACATAATTTATCTGATATATCTGACATACTCGCATTAACATTTTTTGGGTTTCAGAATTGAACTCATGCCCAGCAGCATCGATGCACTGTTTAATAGCCCTGTCCAATTTAGGTTTAACTAAATGCAGATACTCGTTGGCACGGTGGCTTTTTCGCTAAAAAATAAAGTTAGTACTGTAAAACAAAAAATGTGTGATTGCACTAATACATGAATACTTTTAAGAAATGACAATTTTCTGTAATTATGCAAATGTAAAGTAAGAAAAAGATTTTTTTTCATCAATTTTATTAGGCTAATATATAGTACAGAAAAAAAGATACAATTGGTACAATATCTGAGTACAAAAATTTATGACAAAAGTTGGTCCTAAAGGCACCCTTGAAGTAGATCCTGTTTAAGGGCTGCCAGCAATACAATGATAAGAAAAGAAGGGTCGAGGGAAAAACTAGTGTATTGGGAAAATAACATTACTATACGTGGACAGAAGAAAATAGTAATAATAACAGTTACAACTTGTAAAAACAGATTAAACAACCGTGAAAAAACTTAAGAATTTGCCTTTTTTAAATTATTTTTATAGTTAATTTATTTAATTATAAGTAAAACAATACCTGATACTGCTTAGAAGCCTCGAGCAAGTAGGAGCCAGGGGAAGAACTGTTGATCTTGAATATGTCACGCACATCCGGCGGCACTTTCTGAATCATATCCATCGTGAAAGTTGAAATCACCCTGATACAATCCATCTCCTGTACACAAAGGACAGTGTCATCGTACATGTACTGTATGCTCTCTTCGTCAACACCGATGAGCTCGATAGTTTTACCCCAGTTGATACTAACTGTATCTTGTCCACACCTGGGTATTATTTTCAACATTAAAACCATAATTACACCGGTATGACGTTGGAGCGTACCAAAGCAGCTGAAAAGGTCTTGAGGGATTGCTCGTGTCGAAGATTCTAAAGCAAACAGAGCCGTCTACAGATCCTATCCACACCTTTCCTCTGTCAGTCATCACAGCTAATTTTGAATAATCAAAACTTGCGGCAATTTCCTTAATTTCATAATTTTCATCTGCGATGTTTATTTTCTAAAATTTAATTTAGATTCAGTTGACTAAGCAGTTAATAAGCATGTTTTATCATATTAAACTTACTAATTCAACAGGTTTGCTCTCCCCTTCTCTCAAGGAATATAAAATCCTACCCTGGCCAGCCAACACACGACTGTGCCTGTCTTCGCAGACTACAGCCCAAGCAAATGAACCACCACCTACAAGTGTGTACAAATGCAAAATATAATTTTAAAAAAATTAATAATTTAAAAAAATTCTACCTGGTGGCTCGGGTACAGATCGAACCTTAACATCTTTAACACTTTTAACACAATTTGCAAGAAATATTCTATAAGCTGATGTTAAAACAGCAATTCCTGTTCCAAGAACGGTTTTAAAAAACTTTGCTTCAATCACTTTAGTATCCTGTGCTTCCTAAAACAGAGAGAAAGTTTTAACAGAAATCAATGATTTATTTTATCACTACACTTTATTTTAGTACTTTTTTTTATATTAATCATCCCTTTATGAACAACACAACAATTTCAAAGTTTACTATTCTTGCTTTTGCTATGGACATTCTTTTTTAAAACTTCATAGTTCACTATGTATTCTTTATCTTATGCACTCATGCAACAGTCACACTTTTACTTCTATGTCATAATAATTCCAATGTGGGTCATGAGAGGATTTTGAAAATTGACTCAAGACCTTGTTAAAGTCAATTGTACAATACATTATTGTGTATATGTATTTTCCTCATGTGAATATTGTTGTCAATAATAAGCATACAATTTAAATCATTACTTTGGTTAAATTAGGACCAACTAAAAAAACATGGATTAATATTATAAGCATATAGGAGAAATCGAGTCAGACCGGATGGTTGCATTTTTCTATGAATCCCTTACAAATTTGCAATCATCATTAGCTGTCTAAACTGTAAAATGAATCGTTGCAGATAAATTAACTCATTCATAACTCGCATCATTCAAGAACGATGAAACGAGCCTTCCTCATATGGGTTCTATTCAAGAACAACACAAGTCTCCTTGCAACTAGGTCTTTCAAAATCCAATATTTTAGAAGTATTACAAATCAACACCGTGATGATTGTGTTAAGTTTGTTATACTCCTATATGATTTAATAAATTTGTAAGAATATATCAGCATTTTGCAAAAGGGTATAAAGGTTGGTGATGAAAAGCTTGCTAAATGAAAGAAATAGAATCCAGCTTTAGGCAAATAACAACTTTGGCATTCCAACAATAATGAGGCATTACAAAGGATAAAAGGTAATTTATTTAAACTGGCTATTTTTTGTCCTTTTCTATCATGGAACAATATTAACCTTGTTTGAATTGTTGAGCATTCATGGCAGTAAGGCATTGCCCCTAAACATTTTTTATCCTTAAATGTTTTAAACTTTTTCCCTGCCATTTCAAGTAAATTCACCATTTGAGTTAATGTGGTTAAGAAGAACACCAATGGTTGAATCATACGAAGAAGTAATGAATTGCTCCAATCATTTATTTATGAATGCTGATGCATTTCGGGGCCTACCTGAATCTGTGGGTTGTTAAAAATGCTGAAGCGGCATTGGCCATTTATTGGGTCCGTCTTCACTCAAGGGTTTGTTGAATTACTCAATTGCGTTTTGGCCTCCTGGCATTCCACACTGAAGATGGTGCAATGCCAAAACTCATTTGAGTAGTTCAAAAAACCAGTGAGCGAAGATGGGCCCAATAAGTGACTAGTTCACAGACTCGCAGACCAACACCCATCATCAAGTCTAACCCAGCCATTCAGGCTACATTACTTTAAAAAATGGTTCGTCAAACTTTAACCTAAATCTAAGGCAGTGTGGATTTTGCATTTTTATTATCTTTGATAACAATCCAATGACCAAATACTGGTTCAACAAAGAAAGTGATTTATAAGATCTGTTTGGTCTTGTCCAGTCATTGAGAATCCTTTTGTACACGTGTATGTTTGTAAGTACAAATTTGCCAAGGAGTGCAACATAAACATTTGAATGTAAAAATGTGCTTGTAATTAAAAATTGATTTTTGGTCAGAAGTATATAAACATAAATTCTTTTATTATTATGTTAACATTGAAAACCTTTTCACTTTCTTCTTTGCATTTTAAACTATGAAATGACTAGACTAATATATACAAATATCACAGACAGTAAAAAGTGTGTAAATAAAAATCAGTCATTGTTGTTTTTAGTTGTATTTACACCCTTTTTACTGTCTGTTATATTCGTATAAATTAGTCAGTTCATAGTTGAAAAGGTGAAGAAAGTAAAAAGGTTTTCAGTGTTAGCATGAAAATAAAAGAATTTAAGTTTATATACTTCTGACCAAAAATCAAGCCCTGAAGAATGTACAATAAAGTTCCGAAACCTAGGTGAAGATTTAAAATTAAAAATAACTTTCTTTGACCACATCCCTGACAACAACCAAGAGAACATTATCTACATAAGTTGGTTGATAAATCGCAAAACATTATTACTTATGTATAATTTAAACTCTTATAGAACTTGTAACTGGGTATATTTACCCATATAAATAAGTCTGAAATGTAAAACCTATGAGATAATCTGGGATGATAGAGTGGCAGGTTCATCATATGCGGATATTCCACAATAAAAATATTTACTAATGTCTCACCTTCCCCATGCTAAAGTTAAAAAGGGGCTTTGAAAATATGTTGTACACCAGGACCTGCCCATCCTCCCTTACACAGAGCAAGTTGCAATTCGACGACCATCCGAAATCAATAATAGACCCACTGTCCCACTGAAAAAGAGTCGCACTATTTAGATACAATTCATACAGTCAACAATGAAATGTAACTAACCAAAAGCGTTGATATTTCAACTCCGGATGCGTTGTATATCGCGATGATGGGCTTGCTGCTACCTTGCACTTTCACCACTTTTTTCCTATTTCTTATCACAGCGATGGGGCCGCCGTAGTAGGACGAAGTGAGAGAAAGCACTTCCAGGTTGATCTCCGGAGACCAATCCATGTTGTAGACCTCAATTTTTCTTGGGGCAAATATCATAATAAGTTTCTAAAAAGAGTTTAAAATTGAATAATTGCATTTACCTGTAGTAATCATCTTTGCCAAAAGGGCTCCAATCCCCAGTCAATAAAATAGCCATTTTCTATGATGTTGACTGTTGAAAATTATAATGGGGGAAACGGCTTAATCTAACATGAGATAACAGTATTTGTAAATTCTAACGAAACCTTCCTCATATATGTGATAAGAAATAAAGACTGTCATGTTTACTTACTGAAAATTTAATTAAAAGCTTACAAACTTCAGCTAATTATATAGTGAGTAATTATCTGGTGCATATTTGCATTTTTCAATGGTATAAATTAATTTATGCAAAAAGAATTAATATTGTATAAACATCATACCAGCTTTTCTTGAACATCAATTTAAAAACAAGAGAAAGCATAGCAATTGTTAAAATCAAGAAAATTTAGTCCAATTTGTTCAAAGTAATTATTTTATCATTTGTCAGTAAAAAGACAACATTGACAAACCAGAATGACAACCAAGGCAGTAATAAAAAAAAATTGTCTTCTCGAACATTCATGCGTTTAACACAGTTGCATAATTGCATATTGTATTAAGAACAACTCGGGTATCGGTATTCGCAACATGCAAAGGCATTGACACAGCGTCATCCCGGGTTTAAATTGCTGCTGGATATGAACCCGACACTCTTACAAATGGGCTTTTTTCCATAACACCGAAACCCTGAGGGTTGATATGACCTCTGCTGTTGCAAACCCCTTTAAAATAAAATAACTATGCATGATTGTCAACAATAGTTCAGCAGCCAACAATAACAATAATAAAAAGTAATCTATTGTTAATTATCTAAGTTTTTATATTTTTTATTTATGGCCTGTCCATATATGCACTTCTGTTAATATAAGTGCAGAACCAACTACCAAGCCATGACAATCACTCTTTTGAGGACGAGTTAGATCCTGGTCTTATCCGTACCAACGTTGAAGTTAGCCTCAAGGTACTGCCGACAACTATATCGTTTCAGCCCCAACGAATGCAGCTTTAACATAAAAACTCACTCATTCTTAAATACATTCCCTCTTATTTATAAACCTTTCACGCAAGTAGGGTGACGGAGTACTACACTGAAGGTAAAAAGTGACCACTTTTTTTTTCAGTTCTCTTCTTGCGTTGATCACCTCTTGCATTCGATGTGGCATCGATTTCGTGAGGTTTTGAATGTAATGTCATGGAATATTTTCAAATTCCTCCAACAGTCATTTTAACTTCTGCAAATTCAATGGCATCACTGGGCAACTTTTTATCCTCTTTGACAAAAATTAAAGTGATACATCTACATTGACCTATTTAAATTCACAAATTTAACAACTCTTCAAGATTGTTGAAAAAGGCAAGATACCATCGAAACTTACGAAATTCTTACAAATAAATATGACCCTTCTCCCACTTAATAAATAAAATAAAAAATTATTTCTCGACTTCTGTAAAGAGATTGTTTGCATAAGTTTACAATTTACAAAATAAAAATTCTATTGTGTATTCAGGTGCTCTCGAAAAATTTGAAGTGGTAGAAGAGGAAACGAGCTGCTTTGAAATTTAATCCATTAAAAATTTATAAGTTTTAGTTGTCCCAGTTCCATCTACGGTCATCCCTAGAAAATAAATAATACAATAAGTAACTTAAATTAAAAAAAAAATCATTTAATCTATTGTATGTTATTTTATGGCCTACTTAGCATATAAAAGCAGATGTATCAGAAGTGCATTATTGTTCATGAAAAAGTACTGGAATAACATGACTAAAACTGTAAGAGTTATGAAATAAAACAGTGTAGTTAGAAAATAGACTTATTATCAGCAAACATTCTCATGACACGTGGAAAGGGTTTTTTAAGTTCATTCGCCTTAGTATTTTATCAAGACTAAGCTCAAGGAACTTGATTGTACTTATCACCTCTGCAGTACGATCCTGCATTTGGTCAATAGAATTGCTTCACCATGCAACTGATTCTTATTTTCCAATACATATAACCTGTCAACAATTTTGGCAAGCCAATAAATTGAAAAGAAGACAGGACGTCCTGGGATATACCATTGTAATAATAATATTTTGCATTTTTTTAAAATACAATTGCAAAAATTGTTGGTTGAAATTCCTTTTATTAACACTCAGGGAAAAAAGAAGGAAACCATTGGAATGCAAATTTCAAGCCAAAGGCATTCCTCAATATTCAAATATATGGTAAATTATTCAGCTACTAATTTATTTACTTTGGATTACCGCATTTAAATTGTTTATTATCTCAGAAAGTTTTATTTTTGAAATATTCACACAATGTTTTAAAAGGACATTTCTGTTAAAAATAACATTTATATTTGATCCATGGTAAATTATATTTGTATTGTAATTGGCAGGATTGTCCTTGAAAAACTTGTTTAAAATGTGTAAGCCAGGCTAAAGCAACCTTCAGTATCTTTAATATGAAAGATTAAAATTATAATCACCGTTATCTCTGAATATTATGGTCAAAACAGAAATAAATGTAAAACACTATTGCATCAGCCACTTAATTAGGGCATATTTAGCAGCCATGAGCAATTTATAGGTTTTACAATGCATTTCTCTTAGTTGTTATCAAGTGTTTTAAGTGTTTTTTACAAATTTGAAATACCTGTTTAATTACTTTTTACAGTTGGTGATGGAATCCTCACAGAATCTGCTCATTCCAGGATTAATTAAATGTGTCAATTTCTCTGCAGTTAAACATAAAAATCAAAGGAGGTTGGATAAAGAGAAAACGCCTTATATCAATCATCCGATTGGTGTAGCAAATATTCTATGTGAAGAAGGCGGGATTTCTGACCCTGATGTCATCATGGCTGCGATCCTTCATGACACAGTCGAAGATACGGATACGACGTTTGAAGAAATTGAACAACATTTCGGCCACCATGTCAGGTCGATTGTCAAGGAAGTAACCGATGACAAAAGCCTTCCCAAGCAAAGACGAAAGGATCTCCAGGTTCAATGATAATATTAATAAATAATAATAATTCAATAATATATGTTTAGATATATTGTATTGTAAGTACATGCAAAGTTTTTTTACATTATAGATTGAACATGCAAAAGGCTCTTCTTATGAAGCGAAACTTGTTAAATTGGCTGATAAGTTGTACAACCTGAGGGATTTAAAAAGGCAAACACCTGAGGGATGGAGCGATGAAAGAGTGAATGAATATTTCAAATGGTCTAGTAAGGTTGTGGAAGGGCTTCGAGGTACAAATAAAAATCTAGAAGATAAACTGGACGATTTATTCGCTTCAGTAAAAGATGCCTAATAATATAAACTATGGCGATCACAATATTTAGCTGTATTTGTTCTTGAAATCGTTCATAAATTTGAAAAGAAATGTGGTTTCTTCAACTGAAATGGCATTATATATAGATGCCCTGATTCCTCCGACCAATCTAAAAACAACAGTTTATAGAAATATATATTTGCTCAATTATAATTTTTAAAAAAAATTACCTGTGCCCTTTCAATTGAATCATCTTCAATTTCTTTGCCTCCTTTAAAAATTCTTCCTCCAATTCAGTCTTACTTATTCTAAAAGGTACATTCATTCTAGACCTCACAGCGTCTTTAACGGGGCATATATAAAACCCGTCGGAATTGTCGATTGCCGAGTAGATCATTTTGCTTTTCTCTTTTGCCCTCTTCTCCATTCCTTCCACTCCTCCATTTTTTTTAATCCAATCGAAGACTTCACCCATAACATAAATGCTGAAAAATAACTCCATGGTTATATCTGTGATTGAGCCGATAATTAGAATGAACTAACCAAAAAGTGGGTGGAGTGTTGTGAAGAGAGTTGTCTTTCGCCATTACAGTAAAATCCCACACTGTTGGACAAACGGGCATTGGTTTTCCTAAAAGATCTTCCCGTACAATCACCAGTGTGACACCTGCAGGTCCGATATTTTTCTGAGCTCCAGCGAATATGACACCAAACTGAATTCAAAATAAAAAGTCCAATTTGAATAGAATTATTTCAAAAAGACAAAAGCATCAAACCTTTTTCACATCGACCGGACGCGAAAGCATGTTGGAGGACATATCAGCAACAAGAGGTACTCCTTTGGTGTCGGGCACAAACTGAAATTCAACACCTGGAAGGTAAAATAATTTTCAACAAATTTTATTGTAATTCCAGTTTATGATCAATTTACCATGAACAGTTTCATTAGCGCAGTAATAAACGTATGATGCATTCGGATCAAGGTTCCATGTATCTTGGCTCGGTACATCTACATATTTGTCAGTTTTTGGCAATACCAAATTTACTTTTCCATACTTGGCAGCCTCTTTTGCCGCTTTTGCTGACCAAGATCCTGAGAAGAAAATGTTTTGCAATCCCATTCAAATAGAAAACAAGCATAAATTACCAGTTACTAAGTAGTCCGCGGAACCTGTCCTATTAATAAGATTCATGGCAACAGCAGCAAAGAGCCCTGTACCGCCTCCTTGTAGGAAAAGTACTTTATAGTTATCTGGCACATTCCTATAAAAATTCTTTCCTCATTTTCCAAATTGAAATGTACAATGATGCTAATATAAGTTTTGAAAATACAAAAATGTCGAATACTAACAAAATTTCTCTGACACATTGTTGAGCTTTGTTATTTATGTTTTCATATTCGGCTGACCGATGGCTCATTTCCATAACACTCATCCCTGTGTTTCCATAGTCAAGCAGTTCGTTTTGTATCTTGCACAACACCTGGACAGAATTAAAATAGATTATTTATTCATTTACAATGCTAATCATATACTATACATTCATATATCAAAATTACACGAACACATTTATATTTGTAATTTTAGTTTTGCTCTGATACTTTTAGAAAAGAAAGCAAGAATGATTTCATTTCTGTTAAAAAAAAGTGTTTGCAGTTTTTTTCTTTTTCTGGGAGTTTTCAACTGCAGTAATCATTTTAGTCTCTTTCTTACATCCTTACATTAGAATACATTGCCAAACCACTCAATACAATTCGTCTGAACGCTTTATAAGTATCCCCATTGCTCGCACTCTCATCCAGTGCCGCACTCATTCGTTTACCGACTTACATTCACACATTCGGAGTGGGCAGTAAAATGTTCCATCATCCCCTAGCTACCTTCTCACAACAATAATTTCTCTGCAATGATGACTGTTACTTTGCAATTTATAGAATGTAATTAAATAAAATATTTTTTTCCGTTTTCATGACATGTACAGTTGGTAAGATTAAAGTATTCACATATTTTTCAATCCATTCTCTTTTTACCAGGTAAATGATTGATCTTTGTATTTTATTTATTTAATGCGTTGTTCAGAATTATCAGTATTATGCAATTACTACAAGAAGCATTTTCAAATAAAACCCTATCTTGATTGTAGATTGTATTTTTGGGAGTAATAATTCAAAAGATTAGATAAAAAGGGTGTCATGCCATTGAAATGATAAACCATTTAAACAAAAAATTTTATTTCAAAAGATCCATGTCCTATTCACCAGTGCAATACAAAATATAAATGTGTGGTGTTTAGTGACTGTTAGTCAATGATTATTCGGAGATTATGTTTTCCGTGTAGATGTGTCATTATCGGGTGTCGTGTTGAGAGTGTCACTTCCAAACACTTTGAGCACTGAAGATGATCTCAATAAAGATCGAAATGCTGGCACAATAAAGAAAATGATTTTCTAAACCCTACGTCACATCAGACCACATCTCACATTCTCCGAATAAACAAAATATAAAATCATAATGTTTATTATAGTTTTCAAAATACAAACTATATCGCTCTAATAAGCACCCTAGCAATCATTGACTGGGATAAACTATAAATATTTTCTTTGGTGTTTGATCAGCCTTCTCAGTTTAAATATACTTTCCTAAAGGTAGATTGGGGATGAGGCCAGGAAGACCGGTAGAGCCCACCTTCGGATAGCGGCAAGCGGCCGAAAGCTCGACAAGAAAATAAATGTTGTTTCTGTCTTCCTGGCCTCATCCCCAATCTACCTTTAGGAAAGTATATATAAACTATAAAGCCAAAAACATATTAATCATTACGTTGAAAGTTTCTGTAAACTACTATGTAATTTGATTGACCTATGTGTATTCCATTTTCCTAAATGTTTTTCAAATGATTTAAAGGAACTTAATAGAAAAAAAGAAAGCCCACATACAATTTAAGAATTCAAAATCACCTAATGACAACATGGAATTTTCAAGAATATATGTTGAATGTAAAAATCTTGCAACAATAGACATAAAAATGTTAGAATATGATGTATTAATAAATCCTAAACATTTTTGGTCTTACATCAGTAATGAAAAAAAAATTCATTGCCTGTGTCTATTTTGGAACGGTATATTCCCATAACACTACAACCTGTACTAGTATTGAACATGATGAAACAGTGAAGGTATGGTCCCCATATAACAAAATTAAATAATCACAAAAAAAATTGTTTTTTGACACAGTTTCTTAGGAAGAATAGTAACAAATATTAGCTCCTTAAAAAATAGAAGAATTAGCAGGGATATTCAAGTATTATATAAGTTATTAAACATTTAAAGAAAAAAATCATTAAAAACTGCTCAGGGCTAGTTGAAAAACTGTGTCTCAACATATCAGATAAAAGAACAAGATTCACAAACATATTCTATTTATATAATGCCTCAGTCATTAGAATGTATAGGGTGGCAAATCATAAGCAATTAGATTGGTTTTGCAACTCGTCTATATTTAAACTAAAAATTGTAAACTCCTTGTAGCTTCAAAATATTGTGATGAAACAGTAAATTGCCCATCTAGCTGTTAATAAAACTTTCGATTTTTTAAATCGCATAAACTTGACCTTCATCAAGAGTTCCCTAACAGCAATACATTGGTGGTTTGTTATCAGAAGAACTTGTTCCTTATATGCCATTAATTGGCGATGGTTTTATGCATGTCAGTGCAAGGCCCCAAACAGCCTAGGACTGTTGGTGACTACTTGGAACGAGCTTCAATGTAATGAGTGACCTGCATATAGTCCCGACTTAATATCAATCACTGTTGGAAGTTGTCAAAGAGGGTAAAAAGTTGCCCATTGATGCCAGAAAATTTGCAGGAATTAAAAAAGGCGCTGTTGGAGAATGCAAATATTCCTCAGCACTACATTCAAAACCTGATAAATCAATGCCACGTCAAATGCAAGCGGTGATCAATGCAATAGGAGGGAATACTCCATACCGAATTGCAAATTTACTTCATTGTTTCCTTAATTAGTGATTTAGATATAACATATTTTTCTTTAAAAATATCCAGTAAACAACAAAAATAAAAATTATTGCATTGATATTTAATTCAATGATTGCAAGTATTTATTTAAATTTAAAAAAGAAAGAAAAAATGAGGGTGGCCACTTTTTTGCCTCCTGGTAAAATAAAGCAATGAATTAACACTCAAAAAATAGATCAATCAATATTTAATGGGAGAAAAAAAGGAGATAAGAAAATTCTCTAGATAAAAAGATGTTTTTAAATTGAACCTATAAGAATTTTTGCATGACTTCAAAATTGGTTTAATTTTGATTTAATGTTAATTTTTTATTAACAATAACTATCATTAATTTTGATCCAAAAAATAGATAAAAATGTAAACTGAAACTATGAAAATGATATTATTTTACTATTGCTACAATTTTTGTTAATTATGACTGTATTTCTTGTTAGGGTTTCATGATGGGTGAGAAATAGCCCAAAATGTAGAGAAAAAATGAACAATGTTTTTGAAATAAATTAACATTTGAGAAAATTTTTTTAAAAAAAACTATAAACCATGTGCATCTTGGGATAAACCCTAATTTAAAAACTCCTTTTAGGAAATAGAAAAAAAAAAATATATATATATATATATAATTTTACAATATTGGTGCTTGTGAAATATGAAATGGAAACTTCTTTCTCTTACCTAAACTCTTATTTACTTTTAAAAAAAAGTGAATATTTTAAATAAAAGAAAGATTTCTTAAAGTGACGCATCAGGAGTCACCCATGTAAGTGTCTCCTGATGTGACAAAATTTAAAATCAATAAAATATCTTGAATGTATAATATTAAACCTTTTCAAATTCATAAGTGTTTCTTATTTGAACAATTTTAATTTTAAATTAAACAATATGAAGTTTGTTATTAATATTGAACTTTTATTTCTTTATCTCTATGATAGTGATAATAGAAGGATAAGAAAAATTGCTTAATGGCCTTGTTTGCACTTTATAAAAATAGAAATCTGTGTTTTTGTTTTCTGCACTGAACTTTCACCGTTTTATTTTTTCTTTCTTGCACTGAACTCTCGCCTGAAAATGCTTATCACATAAAGCGATACGGTTGAAATTGGTATACCATATATGTTTATTAACGTACCTCTCTGGGCAGTTTGGCAGGGCCAGCGCCAAAATTTATAGTTTCCATGGTTTTATTATTTTTTTCCTGTCCAGTTCCACTCTGTACAAGGCTGACACTGAACTGCAATAATCTTTCAACTCCTGTTAAATTAGTTATTTATCAAAACTCAAGGTCTAATGACGTTTTTTTTTGTTGATAAGATCTTTTATCTGTATTTAAATCCGACAAGGGAAATATGTAGACTGAGATTTTGCAAATTCTGCCTTTAGTTTAGAGTGGATTCTTTTATATATATATATATATATATATATNTTTTTTAATCCCCACTTTGTTAATCCAAGGCCATAGTCCAGTGGATTCTTGTTTTCTAGTCGTTTCAATTTTGAAAAGTCACCCAGAGACATGCCAGAGACTCCAAACCCAACAGATTCTATTGATTTTTTCTCTCATTATTTTAAAATTAGAGAAATATGGAATTTATTGTCGGAAAATTCAAATGTGCTTTCTGCAGCCACGTGTTGCTACATCAAAGCGGGAGGGAGTGTAAAATGTAATCTGATGTAAATCGTATACTTCTTAAAATGTAATTAATATTTTTTTTTTAACGAGCAAACGTTATCGGCGGGTCAATAATACAGATAATCTTAATAAACGAAACGCTTCCCTGCGGTAAAGATTGTTTAGTTTTGTTTGTCTTACAGAACAGAGAACGCCGAGCCATGAAAGCTATCGAGCGGCAAAGGACGGAATCGGGAAGATTTGTAAGTCTTGAAGAATCAACAAGTTGTTTTACCATTAGGAATTTTTTTTAAACATTTTCTTACGGCCAGAAAATAAAAATATTGCTATGTTAAATAGGCTTTGTTATAAAAAAAAAGTTTAATTGGCCATTTCCGTCAGTGCCAGGTACAGGTAGCGGCGTAAGTCGTACCCTTCAGACAGATGACACAATTCTGTGCTGTTTTGATTAAACAGCTGTATTTTTAATTATTTCTTATTCATTTACCCCACAGTGATCGAGACGATCAGACATACAGCTCGTGTCCCACCCTAATCCTCTTCCTCGACAAACTCGATCGTGCACCGTGTTAAAGAAAAGGAAAAAAGATCAACGGTAAATCATTTTATTTTGTATCTTTCTATTATTGAATTTCAGACGAGACGGCGTTCGGAAGAGCTCCATGGAAACGAATTTCTGTGATTTTTTCTTCGTCTCTAAATCAGATGCGAACATTTGTCGCAGTCTAATTAAATTTTGGCAACGAGACACCTTCCCGGTTGAAATATAGGCGTCCCTTAGGTTCTATTAATACCTTTGAAAGACGATGTATTCGGTTTTGCTCATCGTCAGGCGGCTGAGTCGGACTTACAGGCTCAGTGGCAAAGGGAATCGCTTGAAATCAGGCATGACTTGGACCACCGAAGACTCAGGCTATGAAGATGACTTGAAGGTCGTATTGCCTTGTCTCTCGTTTGGTACTATTGTGTTCGGTTGATTTTTCTTTAAAATGCTTTTAAAACGCTTAATTTTTCTATAAAATGCTGGAGAGATTACTTGACAAAAGATCTAAACTGATGTAACAACAAAAAAAAACTATTATACACTACGTTAATCGCCCCAATTTGGACCTATGGACTTGAACTATACAAGACAGCCAAGCGATCCAATAACGATATCCAAAATCCTTCGCACGATAGTTGATGCTCTATTTTCTACATTGCCAGTTGTACTATTCACTCCAATCTCAATTTACCTTACGTCCCAAACCCCCCAGTCTCGCTACAATAAATCTCACTCCAAACTATCCTTTCGTGAACCTGTTAATTCGCACGCTGTCCAGCCCAACCCTTTCTTTCAACCCTTACAGAAGATTGAAGTGCAGTTAGTCTCACTGCCATCTGATTTTGTAACTTCGGCAACTCTAGGGACTGCATGACTTCATGTCATAACAGCCACTTTCACAGGATAGTGGCCGTTCAAATCATGCCAGACATGTAAATATGCATACATTATTTTGTATGTTCATATGTATATGTATATTATTGTAAATAACATAATTTTTGCTTGTTGCATTTTGTATGCAGTTGAAAAATAAATAAATAAAAATTAAAAAACAAGACTATCGGATATGAAAACAGTGGGGGTGATGTGGGTTTGCCTTGTTAAAAAAAAAAAAAGGTCAGGGGCGTTGGTGGCCCCAGAAGTTTAGACGTTGACATGGCTCATCTCTGTAAGTTAAAGGTCCTAGGTATAAATCAAGCAGCCCTTCACTTGAACCCGACATACTTATAAATGGGCTTTTTTCAAAATCACCGGCACCCAGAGGGCCAATATGACCTCTGCTGTTGCGAACTCTGGTTAAAAAATTTCTTTTTTATAATAAATGTGCAGAAGTGGTTAGAGCAGTGGTGTATTGCGGCGAAGGTCATGGGTTCGAATCCTTATTGTGACACTAACTTTTTCATCTCAATCAAGATCTTAAATAAAATAAAAAACAATAATTAATTGAAATAATTAATATGGTCAATTATTACCACTAAACATATATAGATTTATGATAGTATTACACCCAATTAAAAAAAAAAAAAAAGAAACCAATACAAAAACTTGTCAAAATGTTTGTTACTTCTGTGGTCTTAATGATGAGATACAGTCTCTCAGCATACCTGCAATAATATTGACGCAAACAGTAAAACAGTTTTATTAAAAGGAATGAATGTATAAACACACTGGATCATGTGATACACCATGATACTAAACGCTTATGATAGGCCAAAACAGTGCAGTAGGCAGACAATCAAACTACAGACTACTGTAGGTAACAGGCAGTGTAATGCAACAATAACTGACCATTAATACCATTGAATTTAATTGGAATATAAAAAAACATGCAATGTATGTTGTGAACTAACTTTCGACTTTTTAGACTGAAATGTATTGGGATGTGGCGAACTTTTTGATTAGTGGGTCACCATTGTATATTAGCCACATTAAACACACACAACTATTGAGAAAAAAGTTTATTATTGTGTAATCGTGGCCTAAACTGAAAGATTAATATTTTTTTGTGGAAATTTTTTGTAATGTGGTATTATTTCAACATTTAAACATAGTGAATTTTATTAATTCATATAATTGGCCATGCATAGAGCATCTTCTAAATAATGTAAATTTTTTTTAAAAATCTTAAGTCGCCCTATTTCACTGATGGAGACAAACAAAAGGTCCATTTCATTGTCTCCATCTGTGGAAAAGAGTGAGTTAAGATAAAAAATAAATTTAAAAAAATCTATTGAATAAAATAAATAATAACAATATTATCAAGATAAGATAACATAGGTTTTTTATGAATGAACCAAATAATTAAAAAAAAGCTTGTTAAAATGTGAAATTGAAATCTTTTGGTGTTCAGATTGGCCGCAATTAGCTAGTACTAGTACCCTCTGAAATTGTGAATATTTTATGATTCAATTTTGCCTGAATATCAGTAGGGAATTTATTTGAAGATTTGACAACATAAACAAACTGTGAAAATGTGTTATCTGCATAATGTGTAGACTATGTGGCTTATGAGTTCAAATAATCAAGCACACTTAACTAACTTCAAAACCATGACAATGTATGTAAAAAAAAGCAAACACATGAATCAATTAAGTTGACCACAACAGCTGAAAAAGTTTTAGAAATGACATTTTGGCCATAATAAGTCAAAATCCCATTGACTCTAATACTCTAAAATGGCCTGAAATCTGGGACTTTCTCACTAAATTTTTATCATACAAAACCAATACTGCAGTCTGTTGATATTAATAATATTCTACCTACTATGAGACTTTTACATGTAGTAGAAGTACATGTTGGCCACACTAAACCAATGTCCATAAATTATATGTGTGGGGCCAGAAGGCTTTTCTTATTAAATTTGGCCACACTCAGTAAACTAAAAAACGTTAGGAAAACAAAGATATTAGTGAGCTAAATAGAAAGTCGCTAACAAAACAAGCATAAAATCAATAAAAATTCATGTTAGGAGAACATTGGTGGCTGCAATGGTTTAGGCATTGACACATCACTCATCACTTGTGAAGATCCTGGGTTCGAATCCAATAGCCCTGCATTTGCATCCGACATACTTAGATATAGGTTTTTTTCTCAAAAATACCAGCCCCTCGAAGGTTAATATGACTTCTGCTGTTATAAACCCCATAAAAAAGAAAAGTGAATAAATAAATTTAAAAAATTCATTATTAAGAAAGTTAATATCTGTCATATTGTCATATGGAAGGGCTTAACGTCCAACTACCCATTGGGTTTCGTGGACGAGGGGCCGACGAGTTTGATTCCTTTACAAAAGGTTAGTTTATTTCAAAAATATTTATCCTTTTTTCAGGCTATTTCACGCCCATCATCAGAAACCATCGGGGTCATGCTTACTCTCCCAAGTATTTTCATATTGTGAAAAATCTCTCCTGATGATCGGCATGGATGGAGACAATTATTTCTCACCTTTATGATTGAATGACACAACTCAGTGACAATTATGATTTTACAGGATGAAAATGATGTGGGAGAGTAAGCGACACCACGAGGGTAGCCTGATGATGAGCGAGAAATAAAAAGGATACATTTTTTGTAAAAACTTAACTTTTTGTAAAAAAATAAAAACCATGTGCTTCTTAGAGTAAACCCTCATAAAATACTACATTTAGGAAGAAGAAAAATATAATTAATTAAAAAATCATTGGCTCTGCTGTAATTCAAACCATGAAAATAGGACGCCCTAACAACTTAACGCGCTAACAGGGGTCCCCCAAAATTCATTATTATTACTGAACTAATAGAAATGATGAAAGTGGAGTTGGTATGTAGATTCACTTTTTGTAAATGATGATTGTACGCCAATTTCCGCCGAATATTTGCCAGGTCTTGAGATGCTCATCTTGGCATTCCCCAAATAGAGTGCCTCTGTGTACCCCCCCTTCACTTTGTGCAGGAACAGCGAATACGTTGTCAAGTGCTGTGCAAGCCCTCAACTTACGTGGAGTGTGATGGACAAAAGTGAAACTAGCTACAAACTCAGTCACAGAGTACTGTCCCATCTTACTTTCAATCCATTTCCATGCATCGAAAACTTTGTTCCAATTTTTGCCATTCAGAAGAGATGCATTCCAAATTATTGGTTCAGATTGAGGAACTCCAAGTTTGTTAGTTGATACCTCGACAGTATCAACAGTATAGTTGATTTCCAAATGTGTGGATACTTTGTGTTCAGCTACTTTGAACAAGAGCACTGTGAAGTGAACAAGAAAACTGACAATTAACCGAGCAATTATTATTGCTCGGTAAATAACTAAGCACCATCATTAGGGATATGGCGAATCCTGTATGTCTGGAGCCACTTTGACCTGAAAGCCACGTAGCGTTTTATTAACAATAGTATAATATATAAGTTTAATAGGTAGTAGAGATATCAGCCTCAAAATCTTGTAAAAATGGCTAATTTCTGTTTAAGCTTGACCCAAAAAAAAGAATTTTATGATTTTAATTAACAATAACAAATAACTAACATTGACACTGTAGTGAGAATGTGTGTTGTTTTGTCAAGACAGGCTGTACAAAGCCAATGAATAAGTAGTGCCTTACTACTTTTTTACCACCCACAAATGAAAAGCCTCGAGCATCCTAGATTGGTGATATTTAAACAACTAATGTCAAGAAATTATGATGAACAGTTTTAAGTACAAACAAAGTATACTTTTCAAACCTTATACATATTGTAAAACCATTTAATTTCCATCATAAATATTTATCCAATATTATGGATAAATATTTATTAAATTTAAACAACTTGTGTTGTAGTATTGCATTTTTGATAAAGTGTACTTTCACACAATTATTTCTCTATCGCAGACTTTCTCTTTGCTCTTTTACATTCACATTCTTGCTAATCTCAAAATCCCATGATTTAAATTGGGTTTAGTTTTCTCTAGATTATCAAGAAGGTTGAACTGCTAATTTTTAAAATATCATCAATGGCAAGTATTGTTATATTTTTAAATGTCATTTTAAAAATAACTTGTCTTTCTGGTTATTGTTAAATTTTAAAACCTTCAAACCATTCTGAAGGGACTTTATTATATTTTTTTATTAGTCTGTATGATTTAAATCGATATTGTTGTGTAACAGTGTTTAAGTTATGTATTAGAAAAAACTAGCTTTCGACTGCCATTTTCACCTCTTCGATTTCACGTTTCCACATTGAGTGCTCATGGGTTGGTTAGGTAGCTTAGGGTTTTGGACGGGATGGGTTACATACATGTCCATGATTCAATGTTTTTCTGTGAAGCTGAAAACTACGCGAGTGCAATTATGATTGCTCAAAAAACATTTGAGAAAAATCTGTGTTTAAAATACAACATATTACCTCTATTTTATATATATATTTTTTTTTCAAATTTAAAGTTTTTTAAATTGCTTTGTCAATTGTTTACTTTTTGTTTAGATGGAAGACGGAGCACCTTCGATGCAGATGCGAGCCTGTCTTGCACCTACATTTGTAGACCATCTATGCGAGCTGAACATAGATTCCAAGGCCTCTTATGTGAGGAATACCAGCATCATTTGCACAATAGGTAATAATTCAATTTTTATGTTGAAAAGTTTTATTTGCACTTTTTCCTTCCCCAGGGCCCTCTTCAGCCAGCATCTCTGTTTTGGAAAAGATGATTGATACTGGTATGAACATTGCTCGTTTGAACTTTTCCCACGGTAGCCACGATTACCATGCGAATACGATCAAGAATATAAGGGAAGCTGTACAAAATTACAGCACAAAGAGTGGAAGCCTTGTATCGATCGGCATCGCTTTGGACACAAAGGGGCCTGAAATACGAACTGGGATCCTAGAAGATGTATGTATTAAATCGTAAATTTAAATAAACATCAATTACATTTATGATTTTTCTCAAGGGTCCCAATGCAGAGATCGAGCTTGTAAAAGGAGACACAGTGCGAATTACAACAGATAAACAATTTGCCGAAAAATGTACAAAGAAAGACATTTTTGTTGATTACCCAAATATCACTAAAGTTACCAAACCCGGTGCTACAATATTCATCGATGACGGCCTTATTTCGCTTGTCGTTAAACAAACTGGTATTGATTTTTATATTAATTACAGATTTTGATTTATATCATTTTAAATATTTATGTATGCATTATATTTTTTAGTTGGAAACAGTTTAGCTTGCAAAGTCGAAAACGGTGGAATGCTTGGCAGTAAAAAAGGTGTCAACCTTCCTGGAATTCCTGTTGATCTTCCAGCTGTTTCTGAAAAAGATAGAAATGACCTTTTGTTCGGTGTACAGCAGGGAGTAGACATGATATTTGCATCGTTCATTAGAAATGGATCGGCTGTAAATGAAATAAGAGAAATTCTCGGTAAGAAATTTAAATAGAATTTATGTAGGATATAAACATAACCTGGGTTTATCATTTTTCAATACATAGAAATAAAAATAATTTATGTTGGATTGGTGTGGTTCAACAGCATTTTGTCTGGTAGACAGTTAAAAAGGCCATTAGATTTATGTTTCATCATGTTGGTGGGGTATTGGATAGTAAATAATTAATCAATTTCTTCAATTAATAATACCGATCAAGAAACTAGTAAAGTGAAAAAATTAAATACTCATTATAAGTATAAATTATTTTACCTTCTGCCTTAATAATAAATTTGCTTTGGTTTTATTCAGGTGACGCCGGTCGAAACATCCTTATCATTGCCAAAATTGAGAATCACCAGGGAATGAAAAATTTGGATGAAATCATTGAAGCTGCTGATGGAATAATGGTTGCTAGAGGTGACCTCGGTATTGAAATCCCTCCTGAAAAGGTCTTCTTGGCTCAAAAATGCATGATAGCCAGATGTAATAAGGTAATCTTTGTTTAAAGTTATTACCTATTAATAAAAACTGTAACACATAAATGTTAATAGGTTGGTAAGCCAGTAATTTGTGCTACCCAAATGTTAGAGTCCATGATAAAAAAGCCGAGACCGACAAGAGCTGAGAGCTCGGATATCGCTAATGCCGTTTTGGACGGAGCTGACTGCGTCATGCTCTCCGGTGAAACTGCTAAAGGTGAATATCCCATCGAATGCGTCAAAGTCATGAACAACATATGCAAAGAGGCCGAAGCAGCAATCTGGCACAAGCAACTGTTTTCTGACTTGGCTAGCAAGGTAAATCACAAATTCATCAAACTTTAAAACTGATTTTTTAAAAAATATATTTATTCACAGGTTGTACCACCGATAGATGCTACTCACAGTGTGGCAATTGCTGCCGTAGAGGCCTCAGCCAAAGCCTTGGCATCGGCAATTCTGGTTATAACAACCAGTGGACGCTCGGCTCATTTGATTTCAAAATATAAACCCAAGTGTCCGATCATCGCTGTCACCAGGCATCCTCAAGTAGCTCGGCAAGCCCACTTATATAGAGGGATAATGCCTGTGCTTTTTGAAAGTAAGTTTTTCTCTAATTATTAGGTCTTAAGAAATATCTGTGAACTGACTTTAATTATTACGGCTTAATGCACTGTGAATAACATCCTTACATAACACAAACAACACAAACACATTTTAACAAGTAAATGCAAATTATAGGTTTTTATGCGCATCAAATCAATGGTTAAGGGTGTACTAGGAACATGTAATATTTCACTACAGAATACAGTGGTACCGAGGTACATTTTTTTCCGTTTTAAATAGATACAAGCCATCAATAGGTTGAATTTTTTTAAATTAATTAATCAATTAATTTTTTGTGTATTTGATGGTGCATTAATGTAGGGGAGGGAGGGATAGTGTGAAAAAAGGCCAGGGGCGACAGTAAAAATTGAACCATAGACTGCAGGATCAATGAGCTGAGAGTCTACCAGCTGACCACTCAGATAGCGTGGTCCCCAACTGTAGCGTCAACCACCAAATGCTCAGATTTCCCGTTCACTCACTTGTTTTACATGTTTACCACACTCTAGAAGCATTTATGTGTTTAGTTTTAATTTTTTTAAATGTATTTACAGTTATTTACATATATACATATGTTTGTATGTATTTGGTTTTATTTTATTTGTATGCAATATTCGTTATTACATTAGTATAAAAAACATTAGTTGTTTTTTGAGGGTTGGTATGAATTAATCTCATTTCAATTAACTTCAATTGGGAAAATTGATTTGAGGTACAAACATTTTGACTTCCGAGCTCGGTTATAGGAAGAATTAAACTCATATCTACTTAATGTTATATATATCTCAAGGTACCACTGTATTAAATTAATAACTTTTGTACAAAAGATTTTTTTTAAATTATTATTTCTATGCAAATTTTCCCTTTTTTTATTTATTTCATTGTGGATTATTTTTATTATCACATTTATATTTCAGCCGTTTTTGGAAGGTAGGTAAATAGTGACCTTTTGGTGGGCTTTGGTATCAGTTTGCATTATCATGCCATTTATGGCACACAGATGCTAAGAATTAATTGTAGAAGCCTACTTTTTAAAAACAGCTTAAATAAATGATAGAAAAAAGACAATAACTATATTAAAAAATCCATGTTATATAATAAAAATTATANAAAAAAAAGTAGAGATGTTACTACACAATTACAAAAACGAAGTAGTATATTACAAAGAAAGACTGTAACAAAGCTCCATTTTTTATATTGCAAACAGAACTTACTGTACACTACTACTCTGCACCCCATAAATGGTTTAAAAAAATATATATAAATAAATATAACACACAATACCTCTACATTTGATTTCTACAGAGGAGCCACTTAATGATTGGATAAAAGATGTAGAAGAGAGAATAAAGTTTGCTATGCATATGGTGTCGAAAAGAAATGTTTTGCATGCTGGCGATCCTGTTGTTGTAATCACGGGTTGGAAACAGGGAGCTGGATTTACAAACACTTTGCGTATCATTTACGTGAAAGAAGATGCCATAAAAGAGGAAAGCTCGCATTCGTTACCCGCTTGACTTTAAGTCATTTCATTATTTCATTTGTAATCTACAAGTGGCTAGTTATTTATTATGTTTTTAAATAAATGTTCTTCGATTTTAAAATAAAATTTAACTTTTCTTGGATTTTGTGAAGGTAGAACTTTTTTTATATCATTATAAGAATTTCTTTAATCTATTTTTTACACCTTCTTCAGTTCTGAAGGGATAATTGGTAGTTGATTCCATATAAAATTCAAATATATTATAATTTCTACAGAGCCTCGCATCCCGGATTGGACGCTTGATATAGACGAAAGGCTTAAATTTGGCTTGCAAGTTGGCTTTAAGCTGAAGTTGGTCAAATTTAGTGACACGGTCATTATTGTTACTGGGTGGAGACAGGGTGCTGGATATACTAATACTATGAGAGTTGTGTCATTAACTGAGGATGGAGGATTAACTGATGTGTCTACATTGTCAGCCTTATTGTCGCATAACAGAGTAGAGAATGAGTACCTTTCAGAAAAGCGCTTTAGTACAACTTCTGTTAAAAACAGGATGAAAGTTAGCGTTAATACCAATGTTTCGTTATAACAATCCCATGGGCTGAAATAAATGACCACATCCTACACACATACACACACAAAATCAATAAACATTTATATTTATTCGTTTGTTTGTTGTAATTTATAATTTTTTTAAGTTCGTAAGTAAAATATCACTACCATCATTTGTCATTTTACATGTTGTTTAATTGTTTTTTACTTCAGTAGAAAAAAAAAGGGTTATTTTAAGTTATAATAAATTGTTTATATAAAGCTATAAAAATATTAACTATGAAATTCTTATGCAGTCTTTTACATTTGATTCTGCCACATTTGCTGGATAATAAATGCAAAAATAAATTCTGATTAAAAGAGGATAGTGCAACCGCGTTATAGTCAATTTTAAATAAAAAATTATTTATCAAAAATAATATATAGATTTTAATAATGAAAAATAACTACATTACTGTACTTGCATCATTTCTACAGAGCCTGTAAGTGATGATTTTGCAAAGGAGATTCTCGGCCAAATTAAAGCTGGCATCATTTTTGGATATTACCATAAAATGATTTCTTTAAGATCTAATGTCATAATCGTTTATGAGAAGAAGAGAAGTGCTCATCCCCAACAGACATTAGAATTGGACGAATTGATGAAAAACTTTGAACCACCAAACGAAAACAACTTATCCCGAATAAACAGTTACTCCACTAATTGAATATTTTGTTATGTTCATATATCTCTTAAGTATAGTTCCGTTTGGCTATTTTAAGCCCTTGCTCTAAGCTTAATTCAATGATCTTATTCCATAATATTTAATTTGAGTAACGAATCATAACAAAAACCGTTTTATTTCTTTAGAACCACTTCTGCCGGATTGGAAGCAGGAAATGGATTCAAGAATAAAATTTGGGATTTCTCTTGCGGTCAAGAGGGGTATAATACAAAATCGTGATTTGTTAACTGTGATTAAGGGTTGGAAGCAAGGTTCCGGTTATGCAAACAGTTTAAAACTTGTTCGCGCAGTTGATGAGGAGGAGAAGGTGATGGAAGATGGAAGCAGCTGTTCTATAGAAACAAATCAAAACTAACTTGTCCGTCCCACAAAAATAATAATAATTTAAAAAAAAAAGCTTCTATACATTCATTACAGTATACAAAAAATACAAGGTATTCGTAGGAAATACAATTGAAGTACATTAATTGATTGCCATCTAATCCAAATTACAGTAGATTTTGATTAAAGAAATTCTCGACTTAATCAAATAATTTATGAAATTTCATTTTCCTTAAACGTATTATTGAGGGAAATGCAAATTTGTATTATTCATACATTTGGAAATTTGTTTATTGTTTAATAGACAGGGTGTCCCAGAGAATTGCAAAAAAAATTTTGGGTGATAGTACACCCTATTTGCAACAACTTCCAACATACAATCCCTATACCCTGACGAGTTATGATTTTTTATTAGTTTTCCCATGGAAAGTTGCACTACTTGAGAAAATTAATAACAAAATTTGTATGAAAATTGAAAATAATAAACAGATAACTAATTAAATAATTACTGGAGAAAAACATATATCAATCATCAGGGCTAACACTTACACATTAAATTTGCCTTATACTATTTTCGTATGATATAATTTTCAATTAAGTACCTTAACAAATGTTCACATTTGAAAACTACCATAAAGTTTGGTTTTTGAATGACAAAGAAGGATTTACAAGCATTAAACATTACAAATTGTTTTTAAAATTATGGCGACAATGTCTGACACTCATCCATGCTCTTTTTCTCATAGCACCTATAGTTACTCGTGGGGGTAAATTGGTTTTGTGTTTATCAGATACTTCAAGGATTTTAATCCTTAAATCTTCAGCTCTGTTCACTACTAAACTACATCTACACCCAACAATTGCATGCCTGGTTGAACTAGTAATATCTCATTTAAAGATTGGTAGGGGAGGAGTCATCTCGTGGCCACCTTGTTCCCCTGATGGTATTGTCATGGATTTCTAAATTTGAAGATTCCTTAAAGAGGTGTTGTTCAGTAGTAAATCAAGTGGTGTTGAATCCACAACAGTGATGATAGATATTTGAGTTTTTCTCAAGTAACGTAATGTTTCCGTGAAAAAATTTACAAAAAATCGTAACTCAGGGTCTGAATATGGGTATAGGAACTATATGTTAGAAGTTGTTAATAGAGTGTATTATTACCCAAAAATTATTACTCTGGGACACCCTGTATGTTAGATTTTAGGAAGAAAGAAATATTACAATTCACAGTATTTCTCACTCAGACAGACAGACAAACAGAATAAGATACAATAAGAAATAAAAAATAAAATGAATGATTAATTTTTGAAACAACTATTGTAAAGGGGTGTCGGAACCTGAATAGTTAAACTGTTGACATGGCGCTCGTCATTGTAAGGTAAAATCCCGGGTTCGAATCCAGCAGCCCTGCTTTCGAATGTAACATACTAATGTTTTTTCCTCCAAAAACACCTGCACTCTGAGATTTGGTAGGACCTCTGCTGCTAAACCCTAGTAAAAAAAATTGTATTTTTCAATTTACAAATTATCCGAAAATTTTATACATGTAAATTATATTCTCCTCCTAATTTTTTAAAAGAAATGTCAGGGGCATTGGTGGCCACAACGGTTTAAGTGATGATTCGATCTCAAGGTTCATATTATGTACATCTTTTCAACCCCAGCCTTTCCACTAGGAAAACACATGGTGATTCCTTGACCCTCTTTTCAGGTTTTTGGTCGGAGGGCTGGGCTCCCGTCGCTAGCAGTGCTTTGTAAGTAGGCGGGGAAATAAACATTTCTGTTGTCATACAATGAATGTATTGTCTTCTTGTTCTTTAATTAATAATTTGACCACCTGAGTTAATAACCAGAGTTTAGGAAGTTAAGAAGAAAACAGGAGAAAGAGTTAATAATGAGTGATGACCACTAGATATTTGTTGACCCAAAACTGATAACCGTAAAAACTTAGCAACCCAAAAAATTTAGAAACTTACCTGTTTAATATCAAGAGCATTGTTTCTAATTATAAAAAAAAAAATGTCTTTAATCAAAAGGTAATATAAGATATTCTAAAGTTTTCAATCAGCGAACTCTTGACATGATCTGTTTTCTAGTTTAGATAAAAATTTGAAGAAATTGTATTTTGTTTTTCAGTGGAAGATTCAGAGCTAGATATTTTAGTAAAGAGTGAGTATTGAAAGGTTGAGTGAGATAGTTTTGGATGTGGTTTTTTATTTTTCAAATTTTAGTTACATATATGCAGCATGGCTACTGTTTTTGAGTACTGTTTGAATCCCTAAGTAGATGTTTTTCTTTTTTAGATCCAGTGACAACTTCTTAATAGCAATACTGTTAAAAAAAAAAAAATGTTTTAAAGCATGTTTATTTATCTCATTGCAGGATGGCCTATCTTTGTACATGATAACCTTCTAAATGTAGTTTATATACAATATGTTATCATTACTTTTAATTTTTTATTTATTTATTGACAAGAGAAGAAAACAAGTTTTGATTTTGAAGATGATCGCATGTTTTTCTTTTTCTTTTTTGTTTTTCTTAAATAATAATTTCATTTTTGGAATTTGTTCATTTTAGAAGCGCAGTTGCCTGATTGGCTTAAAGACATTGACTCCCGTATCATATACGGCCTAGCATTGGGGTTTCACAAAGGTTTTCTCAAAGGTAATGACCAGGTCATTGTCGTGACCGGATGGAAAAAGGGCTCTGGCTACACCAACACGATGAGGGTCATATCTGTCCCTGAAAAACTAGATGACCCAGCATTAGGTTTTATGCATTGATGGGTATTATTCTAAATTCTCATAATTGTTACTCTTCAATATTTTTTATATGTACATAACTATTTTTGTACGGTAAAGTGATAATTCCAAACCACTTTTTAGTACATATTCTATATATGGAATTATTTGTTTATTTTTATTCATTTTATATAATGATGTATTACATATGACTGCACTAAATATTTATTACATTTAGATGTTTTTAGTTTTGTCGTGGTTTGAATGTACCAATGAATGTTGGAGATAATTTTTGACTGTCTCATAAAACCAATTTTTTTAAAATGATTTTATTTGTACAGTATTTTCTTAAAATTATTACTTTGTTTTCAACTGGAAAAAAATAGTTTAATAAACAAAAAGTATTGTATAGTATTTTAGAATAAAAAAGGAATATATATGTACATATATGTAATAATTTATTTTGAAAAAAATCCTTATCAGTTCCAATCCTCTCTTTGTTTTATTTCCAACTAGCTATAATAGCATTTCAATAGAACTTAATTGAATACAATGATGCCACAGCACCTAGCATAATGAGGGTGCGAACACTTCACAGTGGGGGTTTACCTGATAGAATTGTATGATTTGGCATACGCTTTGGGTGATTCAAGATGATGAGGTGCTGTCTACCTTACTGACTACCTCTGCACAGTTCTGTGACATTTTTAAGTTAGGCGCCCATCGATTTTGATTAATTAAAGCCTCTATACTCCATCTTCAACTACATAGTTCTTGGTAGTGATAAAAATTATCCCAGGACACCCCCCATAATCTTACACGCTTTTAATAGGTTATTAAGGGAACTTTTGCTGGAGAGGTACTCGGAACTGGAGTGTCCCAGCAAAACAGCTGTGGTTGTCTGGGCCTTGGGGAGTAACAAAAAGGCGGAAGTGGCAGCTAAAGCCAGGACATCTCAACCTTCAGGCCAAACCACGATCCTCTGGTGAAACTTGTGCTGAAGAAATAAGAAGGATCATACCTTGCGAGGTTGAAACCCTTAATTTTGGACCATAACTTGCATAAGTATTGGCATGTAAATAAAGGTTACTCGATGTGTCCCACTTAATTGAAGGGTAATTTCAAAACAAAAATGTAATAAATAATATTGTTTAGTTTTCCTTTTTATGTGAATGCAAAATGTCCAATGTAACCTCTAAAAACAAACGGCTATGTGACATGTCGCCATTTTACTGTTTCTATTTTATTTTTCTATTTTGTTTTAAATTTATGTCATGTAATAAATGGTTAACTTAAGTTTCCATATGCATAGAAGATTACACAGGATAAAATAGTAAAATTAATTACTTTATCCACTATTAAGAATTGTCTAAAAATGATGAAATTAAAAAAAAATGCTTTACAGAAATTAAATCAAAATTAATTTTGTTAAAAAATGTTATGTTTACCACTCTCAACACGACATGCAAGAATAGCACAATTACACAGAAAACAAACACTTTGAGCCCTAAAGATTATGTCAATAAAGATTGAAACGTTGGCACGATAAAGAAAACGTTTTTCTGAAACCTACATCACAACAGACCGTATCTCATGATTTTCAAATAATCATCGACTAACGGTCACTAATCACCACATGTTATGTTTACCTTTCCAATGTGACCTAATTTATAATGAAAGTTAAACCCTATTTGGGTTGAGTTTGAACCCCGGAACTTGGGAGGGCTGCGGATGCTGGCACACCATGCGCAGCCCTCTGAGAAGTCTGCCACTGTCTCATCACTAAGGTCTTGTGTGGAGAGGAGCTGGTACTTGCCTGGTCTTGTGGTGTCTGGTTCGCTGTCGGGGTGCACCCGCTCTTGATGTCCTTGCCCCTCCTGGCTTATCGCTCTCTGTTTTCTTCTCTCATCGATTAATTCATCATCAAGGCAGTTTTGACCCATCGTGGTTGTATGCCTTTATAATTAAATAAATAAAATAAAATAAACCTATTTGGTATTATATTGTCTTTTATTAAGTAAGATTTGTAAAAAGGTTTAAAACTTCATTATAATAATTTCACTAAATTTTTCCTTATGTACTAAATTGTAAGGCAGTTATATAGTTCTGGTTTTTAAAACCTGCAATAAAAGTAATAGTAATTATACACCAATTTGTATATAACCTGCTGTAAGCAAAGTTTGTGAAAGAATCATATAAATTCGTTAAATCCATTATTTAAAAACGTCATACGATTCTACTACAGAAATTACAGCAATTATACATACATGGTAACTTATTACAATGGTTTGCATCCTATTTAGGTTGAATACTTAAAGTAAAAATAAAATTGGTGGTTCACCTAGTTTTGTAGCAAATAGTTCCTCAAGGGTACCACTTGGGGCTTTTTCTTTTTCAAATATATATAAATGACATCTCTGATTCTCTTCCTTCTGTTATTACCCTACTTTTCGCAGTTGATTTAAAAATATTCTTAAAAATAAATTCTGTTTCTGACAACTTACAACTTTAACTTAATAAACTTAATAGAAGGTATTCAACTAATAATATTCTTTTAAATTCTGATGAATTATATCAGACTTGCTTGTGATTAGACCTGAAACATAAAGATCTTGGCATCAATATTGACTGTCAGATAAACATTTACACACACTTTTGTAAAACTAGGTAAAGAAAATGAAACTTTTGGATTTTATTGTAGTTGTTTAATGAAACATTTTCATGTTCAAGATACAGTTAAAATTTTATACATTTCCACTGTAAGGCCAATGTTAGACTAATGTTCACTTCTTTGGGCATTCAATCCACCAATATGCACCACAGAAGCAGTTAAATAAAGATTTTTACACCTGATACAACCGGAGAGTACAGAGATACACCATACTCACCGTAATAGTTACTGAAATTGACGTTCTTTACAGAAAGAAATTATTTGAATGCATATTTTGTATTAATTATTACTTTATTAAATTGATTAACCAAATTAACTTTCATGTTTCATTTTATCATTCCAGAATTCAAATAAGATTCTCTATTGATTGGCATAGAAATAATTATGCAAAATTCAGTTTTATTCCAACAAAAAATATACTTGGTAAAAAATATAAATATTTAATTTTAGTTGAAGTAAATTTAAGCAAATTTTATCATTAAAAATGAAATATTGCATTATTAATATTCATTATATAATATTATTAGTTTCTACAAAAATCACTTAAACCCTGAAGATAGTGAAATGCTTAAACGCATCTGCACCAAAAAAAACACAAAAAAAAAACGATAGGCAGGCTAAGATGGTAGTACCAAACGTTAACATGCGGTTGATAGATAAATTATATAAAAGCTTGTCTTTTTACGACCTGCGGATTAAGCATAAAGTTTGGTATTGATTCCAAAGCTTTTTCAAGTGTTCAAGCCTTCAAACCAACAGACGACATGTTCCATTGTTATTTCTTCATGGCAATATCTGCACAGGCTTGTTTCTGCCACTCTGAGTTTATACATTGTGAGGATTATATTGGTGTGGTAAAATTATTCAGAAATATAAATGGAATAGAACCTCTCAATGTTTTAAATTTCCCTTACGTTTTAAATTTCCATCCTTATTTACTATGCCTATTTTACTTTTACTTGGTCACATTTTTTTGTTAAAACGTTTATTCATTAATATATCGGATAAGTATTAATTTTTCATATAAAGAATTTTTTGTTATTGTGTAATAAACAGAGAGGTTCTGTTCCATTCTTATTTCTGAACAATTTTACCACACCAATACCACAATCCTCACAACATATGTCTGCAGTGTCCAGTCAGCAGTTTAACTATTATTTTAGTACCAGCACGTCTGAGATTTAGTAGTTCTGTCTTTAGTTTCTATGAACGTCCTTTACAAAACTTTTTTGCCTACCTCTGTCCTAGGCTACATTTCCATTGAACAAAGGAAATATTTTTAATCCATTGTCTAATGGATCCGTGTATTTTGGCAGTTTGGTATGCCACAAAAGGGTTCAGGGCCAAATATCTGTCATTGAACATTTATCGGCCAATTTGTCAACCTCTTTGTCGTCCCTCTGCTCTGTGTGCCCTGGTAAGCCCAGGCAAGAGTAATTGTGCTATTTTCCCCAATGTCTGTTATTTTCCCACTCTGGACTTCATTGCTGATGCACTATTTGCCTTCAGTATTGCCTGGCTGTCCAAGTAGATGCCTATTCTTCCAACGACAATACCCAGCCTTTTAAATTTGCTAACATAATGTCCTGCTACAGTTTCTGCTTGGAAGATGGTGGCAAATTATCCAAGGCTTGTATGAATTCTTGTCCTTAGTTTATTTCCACAAATGCCAGCTTCTGACCCATATTTGGTTTTTAAACTATATGTGGTCGGCATTAACTGGGATATCTTTCTCCCAATGTGCTCTACAAGGTATTTTGATAAGAATTTTTTTGTCAAAATTGAATTTAGGGGTCATGTTATCAACAGACATCCCTAGAGTTCTTCTAGTTGAAGCTCCCTTCGAAGCTTTAGTGCTCCTTGTTATGTAAGTAGGCTATTTGAGCCTGCCCTGCATTAGCCTATAAATTGGGCTCTGACTTCTTGAATAAAGATATGTAATGGTGGTAGATCCAGAAGGACTTCTAGGACAGCTGTGGGTCCTAATTGCCCCAGTGATGTTCTGACAGCATGTGCTGTTTTCCCCTTTTACTTTTAAGAAAATTCTTTTCATTTTGCTTATACGAGCATGCTAATATAATATCACTCTTGTTATTAATTTTATTTATTATACATAATTTTTGTATTAATAGATTCAATTCACTAGTTTCGTGGTCTGCTAGACCAATTATTTTGACTTTTTTATCTCAACTGAAAACCTTAATTAATTGTAATGTATTAATAGAGTTCATTCCATCTGTAAAGGATATATGGGGGATAATAGTCTTTGCATATTACATAGTACATAACAAGGGTGTCCGGTGATTATCAAACTTTTGTTAGTTGTAGAGAAAAAATAGTCCATTTAATTTTTTTTTTAAATTTCGGCGGGCTCGTTCCTTCAGGGTAAACCAAGCAAATCAGCTGATTCCGACATTATTAAGATGGCGGAGTTAATGTTGTGTTATCTCTTTTTAAGATAAAAACAATACAAAAATAAACCTTAATTTTTTTAAGGAAATCCTTTTTTGTTTCTTTTTACGGACAATCAAATTCATTCTCAGTTCTTCGGTAACGGTATAAAAAGAAGAAACGTTCTGGATTAAAATATAAAATTCTCCTGTAAGTAATAATTTGTTCTTAATATTATTCGATTAACTGTTAGTACTGTCTCCTCTATAAAAAATATATATCGACGTATAATCTGCCCCCTTTTGTATTAATCGTGTGATAAAGGTAGGATAATCGTTTTAACGACCAGTTTTTATCAGGATTTACATTTTGAAAATGCACTCCTCTGGCATCCTTTCATCAATCTTTTTTTACTCCTGGAAGTACATATTTTAAATAATATGCTTAATTGTGTTTTTTTACAAAATTCATTTGAGCAATTATTATCAGATAATTAGGTTGATTAAAACCTCTTTAGCCCTGCCTTGATGGTTGACCTTCATTAGAAGTGACCTCGAATATTTAACATTCTGCCACATGTGCGAACTCTCGTTTAATGTAAATATACCTATTTTGGCTTAAATTCGGGTAATTTCTTTTGTCTGTAAACCTTATTTTGTTAACTTGACAAGCCCAATTTAGCCTGAAAACGATTTACTGCATGTGTCACCTTCATAGGTTTTTAGGTTATTTACTATTCAATAATTGGATTTATCCTTGCTTCATATTTAATTTAATTAATTTATGTAAATATTATTTTTTCAATAGTTTGGTAAGTCATTATTGTCCACTTTGATAAGATTTTATCACTTAAAACACAACCAATGTGAGGGGTTGTTTATCATTTTCAATTATACCATATCTTCTTACTCTTCTTGTTCTGTGAATTGTTAAAAGAAAATATTGCATTATTAAGTTAATTCTGTCTGTGATAGGTTATCAGTATAAATCTATAGCTTGTTGTTTGTTTCAGGATTCAACAATTTTCAGTTGCACTTGGGCAGTTTCATAAAGGGTGAGTAGTACATACTGTTTTCATTTTAATTCATTACCAACTTGGATTTTGGTTTTGGATTTGTATAGGCTCAAAATCACACATGTATGTGTATACGCATATAGAGCCTATTTGCTTCTTGTAGACTTGGCGATTCCAGCTTTTGCTGTTTAAAGTAAACTGCTGGCAGATTCAGCCACCCAGGTTGGGCGCTCAGGGTGGGGTGCCAGGTCAATTCAGCACCCAATGCATGCTGTTCCAAACCCGTTCATACTCGTGTTCATTTTTAAGTACATTCTCTCCTATTTACATACCATTCATTCAATTACGGTGATGGAGTATTCTGTATTTCTTCGTCACCCTTTACACATATGCAATTAACCTAATTGACGGTCGATGGGATACTCGATATTTAGCCATCGACCTATCACATCACACATTCACGTTAATGAGTACATTCACTCTCAACAGAACCTTTACACATATTATAAAACTACCCTAATTGATGGTTGATGGAGTACTCAATATTCTTCTATCAACCCTATCATATCACACATTCACATTAATAAATACATTCACTCTCAACAGAACCTTTACACATATTATAAAACTAACCTAATTGACAGTCGATAGGGTACTCAATATTCAGCCAACGACCTCTCACATCACACATTCACATTAATAAATACATTCACTCTCAACACAACCTTTATACATATTATACAACTACCCTAATTGATGGTCGATGGGTACTCAATATTCCGCCGTCGATCCTCTCACGTCACACGTTCATGCTAATAAATACAGTTGCTCTCAACACAATCTATTACCTGTTTGATTATAAAATTACATTGTTATTTATTCTGACAATATCAGTTTTATTTTTTCATCTACAACTGTACATGTATTTTATACAGATTGGATTTCAATTTGTGATAGTGACATTACGAGTGTTGTAGAGAATGCTATTTCTTGGCAACCACTATTGATTAATAGAATATGTTACTAATCATTCAAGAGGTCTCTTATCTATTCTTCCCAGTCACTTATGGTGGTAATTGTGGGGAATGGAGTAATCGTATTTGTATGTTAGTGTGATTTTGTAATTTACTGTGAAAACGTCTATGTTTTGACAGGTGAGAAAAAAAAAAAATTCACATGTCAAGATCTCTGAAGTGTATTATTGTCTACATAAGAAGGGCAGAAACAGCTTGTCTTAAAATTTTGGATTTTTGTCATCTTAGTATATTTATGTATTTATATATTTATTTATATTTGGTCGATGCTAGCTTGGCACCTGTACATCCAAATAGTTTTGAGTAGGTATGTGTATGTAAAAAGTTTGATTTTAATGGTAAATTTGATTGTCAGTTGAGTAGGCAATAAAACATTTTAAATCATTTGATAAGTGTCTGTTTTTTTAATCGTGTGTGAGGATTCCAAGTTAGTCTTCTATCAAATGTAAGTCCTAAATATTTAGTTAACTTTGTCTGATTGAGGAACACGTTCATTGTATAAGTATATGCTAGGACGTCTCACGATGGAATGTAAAGGTGATATGTTGTGACTTTGAGGTGTTAACCTTTATTTTCCATAAAGTGCTCCATTTTTGGTGGTTTTGTAACAATGTGTAGAAGAGGAATGATTTGTTAGTATGGTGGTGTTATCTTCTTATGTGGCAGTAAGTGCATTCTGATTTGTAATCATCCAGAAGTAAAAATTGTGTCCCCTGTTAATACTTGCTCCGCTGTTGTACAAAATTTTGACTTATGTTATTAAGCCAAAAAAGTCGCCCCTCTTCTTCATAAGTTTCCCTAATGTTTTAAAACCACATGTCAACAATTGAAAAATGGAGTGATATTTGTAGAATAACTCAAACACAACACATCACCTTTACACTCTGTCATGAGCCATATTCTACCATATATTTATACAATGAACCTGTTCCTCATACCAACAAAGATTGATAGAAGATTAAATTTGAAGCTTCATACACGATTTAAAAAAAAAAAAAAAAAAAAAAAAAAAAAAAAAAAAAAGACAGCAAACAATTTAAAATGCTTTACTTCTGACCTGACGATCATGGGATAGGGATAGGGATATAAGAGACAGCCACAAAGCCTTCTGCACCTCGATCTGAATAGATCTATTGTGATCCCTTGTTTTTTGTAACTCACAGGCCAGCTTCAGGTTGTTAATCAGCCTCCACAGCTTTGGCAGCGGCTCCTTAGTGAAGGATCTTGCTTGCGGGTTTTCCTGTCCTAATTGCAAAAACCCGCATCTACGTAGACCTTCACAGAAACATAAAATGTGTTCTGTGGTCTCCTCCTCTTCCTGGCAGTATCTGCACAGTGTTTCTTCTGTCTGTACTCCTATCCAGGGCATATGCTTTCTTAAGTGGCAGTGTCCTGGAGTCCAACCAGAATCCACCTGACGATCCAAATTACAATTAAAATAAAAACTTTCAACATACACATACCTACTCAAACCTACTTGCATGTATGGGTGCCAAGTTTATGGATCCATCACCAAATATTCCAGTTTTCAAAGATTACAGTTTAAAAAAAAAATTTTTTTTTTTAGTTTTTTAAAAAAAATTTATATTTTTTTAAACCCAACCCCTTGAATGATTAATATATTATTACTTCAGAGAGGGCACCAATTGGTAGCTTTCTCTGTAATGCCAATAAGGTCACAATCACAAATTGAAATCCAATCTGCTGGTTGTATAAAATTGCATGTATAGTTGTAGATGAAAAAAATAAATAAATAAATAAATAACTGTCAGAATAAATAACCTCAAAATTTTATAATCAAATAGGTAATGAGTTTGTGTTGAGAGCAACTGTATTTATTAGTTTAAATTCACTAATTTCGTGGTCCACTTGACCAATTAAATCATTACAATTAATTAAGGTTTTTAGTTGAGATGAAAAAAAGTTAATGGCACGAGAGGGATTCGAACCCACGACCTGTATTTATTAGCATGAATGTGTAATGTGAGAGGGTTGATGACGGAATATCGAGTCGTCCGTCAAATCCAATCTGCTGCTTGTATACAATACATAACAGTTTTAGATGAAATTAGATAAAGTTAAAAAAAAAACAGCAAACATGATAAATGGTTGATATGACTTTACTTTTGAAAAGGAAGAAGAAGAATAACACATTTAATATTTATGTTACTCTTCCTGTCTCATATATTTATATTTAAGCATACATTTTTACACATTCATACATTTTTACACATCAAGGATATTACCCTTATGTGTTGGAAGAGATCATCCACAAAAATTCTTGTTCATTATAAAAACAACTTCAAATTTAATGTAGTTTGATCTGTTATGATCTTTTTTTCTGTCTGTCCTCGCTGTTTTGGACTGTCAGAAATGTTTTAGCTTCTCACCATGGTGGGTCTTTAAAATGAGATGTACATAGATGAAATCACTCAAAACTTAATGGGTGTATGTAGACGTTTTATTCATTTTTATTACTACAAGAGTACAAAAAAAATCATGTATTACCTTTATAACATGTATCATCTTTTCTTGACTCTCAGGGCAAAACTGGATAACTCAAAAACACAACATTTTAGAATTGCAATTTTAAAGTTTATACCTTTGGTACAAATTCAATTTTTGTAGTATTTCGTTATTTTTTATTGCATTCACATTACATTCAATTCAATGAAGTTGACCTGGTAAATAGGCTTTTTAATTTATTTAATTACATCTTTACTTTTTGGTACTCATCACATTATGCACCGACACTCGTCTGGTTTTAAAGATAATTTTAGTGCACTTTCCGATTATTGTACTATCACTGGTGCAGTTATTACCTTTTGATCTGCTAGGTGGGTAAATAGGATAGGTCACGTTTATTAAAAACTACTGTATTTTATAAGTGATATAACTGCACTAATTAACAGCACTAACGAAACAGGCTAAAACAACAAGGAAATTTAAAAAAACTTAGTTTCACATAGACAAATATTCATTACATTTGTACATACACTTATTCTGTTTCAGTAAATGTTTTATTTGAGTTTACAAATAAAATTATTGAAATGTTGATCTAACTTTTTGAGATTATGTTATACATTTTTATGGAACCCTTATGTCTTGTTTATACAATCGGGTATGTAAATATCCTATTCATATAAAGCTTGAATCCCCCACCCCAGTTGAACGTTAGACCTTAACATTTTCCCCCAATTATTTTTTTTCGTGCAATGTATCTCTACTTCAATATATTCATTATAAAGCTTCTTTTTTGGCATGTTTTTAATTATCTTTAACAATTCCAACAAGTGCATATGTCATCGCATACTGGATAAATTTGTAGCACATCCTATTAATCTTTATACGATGACATCACTTATTCATTACTTAAAACCAAAAACATGTAATGTACTAATGTATTATTTGTATTATGACATTCTGTCTCGACTCAATAGACTGAATGATTATTTTTTATTATGACCGCTATTATATTAAATGTTTTGAGTCGTATACCTAATACATTGTATTTAAAAAAAATATTATTATCAAAGTGATACAGTTTTATTGTGCATAAAATATCATACATTTATCATTGAGATAGAGATAGGGATAAATGAGGCGGCCACAAGGCCTTCCACACTTTAATCTGAGTAGATAGTTTATAGATATGTATATAGATAGTTATATATAATAGTTTATAGATATGTAGATAGTTTTATAACTCACTGGCTAGTTTCAACCTCCATCGCCTTGCCAGCGGCGCCTTAGTGTAGGACCTTGCTTGCGGCTTTTCCTCTCCTAGTAGCAAGAATCTTCACTAACATAGACCCTCACTAAATCATAGAATGTGTTCTGGTCTTTTCTTCTTCCTGGCAGTGCACATATACAACAAATGTATTGTTTAGTTAAATTGCTGTTCATCAGTTGGTTGGTAGAGAGCACTTTCCTCTGGTTTGATCAAATATTCTATGATACGTGAAATTGTACTCTTGAAATGCATGTCTATCTATTAAACACACC